ACTCCGCTCCACCGCGAAGCGGCGCCTGTCCCGAGTGTGAACGACTACAGAGTACTACATAGTATAATACCTACAGGACCGATCCGCCATGGGCTAGCAGCCAAAACTAGCCTCAGGGCAAGGCAGTAGCCCTCCAGACACGGACGGGCGTCACTGCTTGTGCCCAGCCCATTTCCGTCCCTCGCCAGCTATTCCAAGCCGCTGATCGATCTGGACGTGACGTCAAATTCCAGAGACTTGGGAGCCTCCCAGAACGTTGCCCTCATGCCTGCGGGAATCGCAAAAGTGACTGGGGAACTGCATGTTATCTCGATGAGATTGCCGTTCGCGAATATGGGCCGATCCTGACCAGGCGTTGGGAGTTGGTGCTCGACGCGACCAGCAGCGCCGTTCCGCGTTGTCTGAGCCTGCCTACCAGCCGGATGTCAACCCGCTGTGGTTGCAACCATGGGAACCTCGTCGCCGCAAGGGTAGGTGGTTTGGCAGTGTACTGTGCACGATCAAACGATGCGTCTCGCAGAGGTAGAGCTTCTGGTTTCCCCTCCCAGCGTTTGGTTTGATGTGGCGGGGTAGCAGCTCTTCGCTGACCGGCTTGTGATAATGGCCTATCGCTGTTGTGGCCGTGGCCCATGTTTAACCCACGAACTACAGGCTCGTCCATCTCGTCGTGTTGACACAATCATCCTAACTCCGGAGCCCCATGGTCAACAGTTCTGCCAACGTAAAGCTCGATGGGCAATATGTATTCGTACTAGGTTGCTGCTGCTGCTGCTCAAGGCCAGCTTGCCAGGGTTTTACGTTAGCTTCTAACAACATTTCATCATGTGAGCTTGGGCGATTGTTCTCTAAACATCTGAGGAAGATGTTGGGAATCAGGGTTGCCAGACGCCTAGAACCAGGCCATGCGCCGTGGACAGGCCTAGGCTTTCGAGAAATCTGCGTGCCGTATGCACGCCGCTCGCATTGGAGTGGACAAGCGATGGCCAAGTCGGGGTTTACGGCGATGCCATCCCACAATTACCGCCCTGCAAGCCTGCAGATGCCACGTTCTACAGGCCCAATTCGGGGGGAGGGGTGAGAGGGCAGCCATCTCGTAGTGTAATGTCGGCGTGACCCTGGCAGCACATTTTCCACAAAAGGTCGGTCTTGCGAAGTGTGCGAAGCGCGAAGTCACCACCCATGCCAGCCCTTGGACAGGTGAAAGAGGCTGCAGTACTGGGCCCCCCGGCTAGCTTGGGTTGATTGTCTAGGTAGACGCAATGTACTGCCGATGCTGTGATCCCCTTCCACAATTCCATGTGGAAAGGCGATCCGTCAAACAGTCAAAGCAGCCGGCTTGATAAGAGCGCTTGTGATGTTCGGCCTTGCAGCGCGGCCTTGATGCCACCACAGGACGCATGTCTGACTAGGTACCGTCACAGAATCCATGGGTCGTCGACTCGGGCGGGTGGATTCTATGCTTCAAAAGTGCTGGAATATTCTCCTGGTAGGTGAAAGACTCTAGCGTCGAAGACCCTTTACTACGACAAACTCCATTACAGTCGGCCATCAATCAGGGGGCCCTGGTGTTTAGAAATGGACCCCAGAATCGATCTCTACAACCCCGTTGTTCCCTTTCCGCTCTTCTTGTCCGAGGTGCGGACGCGGAGAGATTCAAATACCGAACGTCGAGGCATTCGTTCGGAGTAGTAGTCCGGGGTTTGTGCTATTGCCGCAGCGCGTCCGGGAGCACACTCTTGGGGCACACTTTTGCTCCTCATGGCCCATGGTATGTTGCTGCATTGGGTACCAAAGATCGTCCACAAATCCCGCTGGCATGGATTGTGGTGAGGGTGTGGTGGCACAAGATTGAATGCGTCGGCAGCACTGTAGTCGTTTGTACTGAGCAGGTAACTGTGTCGAACCCAACCTGGTATCACAAAGGGTCTTGAGCTACAAGCGAGTGGCTGTATTGGTTGCGTGGGAGCTCAATTGACTCACATTCTCAATTACTGAGCAACCCAGGGTAGGTTAAAGGTTGGTTGAAGTATGCTGGGGTTGGCCTTCGTGGGCGAGCGATTGATGGGTGCTGCCACCTGCAGCTGGTGCCATGGCCGCCCCGGTGTGAGTCTTTCGAATCAAGTCCACTCATCAGCGGTGTGTGGCCCCGGAGACAACTCCTTGGAGTCTGACGAGAGGGGTGCAATGTGAGTCTCTCAGGGGTGCAAAGGATGAGACTTGGCTCAGCCGTGCCAGCACAAACAGCTGTCAGAATGGAGCGAGTAGTCTCTCAGTCGCATGGAACGAGGCAGAGGAGAAGCACGTCGGCACGCAGCGATAATGAAGGGTTCCTGGGTTTCTTGTCTCAGAGGTGTGCAGTGTTTGCGGAGATTCGGATATAATGAGTAGAGTATTTAGATAATGCGATGCAATGTGCGGTGCGATGGAGGCAAGGTATAAGAGGGGGGGAAGGCAAAAAGAAGAAAAGGAAAGGCAAAGGTTGCGCAAGGTGTCTTCAACTACCAATGTCCATGCAGCTTCTACAGGCAGGTCGGAAGGCGTGCTTAACTGGACGTTGAATGGGCTGGGAAATGGTTAAGTACCTAGGTAGGTTGAAGTTGAAACAGCGGGCGGCCGAGTACCCAACTTTCGAACGGACTCTATCCGTAGGGCAGAAGAAACGCAGGCAGTGGGCGACAGCGATATCATGGTTAGGACGCTACGCGACAGCTTAGGGCCGCATTATCTGAAGTGCGTTTACCTTACTGCGTGGTCCAGTAGCAAGCGGGACTTTGTTTAGCAGGACATCGAAGCCCACGAATTTGGAGCTGCCAGTCAAAAGTGACTCCCGAGCGACGGATTCAAGCCCATCACAACAACTTTTTGAATGTGCAGCCAACTTGGGAAACCAGCTTATCTGCAGACGCAGGTGCGGAATGTGAACGGTGAGCAGCAGCAAGGGGGTAGGGAGGAGAGGGAGAATGCATGGACGGGTGAGAATAGGAGGCGGTCGTTGTGGTCTGTCGCTGTTAGCTTTCTGTTCTGCAGCTCCTTCTTCTGCCTAGCTCGCTCGCGACTCGGCCTCCTCCCATGCCGCTCTCCTCGATAAAATTAGTGGTCGTCTTGGTACCGTGGCACTATGGTAGAAGACGGGAAGAGAAAGGAAACATGATTTCTCGGCGAGAACAAAATGATAACTTTTGTGTGTCTGATCCTGTGGCACACCAGAAGCAAGGAAAGACAGCCGGGAAGGCGTGGCTGTATTAGAGACGCGGGAATCATGGAGAGGGAAAGAGTTGCAATGCAAAACATGATGGGAAGCTGCTCGTGCTTCTCGGTTTGCCCTCGTGTCCCGGCTGCGTATCCGTACATGCTTGCATCTCTTACCTCTTGCTGAGCAACCACTTGCGTAGCTCTGACTGTAAAGCGCTCGGCAGAAGAACAGATGGTAGCTATGGATCAAAGCCCATGAAGAAAGCTTTCAACTTGTCACATTTTTTCCTTCGTCTTCCATCTACCTAGGATCAAGCCTGGAGAAGGTGGTCCGGGGCTGCCTCCCGTCCTGTCGGTTGCACTAAAGTGGGTCTGCTGCACAGGCCAGAGCTCAAGCTTAGGGATCGCCCCACTCGGCCAAAGCTCCACCCCATCTCTGCACCACGAGGTGGCTTCATAGTGTTGTGTGCAAGAGCCGGTGCTCCTTGCTTCTTGCCCGAGTGATTGACCGGCTTACATAAGATTGAGATTGAATTTGCACATAAAGAGAGGGAATAAATAAGGAGACTGGGAGAGAGGGATAGAGCCAGAGACCAGCTTGAAGGGCGTAACTGCAATCATGTCACTTGCAATCGACCACCTTTGAGGTGTAGCCTAACCTTCCCGGATCGCACCGGTATCATACCGCACCACACCTTACAGAGGCACAGAGGTACCTTCTATGGTACCACGACTGTCTGTCGAACAATTTGACGCTAAGCTCAATACCGTAGAGTACGAGAAAGCGGGGCCGCAGATGTCGAAAGGCGCAGCAGCGAGATTGGTTGGTTCCGTATTAGAGAAGCAGGAAAGGGAAGGAAGGGGTGAGGGGACCGCGAAGGGGGGGAGAGGAAGGCCTTTCCTTCCATTCAGAGGGACCGCCTAGAAACATGGGTCTCGGGTGGGGCGGAGATGGGGCGGGGCGTGATGTTAACACCCCTCCCTGCTCATCGAGATCGATCATCAGAGCGTAACCCGATCAAACGCTCCTAGATTGTCTAGCGATCGAAAGCAGTCGAAATGCCACTTTCCCTTTCCGCTGGCCCTTCTGACACTGATTCCACATGCCCAAATCCAAAGGTACCTGCGCTATCGTATTGTACCGCACCGTACCGCCAGCATGCTTGTCCCCGCCACTGCGAATGCGACAGGCCCTGGCCTGGCGGCCCAGCTTGTCTCTAGACTACTGCTCCTCGCACCAGCAACCTTGCGGCAGAAGCAGCACCGCTACCTCCTCCTCCCCGCCAATCCCCTGCCAAAGTTTCCCACGCACCACCCACCTGTCTTCTACCCGGCCGTCGAACATTGCTCCGGCTCGTTGTCTTGTTGTGCCCTCCATCTGCTCTGCTCCGCCGCCTGATACACGGTCGTTTCCCCCGAGCACGAACCCTTGGATTGTATAAGACTTGGATACTGCCCTGTTCCACCTTTCGCTTCCCCATCCTCACACACCCTTTTGGTCCCTCGACCACAAGCTATCCTCCCCAACCAAAGCAAGGTATCCTCGACCGACAACACCATCGACACGCCTTGCCTACCATTATACCGTAAGGTAGAAATCGGCATCAAATCATCCCCTATCGCAACACTAGGCGATTTTGGCTTCAAAGGTTCTAGCCACGACGAAGCCTGTCGCCGCATCCACACTACAACCCCCCGTAACCACCCTGAGGATTTACGAACCTCTCCGACTAAGCCACCACTGCTCGTATTACGCTCTACGACGTCTTTATATCAATCGTTGATCACCAAGTCTCCGCGTTGACGAAATGCCGAAGCGATCCTTGGACGCTAGCAACCTGTCGCCCACGATGCAGACGGACCGGGCACAGAAGAAGGTACGAAGCATTCCCCACCGTCATGTCGTGTGGCGTTTAGTCCAGACAATATACACATCCTATCACCTACGCTTCATCATCTACGACGCAATGCCCTTCATTCTGCCTCTTTTCAGAATGGAAGAGATGCGCCATTCTAGCCACACCGTTCTTGATGCCATAGTGAACCTGGCTGACCTGTTCTTTGATAGACGGAGAGGTCCCATGAAGAGAACCAGGAACGTGCGTACATCGCCGCTTCCCGGCGGGCGGATCGTAGCATTGAGGCTCGCGTGCAGTCGGCCAAGATGGCTAGCGAGATTCACAAGAAGCGCACTGGCAAGGGCTTTAAGATTTCCGAGGCCATCGTGCAGGCCGAGGAGATGTACGAGGAGGAAGAGGACGACATGCCCAGATCCTACCGCATGCTTGCAGCCCACCTCCAGACTGGCTCTGCCGAGTTTGACTACCGTGTGAACGCATTTCTTGCCAACCGAGTAGCCATGGCAAGCATGGTCGCTGGACTTCGCAACGAGGAGTGGGCTCAGAACCCCATCAACAAGATGTTCGCTGAGCAATTCCCAAACGCCAACAAGCAGGCTCAGGCTTTGTCGCGCAACATCACCAACTCCATGTATTACCAGCCTGTTGCCGGCCAGCGCCCAGCGCCGCAGCAGCAGCAACAACAACCTCAGTCTGATAAAGTAGCTTCGAGCCCCGTGTCGCCAACTTTCGGGACAGTAAACTTTCAGCCAGAGCGTCAGCAGTACCAGCGTGAGAGAACGCAGTCTATAGCATCACCTATGGACATGGCCACCCCAACCATGCGAGAGCACGTCCAGTCTCCTCCTGCTCTATCTCCTTCTTCTGAGGCAGCAGCCGGCACCCCTTCGACACGCACCGCTTCGACGTTCGCTTCACCGATGATGGCCATCGACCACAGTTTCTTCCCGCCCGGATCATCGTTTACAGCTGAGCTGCCTATGGATGTCAAGATGATGGCACCCAACTTGGACATGAGCGATCCGATGTCTCACATGTTCATGGGCAACCCGTTGCAGCAACAGATGTATTACCCGGACACGCATTCGATGGCTGATCTGAAACACGACCAGCATCTGAATGATATGACTTTGGCCAACCATGAGTACTTTAACGGAGACTTAAACCCGTATGCCTCGCGCTACGACGACCCGCGAAGCGAGGCCGCCACACCCGCTCCCAATATCAACGACAACTGGGATGCCTACCTAGATTTTGGCGAACAGTCTGACAATGGTGCCATCGACCCGACATTGTAGTCGGCATACCACAATGTGTAATTTGACACGGCGAACATTTGATGGATTTAATGCAGAAAGAGGAGGAAAACGACAAGTGGTATGAATGATGAAAGGACCCTGGCTGGTTCATGAGCATGACTTTTTAGAGTACGCATTTGCATCGGTCGGTCCACAAAAGGCGGCATGGGATACCCATGGGAAGGCATCAGGTAATCTTTTCGGCGTTTCGGTATGGGATATTCTCCCTGATCCTTGGGTTTGTTTTTCTGTTTTTCAAAGTTCTGTTCACAAACGTCCGTCTCTTAAGGACTCAAAAGGATATGTATGTCCTAACTCATGTTTTTCTTACGTTGGCGACTCGTTGTTGCCCAAACGTACATGCCAAAAACATGGCCGCTGTACGTTTGTTCAAGTTATGGAACAAGTGATACCGAGGCGAATATTACAGACGATGGTCACGTCCTCAAATACGGATGGCAAAGTTGGACTGGAGAGGAGGATGTCAACAATCAAAGCATCATTTTGATCAAAATGTCGCTGGTGGGTTCATTGCGGTTTGGCGGAAGCAAATGCTGGTAAGAGGCACGATCCCGCGAAACTTGGTCAAGACACTCTCTTGGGACTGCAAAAAAATAAAGAAAATACAAGAAAATGATATATTTGTCAATGCTTTGGTGTACTGGCACAATACGTTCGCACACCCAGTCCGAGGAATGTGTGGCCTGTCTCGAACGGAAATGGTGTTGGTAACGCACTGATAGTCGTATAAAACAAACCACCCGTGTTCAGACGTGTTTATGCTACATTGCTACGGCCAGAGCTATCCTCGGCGCCCTTCCCACAGCTTTTGCATCTTCGCGATAGTACACCGGGAACTGGGATTGCTGTGTTTGCCTGTCGAACCCCTATTGACACGGCCATAGGTTATGGGCCACAACGAGCTCGGAATCCATTCCCCGGTTGTTGGCCCGAGCTGGGCATGAAGAAGGGAATGTCGAGGGCTAAGATGAGTCCACGCACAGAAGGACGCTTTTGGCCACAGGTTTCTAACGGTGTGGCAAAAGATGAGAAGACTGCCTAGATCAACGGCACCAACAAGCCCCCGGGGTCGGCTTCTTTCTGGATCCCCATCTCAGCCCGCGCTACTTCCGAGAATCCCCGGTTTGCCCGGGTTGTGGACTATGGAGACGTATCGCTCTCCTGAGCTCAAGTGTGGTGGTATGGTCATCTCTATTGTGACTCTCGTCAAGATGTTTCCGGCTAGCCGACGAGCGTGTGCTGAAGAGTCGCCACAACCGAGCGTGTGACACGATTACTGCTACGAAAGCCCATTCCAATTCTCCGAAACAGGTATGTGACAATACAATATCAGGTGTTGATAAAATCCAACTTCGTTTGAAACACACTTTATACGTATTTCTAATCAGGAAGAGAGATCCCAGAGTTTTTGGCCTTACTGAGGCTTGACTGAGCCTATGGCATATTGTTGACATGTGAAAGAGATGTTCCAACATATCGAACCTCCGGTTCATGGTATCCACTCCGATCCGGTCCGAGATCCAAGGTGGGGTTCAGACCCGGGGCTTTGGCTCGAGTCCTCGTCCCGAAGCGAATGCCGAAACGTGATACAAAGAGGTGTCCCTGGCAATCTAAAGCAAAACGGAATTTTTTGGAGGGTTGTTGAATAGTTACCTTTTAGTCAACAAGGGTACAGAGGTTGAAGACGCTATCGATGCAGCCAATGGGGAAGCCTCACAACTGCGTCTGGGTACTGACATCTATGTGATACAGACACTAAGGTGACCAAACCTATCGCCCACGAGGATTCTATCACATTGAGTTTGCATAGGAGTAGGATGTAAATCCCGTTTCGTCTGATGGTTGCGCGTTCTAGTTCGGTGGCCTCAAACACACAAGTAGAGAAGCTTATTCTTTCTGTTACCTTCCTTCAAGTCTAGCCGCGTGCTTGGGCTCAAAGGTACAGCAGGACCGAATGGCACATATAGGGGCTTGGACATTTGACCTTGGAAGCCCCCGTTATTTTTATTCAGAAATGAGATGAAAAGAATACTTCACAAAAACCTTTATGAAGAAACATAGCGTAGTCTGAAATGTAGTTGTCTTGAATATCGATGAGGCCTGGTGAAGAGAAATTCTTACCTAAGCGATGAATGACATAAGCAACCTTTCTCAACAGTAGGAAAGTGCCGGTTGGCGGTCGCACCTGCTCTACCCTGATGACGGAACAGCCCCACTGAACCAACGGCTGGGAAAACTTCCTACTGGCACAAGCCGCTGTCACACCCACTGTAGCAAAGCTCGAGTCCCCTGGCCGGTTCCCATTTAGCGACGTGCGCGCTCGCGACTCTTCGATCCACCGAAACAATTCCCAACCTGTAATTTCGAAGTCTGGTCAACATTCATGTTGGCAGCTTCCAGATTCACCCGCCGAGTCATGACGTCCGTATACGCCAATGGCTCTGCCAAGGCGGCCTACTCCTCATCTTCTGCGACGACGACTGCCCTGAGCCGATGGAGCATCGCGACGAAGCAGCTTCCGGCCGTCGATAAGATCAAGTCGCTCCACATCTACGACTTTGACAACACCCGTATGGTTCCTCACGCCCGCCTCGTGCTCGCGCGCGAATGCCTGTCGCAAGATCAAAACTAACTTTTGTCCGTATCTACAGTCTTCAAAACTCCCTTGCCGAACCCCGCACTATGGAGCGGTCCTACGATCGGCGTGCTGTCAAGCCAAGACGTCATCTGCAACGGCGGCTGGTGGCACGACTCCCGAATCCTCGCAGCGACGGGCGAGGGCGCCGACATTGAAGAGAAGCGCGCGTGGGAGGGCTGGTGGAACGAGAAGATCGTCGAGCTGGTGAAGCTGAGCATCAAGCAGAAGGACGCCCTGTGCGTGCTGCTGACGGGCCGCTCCGAGCGAGGGTTTGGGGAGCTCATCAAGAGGATGGTTCAGAGCAAGGGCCTCGAGTTCGACATGATTGGCCTCAAACCCGCCGTCAGCCCGACGAACCAGCACTTCTCAAGCACGATGCACTTTAAGCAGCTCTTCCTGGCGGCCGTCATGGAGACGTACAAGAACGCCGATGAGATCCGCATCTACGAGGACCGCCCGAAGCACGTCAAGGGGTTCAGAGACTTCATGACCGAGTACAACCGGAAGCAGAACATGAACGCGACGCGCACGCGCGGCCCGATCACGGCAGAGGTGGTTCAGGTGGCGGACCTGTCAACGACGTTGGATCCCGTGGTTGAGGTTGCCGAGGTGCAGCACATGATCAACCTCCACAACGAGGAGATTGCGAAGCAATCCAGCGACGTCCGCCCGAACCGACTGATGGTTAAGAAGACTGTCTATTTCACGGGCTACATGATCAGTAAAGAAGACACGGCGCGCCTGATGAAGCTGGCCCAAATTCCCTCCGGCATGCCCGAGCAGGAGCTCAAGTTCCACGCCAACAACATCCTCATCTGCCCGCGGCCCTGCCCCGCCAGCATCCTGGAAAAGGTCGGTGGCATGGGAAGCAAGATGAAGTGGGAGGTCACCGGCACGGCCTGCTTCGAAAACAGCATCTGGGCAGCCAGTCTGCGGCCGGTCCCCGCCACCGCAAAGTTCCACACGGACAACCCCTCCCCGCTCGTCGTTCTTGCCCTGCGCAAGGGCGCGCGTCCCGTCGACGCCGGCAAGATCCAGAACTGGCAGCCCGTCCCCCCGGAAAAGGCCATGACCTTTGAGACGACGGTCGGCGAGAAAATGATCCTCCGCATCGAGCCCGAGGACCCGCGCGAGGACGAGTACGAATCGCTCTTCGCCAACAAGTCTTCTAAGCGGAAACATGATGGCGGCGACTACTCCCGCGACCACCACCGCCACGGGAACAACCCCTACAACGGGCGCAACGAGCGCCGTGACTTTCACTCGGGAGGAGGAGGGCGTGGCCAGGGCCGTGGCGGTCACCGAGGCGGAGGCGGTAGGCGCGGCGGAGGCCACCGTGGGAATGGCAAGGGCGGACGCGGCGGCCGAGGCATGCACGGCTACCGCTCGCTCGACGACGTCGAGCCGCGGAACCAGCAAGGAGGCTACGGCCAGCCTGTTGAGTATGACGACAACAGCTACCCATCCCTCCCCACGCAGCCGCAACAGCAGCAGCAGGGCGGCTTCCAAGGACAACAACAGCAGTACCAGCCACCCCATAACACGTGGCAGCAGGGCCCTCCACCGAACGCACCAACGGGCCCGTCTGGGCGCCCCATGGGGGGCGGCAACTACGGAGGCGGCGGCGGTGGCGGAAGCGACCTGCAGAACTACTACTAGGCGTGATGGTCTTCAGAGGGCTCCCGGAACCTACCTGCACCGTTCGGCTTGGGACAGTTGCTCGAAGCAACTTGGGCGACATCTGGGGACCGTGATCGAGTTCATGGGTCGTGTAAAAGCACAAGTGAGCCATCCTCTTGAGTAAACAACACATACAAAAAACGCGTCGACCAGTCAAGGAACAAAAGGGAGGCATGGAGGTTCGTGGAAGGGGAAATTCGCACTTTTATATGGTAGGCGAGCTCGGCGTCCTGGAGGCTATGCTTTGATTATGATACCTTAGTACCTTGCAATACAAGCAAGTTGATTCAACTTTTGGGGTTTCGCCGTGCTGATGCATACGACACGTCATCTGCATGATCTTCTGGTACTGTTTAACATATTCTTTTGTTAACTTTCTCTATCCCTTTTTTTCTAGTCTTGCCAGTCCTCCAAGATGCGCCGCTTGCAGCCGCGATCCATCTTTCTTGCACAGAAAGCCTGATTCATCCTCTAGAGCTCCCCCGACACGGACCGGGATGCCAAGACCTACTCGTCATCCGAGTCGTCCTCCTCCGAGTCATCCTCCTCGGCGTTCTCCAGCCACTCGACCAGGACCCTGCACTTCTCCTTGAGCGCCGACATGCCCTCGCCCTCTTCGGCGCGCGCGTCCTCCCACCAGGCCAGGATCCCCTCCTCCTCGAGGACGTCCAGGCCGTACAGCTGCTGCAGCATGGCGGCTAGCAGGACGCCGGCGCGGTGGTGCTCGAGGTTCCGGCAGCCGAGCAGGGCGCGCTGCAGCGCGAGGACGAACTCGACCTGCTCCTCCTCGCCGCCGCCGACGCCGACCTCGGACACGAACTTGAACGCGCCCTTTTTCGAGTTGAAGGTCGAGTCGGCGGCCTTGGGCGGCTCGAGGCCGCCGTGCTCGGGCTCGAGGAGCTCCGCGGCGCGGCGGGCGAAGGCGATGGCGACGGCCTTGCGCATGGCCACGTCCGAGGCGTCGTTGGCGAGGCGGAGGCCCATGAACTCGAGTTTGGCCGAGTCGAAGTCGCCCGACTCAGCGCGGAGGGCGTCGAGGAGGCCGTGCACGGCGTCGTAGTGGAAGCCCGACTTGCCCTGGGAGTCGTCCGAGACGAACGAGTCGGCGCGGTTGCGGGAGTCGGCGGAGAAGGGGGTGACGGCGGAGCCGGCGTCCGAGTCGTCGTCGTCGATGTCCGAGGAGAGGGTCGAGATGGTGGAGGTGGAGAGGGAGAGGTTGGCGAGGTTGTAGATGAGGGAGCGCTGGAGGGTCGAGGGGTCCTCGTCGTCTATGTCCTCGGCCTCGGGGTCGACGTAGCGCGCGCCCTTGCCCGAGGGGCCGACGAGGTCCGTGTCTGGTGTGACGGGCTTGCCGTTGTGTGCTGTGGTTGCTAGTACGGTGGCCTCGGGGACCTTGCTCTTGTCGCTGAGGGTGACGCCAAACGAGAGGAGGGAGCCGGCGTCGACGGTGGAGCCCTTGCCGACGACGCTGGAGTCGGCCAGGATGGAGCGGGTGATGACGGCGTCATCCTCGATGACTGCGTCGTCCCAGATGAAGCTGTTCTCGATGCGCACGTTGCTGCCAATCTTACACCGTCTGCCAATGATGCTGTTGGATACTCTGCTGCCGGCGCCGACAGTGGCTCCCTGGCCGAGGATCGATCTCGAAATCTTGCTGTCCGGCGCCATGACTGTTCCATCCTCTATGCAGACCGCGCCGCTCGTCATCTTGTACGTCTGGCCCGGAATGACGTTGCAGTCGGGGACAAAGGGGAACGTCCAGCGGCCGAGGACGTCCTTGCTGATGGACTCGTACATCTGGAGGTTGCTCGCGCGGGCGGCGTAACCCTCCTCGAGAACCTCCGCGTAGATCGCCTTGCCGTTGAGCTCCCAGTCCTTCAAAACACCGTGCAGGAAATTCCTCCTCGGTAGCTCGTAGTCAAAACTCTCGGACCAAAGGGCCAGCACCTCGGGGGTGCAGATGTCGATGCCCGCGTCGATCAGGTCGCTGCGGATCTCGAAGTCGGCCGACAGCTCGTCGATCACGGCCGGGTCGAGCGTCATGTAGTGGTCGCTCTGCAGGGGGTGTGTCTCGTCGTAGTGCAGGCAGCGCTTCGTCTTGGAGTCGATCACAAATACCGGGTTGATGCCGTTCGGCTTCGTCCTGTGCTCCTCGGCGCCGCCCGATCGCAGAACTACCGTCATGATGTTCGTCGCGGCAGCCTCCTTGCGCGCCTTGTGCGCCGCCAGCGCACCGTCGAGGGAGATGTTGGAGACCACGTCGCCGTGAACCACAATGAAGTCGCCGTCCATGATACCGCGTCCGTCGAGGTCACGGAGGAAGTCGCCGATGGAGCGGGCGTCCGAGACGCGGATGAACTGCAGGTTCGTGAAGGGGGTCCGGATGGACATGGGCGACCATCGTGATGTGTTGATGTAGTTTTCGATCTGTTCGGAGTGGGAGCCGCAGTAGATGTAGACCTCCTGGACACCGTTCATGGCGAGGAATTCGAGGGTATATTCGATGAGGGGCGTGTTTGCAAGGGGGAGAAGGCACTGCGGGCGGGCGGTTAGTCGGTGTCGCATGACGACAGGAACTGTTCCCATGAACTCACTCTTGGCTTCTCTACTGAGAATGGAGCAAATCTGTCTTGGAAGGAGTCGGCAATGACCTGCAATTGCACAAAGACAAGCAACCGGGTCAGCCATTTCGCGAACCATCATCTCGGCTGCCCCACCATGACGCTTGGAAACTCACCACGGCCTGCAAGACATCCTCGCGCTTGCCGTCGGCGCCAGCCTTGCCGGACTTCTTGCCTTTGCTGGCACCGGAGGCCTTTCCCTTTTGCTGCGACATCGTTGGGATGAGGTGGATCGCGACGGGGGGTGGGCGGCGGCTTTCGGGGGGTATCGAGTAGGTTGGTCGCGGGGTCGTGAGTCAAAGCAGAGTCGCAAGCTTGGGAGTTTGGAAATTTAAGGTGAGTGACTCAACCGTTCCGATGCGGGGTGGGTCGTGCGCTAACCCTGCCTCGGTGTGTTTCGGTGTATCCTTTACCGAGACTTCGTCCCAACCCGGGTGGGTAGAGTGTGCATACTTCACCATATCATTCCAGAGTTTCGATGTTGTCATGCTATCTCCTTTAATTCTTTCTGTTTAATTTCCGAGTACGTCTCGTCTATTCACAGTGAATAACGAAAAGCTGCCTCAACGACGCACAACCCCAATGGGAAAAAACGAATGATCATTACAAGCTGGAAAAGCATGTAAGTATTAAGAACTAAATAAAGACAACAAAATTAAAACTATTCCTGACGCTAAAACAAGCGTAACATTAGGTTTTAGGCCATCAAGCCAGTAAGTTGACTATCTTCGTCGCAAGTATGAAACTTGGAGGGGATGACAGTCCTGGCTCCTCAGCATTAAGAACATCTCTTTACGGCAGTTTATGGAAGCCACCATGCGTATTAGAGTGGAACTAGCCAGAATAAATTCTTGAGTCTATCCAGAGCCTAATTTTGGGTCCCATCTATTTCCCTGTCATCAGACATGATAGCCCTTACCAAGCTGTCCACGACGATACAGGAACCTTCAAATCTTTTAATTTCGCGACAGCCAGAAGCACCTCCTCATAGTTCCCAACAAGAATTTCCATCCTCCATCTTGTAAGTATTCCACTGGGGAAGAGCGATTACTAGTTTACCTACAAGGTTCGTTTCTGGATTCTCTCAGACACCGCAGCCTCTCGCTCGGTCCTGTGTCATGGGTTACGAATCACCCGGCGAGGAAGACGACGATGACAGCTCCTAGAAACCGGAGAAGACGCGTCAAGTGCACTTTTCGAAGCAGAGACTAGACGAATTGAATATAGATGACTGGCTGAGGAGTCCAAGTGTTAACTCTCAGCAACGAACGGTTGTTCCCGCTGTGCGCTTCGCCATATAATTACCCCAGTATTCGACTGGTATGCTTTCTCCCACAACCCAACAGCAGATAGAATAACCCCAAGATAGAATTCAACTGTTAAATTAAAGTCCTCGGGTATAAAGCCGACCAGTTCCTATGTACAATGACGTAGATATCGTCCTCAGTCAAAGTCCTCCCGAAGCCCGCGCGGCAACTACCACCTTAACATTGACCGAAAAGGTCGGCACTGCGGCTGTGCCATAGTCAGACCGTCGTATCATCTTAGCAAGCAACAGAGGGGAGACATGAATGAACAATGTGGTCATCATACAACATGGAAAATAATGAAAAAAGACTATCGGGTATTGATTATGCAACTCTCATACCGGTGTACCTGCAGAGTGTGATTGGGTTTCGAGGAAAAGTCAGAGGCAGTTTTTGAGGTGAAACTAAGTTACAAGAGGTATCATGAAGAATTTGGAAAGTCTCACCTTGTGTAACAACTGAATGAACACAAATCTAATAGCCATTCAACTGTCTACTCATTCTCTAGTCTTGTGATCTCCGCCTGCAATGGGTCTCTTGTGGCATTGTGTTTCTTGTTGGCTATGGCTACTAGCTCTTCTACAAATAACAGCGAACATCCGACGAAAAGCAATAGTTCCTACTTAAAGACATGTTGAAATGTCCGAACACTGCAGTTTGACCTTCCACCGCCTCCTCCAACTGTTACGCCAGCAAGCACAATTCTGTCTCATCCTCGTCGACGCTACCCCCTTGATTTAAATAGACCGTGGCCTCTCCGTCCCATTAGGACAATATCGCGTAGTGTACCATACTAGTGGGTTGGCAAGACCAGTCTGAGCATCTTGTCGTGCCATTACGTCATGAAGGAAGCCAGGGCACTTCGGATACAGGGCGAGCAGCTCAGCACGGGTGTTGTGAGTCTGTGTAGTGACAGAAGCATAGGCTGCCATGAAGTCACGCAGACGAGGCAGGCCACTAGCAACAGAGTAAGCTAGCTCGATATGGCGCAGAACGGGACAACGCCGGCTGATGTTGATCTCACCCTTCGCGTATGCAAACAGTGTAGCATCCAGGAGTTGCACCCAGCCGTGCTTCGCAGCCATCATGGAAAGTTTGACAAGCTTCAGCTGGAGGAGCTCTGCCTCCACTCGTGCATTCCCTGTTCCAAACATGGGTATTCCTTCAACATCTTGAAGGTGTTTTCTGATGTCGTCCAAGTCTGGTTGCCTTTCCTGCCCGTTACTGTCCCAGGCATGGCTACACACAACTCCCTTGTAGACCCCAAATGCGCCCGCTTTCTTCTCGTATTCGCAAAGTCTGAGCTCTTCGAACGAATCAGTTTTCTGGACTCCGTCAGAATGGTATGCGTCGAAGTATACTGCAAGCGTTTGGTACTGAGCGGGATGTTTCTCCGTTGCATCTGTTATGGGCATGGGGAGGGGCAGCACGTTTAGCAGCCTCTCTCCAAGATTCAAAGCAAATGGCTTGGACAGCATTTGAGCTGTCACGGTCGGTATTTTGCTTCGATAACACCAGCGTACCATGAGGCCAACAATGTCAGGCTCCTCGTCTGCAACATGGATTTTGGAGACGGCCTCCGGCTGCGCGGAACGCATTGTACGAATAACGTCGGATGGGATCAAATGCCTGTGTACAAAGAATTCTGTTTTCTCCACGCCCGCATAGAGGGTAAGTGGTCGTTGTGCGAATTCTCTGCGGTCGAGAGTCAGTACCTCATTAAGCTATTCAGTACAGGATACACTCACCGACCGGCATTCAATAGATGCCCGGTGGGGATGGTCTCGGGAGGTGTATCATTGGCAATCTCGGCTTTGGTTGCAACAACTATCTCCACTGGTTGAGCCTCGATAGCAGGTTGAGGTTCCAAGGGTTCAGGTTTTGGCCTCTTGGCCAGTGGAGTCTCAGTGGGATCCGAACCCGCGCGTTCGTGCTTTGCTTGTGTAGGAGCCATCATGACCGAAGCGACGACCACACTGTGGGGAGGATGGCAAAGGCTTGCGGCTCTAGAGATGAGGTGAGGTGGTAGTGGGAAAAGAGAAGAGAGAAATTTTCAGAAAGAAAAGGACCAAGTCGTCAGGTGTTTCGACTAAAACGGATTGAGCAGGAAGGTAGTCCAAGGAAAGCGTGTGGTCAAGGACCAGGAGGGAAGGCGCGGTTGAGGACCCTATCGCTCTTTCCTCAAGGTCGACGTGCAGTCTCGTCCTCGAACTTCTGAATGCTGGCAAAGTGGAAAGTCTAATCCACCTTGATTTCCCCTTAGCAGTTTCTTGGATATATCAAGTATATACCCTTCCAAGAAAGATTCAACGTCAGTTCAGAGTGAGCCACAAACCTATTAAGATATGAACAGAAGCCTTCTCTGGCCCGTATCGTGAGAGACGTCCTCGCCGAGCTTCGATCCCTGCTCAAGAAACAGGCGGGCAAGAGTAAGTTGTCCAACAGTCATCTTTAGCTTCAGTAGGCTGGCAAGAGCACAAAGGGTAGCGGCTGTAACCTAATTATATCGACCAGTGACTGCCGTGGTCATCTTCACTCGCCGCGGCCCCGATGGACTACCCCCTGATCTCTTCTCTTCATGAACCTTTTCTGACGACACAATACTCCGACAGCGTCGTGTGTAGTTGGTTTGATACCGCGCGACTCCTCTATCACTGCACCTTTTCTTGGTTTGTAGTCAGTGTGACGAGAGTCTAATTCGACGTCTAACTCCATCTGAATACCAAGACACAAAAACCAATGGGTTTCACCTGTATCGCTGGAGTGTTCAGAAGTCTGTACTCTTCCACCAGAAAAAGCAGAAATACCGTCAGCATGAGTCGAGGAAACCACATGATCCTCCCCTTTCGAGGCTCATAAGGATCTCGAAAAAGTGGAATCCCACAGCGAGGAAAACGTCAACCATAACTCCCTTCTGGGCGCTCATTGCATTGAAAGGTAAAAGATCATGGGGTTTACTCATTGCGTCGAAATCGTTGTGTATTTAGTGTTCTTCTAGATAATGGAAGTGCTGATGTCACTCAGATCAGCATGGCCTGGACATGCTTCCCTGTCCATCTACTTCGAAAGACAAAGACGACTTCTGAGTATGGCTGCCTGTTCGCTTCGCACTGTTAGCGACATACTCACATCAGAAACTTGAAATGAATGGATAAGGAAACAAGACGATGCAGCATCCTTACGTCCCTACTCGGCTGTGTCTGGTCTATCATTCATTGCCTGCCTGCCACAACTTCAATCCGACCACAGAACACCGGTAACCTCATCCTCACCACCGCCCGATTACACACTCCATAACATCCGCCTCACGTGCCGGCAGGTTCTCCGAGATGGGGTCAGCACAATAATCAGCCGTAGTCACGATATAGTCTAACCCCTCGTCCAACCCTCCGCAGCAGTTTCACATCCAAAGTGCCAATCCACGCCGGCACGCTCTCTGCTACCGAAGCTCATGGCGGACTACGCCTGGACGTGTCGCCAGCTGTACGGTATGGAGACCGTGATACGCGAGTGGATGCCGGTGGACTACGGGGACTTTGCCTGGGGCTTGTCGGCAAGGATGGATCGCTGCCACGATCCCTCGCTGGCCGTCTCGAACCTCTTCCGGCGGTGCGCGAGGTTCGAGGAAAGTCAAGGAGGAACCTCTAGTGCCTGGTTGAGGTCTCCTTCCCTTGCTAGATTAGCCTGACAGTAAGTTTTCCTGGTATCAGACCTTGGATCCGGGCCTTGGATCGGGCCTTGGATCGGGCCTTGGATCGAGATGCATCAACATTAAGAATTAAGAAGAAAGGGGTTGGATGACTATGATACGCAGTACGAGGGTCTCGTGGTCAAGTTTGACCTATATTCTCAGTTGCATGGTACTGAAACTTCTACTGCGAAATGCTTACAGGTGGAAGGTCTTCATCATTCAGTTTCTTGACATCTCATGTACACGACTTCATCAGCAAAGTCGCTCACTCCTGTGGTCTGCGGGCAAGACCCGCGTGTCAAACAAGCCGCCGTTCAAGGAGTTGAATATTGGATCAGTGATCATTCAAGCCTACGCCACGAACCACCAAGCCAATTCGGTTGGTATTTGAGTCGACCATCAAACTTGAACCCCAAAGCCGCGTGCCACGATAGGGATCAAAGGGCCAAGGGAGGCTACGGCCGGCAGCTGTTGGTCCACAGCGCAGTACCCCGGCTGCGAGGCATAAGCAACGTGCAGCCGGGCACTCGTAGTCAAGACACGGTGTCTTGGCGCCCGCCCTCTCCGTAGAATGTTCGGCCACGATGTGTCTCAACCCAATCTCCCTATGCATGGAAAGTTCGGCGATGTGGCCTGATCCGATCCAGTCCGGACGCTCGGGTCTGAATGGCGTGCAAATTCTGATCCCTTGGAATCTTCACAGCCAACGACACCGTGTCGGAGAAAGCCGCATGATCGTACCAGAGAATACGCGCACCTTGGGCCGTCGTGTCTCGCGAACCATGTTGCCTGCAGGCCATTCCTTGAACCACTTCATGATCGGAAGTTGCCTGCAGTTGGAAGTTGGGGTAATCTCAGGGCAGACCCACTCGATCTAAGATGCCCTTGAGTATGTACTATGTAAGTCTTCGTACGCCCCTTATGGGGGTAGGTAGTAAATGTCGTCTCAAGTCATGGCGTCTCCCCGGAGCAGAACTGAACCAGGTCAGCAACGAAGGGTACGGAGTTAGGAAGTTGTTCCATCTCGATACAAATGTATTGCGCCCATTTCAAGGGCTGCCGCGCCAGTAGTTCCCTGCGCCGCGCGGTACGCGGTTGATGGCAAAGCATCAGCAGCGAATAGGACGGATTTTGGACGTCGGATCCGGCGGCCTCGGATTGCTTTTGGAAACGCCAATGTTGATCCCCTGCTTATTTTCGGAACCTTTCCCATTCCTCTCCGTACCCATTAAATGGAGACGCCCGAGAGGGATGGACAATTAAAAATTCAGAACAAAAAAATTAAAAAAGGGTCCCCCAGAGGCAGCCGGGAAATATCCGATTGTACGGTCGGCGGCGGTGACACAGTGTGGTGGTCGCGGCTCGGTTGAGCGGGCATCCGTCAAAACGTGCCTCTCGTCGGCCCTGGTTGCACCTTTTGCGCTACGGTTTCGCCGATTGGGATCATCCCCCAGCAGCTGTGACGGATTGGACCGGGGTCAACCTCTCACCTGACGCTCGAAAAATCTTGCCGTCCCGCCTCATCATTTTCCCTCTCCCAAAATCACAATCTCCTCCCCCCACCGGTCGGGAGATCTCACGGATCCTGGTCCTGGGCGCCAAGCTTGCAGTGTGGATGGTGTGACCCGTGCAGAGCTGGCAGCGTCCCCTCAGTTGCGTCATACTGGGTCCGGCCTCACTGTGTCAATGGGACAGGCTGGCTTTGGGGGGGGTTCCTATGATAAGCTCAGCACTTCAGCCTCCATCAGCAAGTGTGCCATCTTGTCCATGTTCCGCTCGGACGTTGGATGATGATGATGGCTTCAAGCTTGCGACAAAGCTTCGTTGCTTTAATTTTAGACGGAACACTCCGAGATGGGCAAGTTCGGCGCAGGCTGCGTCACCCTCCCTTGACAGCATGCTTTGGCGGCATCCCAGCTGTCTGTTTGACGACGTTGAGCACCTGGTACCGCCGTACCTAGCTCCGTCCAACTTCTTGGTTTGCCTTGTCGATCTTGGCGCCGGATGGAATGCTGTCCGTTTCGGAATCGGCCCAAGACTCCAGAATCCACTCTAGTGCTGTGCTGCTGTGCTGTAGGTATCCGTAGGTACGCTGGGCCGCTTGAACCGACCAACACGTCTTTTCTCGAGTCCCTTGCATTGGCCAACTGAAGGGAACGCAGAGCGTTTCTCTGGGCATCTGGGGCGGCGCGATGCCGTCTGCCCGTCTGAACTATCGGAAGCATGGAAGCTTTGCTTTGTGGTCGGTTTGAACCGAAGCGCTGTGCCAGCCAATTGGGTCCTGGCTGGAATCCGTACTGGAGTCGAGTCACTGATGGGTCGCACGCGTTCTCGAGACATGCTAACGTCCTCCACTCAATGCTCCCGTGAAGGCAAAGAAAGGTCACCCCGGGTGGTAGATTGGGATCAGCAAGCGGCGGTTGAACGTAAGCAGACTTGCGTTACACTTTTAAGAAATTGGAGGAGTCAAGCTCAAAAGTGCAAGTCAATGTTTCGCATGCCACTTGTCAGTTGCCGGCCTTTTGCGTCGTGGTGTTCTGTACAGTAGGTAGGTCGGCAACCGGTGAACACATGCCGTCTTCAGGTGGATGGATCGCCGGAAGGAGGCAGCTTGGCAACTTTGGCCGAGGCAGCCCGAACGGCTAAGCTGGCTGTCAGATTGTGGCAGCGTGGCAGCGCTCCAAGGCTCGTTTGGGACGTTTTGGGAAGATCCAATTAATCAAGGCTGGCCAATCACCATAATGGCAGCTGTCGCGGATCGTTGCTATCTCGGTCCTCAGGACCATGATTAGACAACTGGCACTGGTACATAGTACGATAGTAGGCCATCTCGCCGTGACAGTCGAGCTGCCAAACCCACTTTCGTTCACACTGGCATCCACTGGATTGGCGGTTGAGGAGTGTTGACAGGCGGTTACACAGTATGAAGGCACGAAGGGGCCTCCGCTGTGGGTTGTCTTGGGTTTCCTCTGAACTATCTCATTCCCCGCATGGCAGGGTCCTTTGGGTCATTGAGAGCTGGATGGTCCCGGTATGCATGCGCAGTGACTCGGCAAGACCAGACAAGAGATGCGACGGTCTGTCTCGATTGTGGACTCTCGCGGCGCTCCTGTGATGAAGAGGACCAGTAGATAATGTTGTGTCGTAAACGACCGAGTGCATCTCGCCTGTTCCATCGTCGGGGTACATGCGCGCGCGATAGAATGAGACACAACAGGATGGGCACTTGGGTAAGGCGAGAGAGACCCCTAGTGACAGAGACTGGATCCTGAGAAACCATCGTTCGGGGTGGCATGCGGCTTGTCTTTCCGCTGGAATTGCTTTTGGGGCGCCGCCCATCATGTAGCGGGCAATGAAAGTCCCCGGTGTCTCTGTCTCCCTGTATGTCTTACGTGCTACTCATCCGGATCTTCTTGTGGGTTCAGAACACGAGTCGAGATGTGTTCAGCTCGTGACAACGGGGTAATCCAGGGTCCAGGGCGGGGAGAGCTTCGCACTCCCCTGATGAATCGTCGGCTCATGGTCGAACTTGATGGTGTATGGCTTGCAGTAGAGTTGAGGCAAACGTTGGGCCCATGGCTTGACATGGAGAAGCTCCAAGAAGGCATGTCGTCTACGTAAGGCGTGTGTGTCTCGGACTCTACATACACACGAGATGGGACGAGCAGCGCCGTGCATGTACCTATTTGTAAGTAGGTAGCTCGCTGCTTAAATTGTTGGGGGGTTGATTAGAGTGTCGGGGTTTGCTTGCCGCGACTTGCCAAACCCTCTGCGCATTGTTCGCAGCATATCAGTGCTGTAACTGTAGTGTGTGGTTGACCAGATGAGCCGGGAATGTCCTGACAGGCGTGCAACGTACACAATACTGCGCAGGGCGAGGAGAGACGTCGAGGGTGAGAGAGTGGTGGATACCCGAGTTGTTGGACACTGGAACTGGCAACATTCTCGAACTGTGTACTTTATGTACCGTACATAGGAAAGTCGGCTTCTGGCCGACGTTCGGTGGGCAGGTGAGTAGGTACGATGTCTTGTCTGACTTGGCTGTTGCCATTCATTTGGGACGGGCTCGATCGTCCAACTGGGTATAGTATGTAGTCCTAGCTATGTGCGTAGTAGAAACCAAAGGGGGACAGCGTTTGTGCGTGCTGGCGTACCGAGGTAGTCCCGGCCAGAGACAGTCGACAGAACGCCTCAGGCAAACACGATGACAGTGCGATGCATGGGTACGTACCATACACCGCAGCCGCCTCGCACACCGTGTTGTTGCTTTCGCAAGGACAGTATGAGGTCATTGTTTCCGACACGGACCTGATGTGGGCCCGCGCAGGCGACAGCTGGAGACGTCCCAGCTGCACCACCTTTCATGTGTGGGGTCGCCGGGCCATAAGCAACGAATGGAAGGACACGAACTCGCAAGGGCTGATCCACTAGGCGGGTGTCTCTTGTCTCCATCGCAGCTTAACCACTCCCAATGCAACCGTAGACTAAGCCACCTCCACCAAAGAACTGGGACCATGACTTCGACTCGACAGCGCTGACTAGGGCCAGGGGGCTCCAGGGCGGCGAGGTGCTCAATTTCAGATTTCAGATTGGGGCCTTTCTCCAACCAGCAGGCAGGCAGGAGGCTTCAGCCCCGGTCGTCTCGCAGTCGCAAGTCCCCTACCCTTCCGTCGTCCTCGTCGGGTGCTGGGCCACAATTCGCATTCCCAGCACCAAAAATCACATTCGCATTTTTCCCGTCCCAACCAATTTCGCCCGCCTCGTGGCTCACACTGTCCCCTCCCGCCCGCCGCCCGTCGCCCCACGGTCGCTTTTCTGCTCCTGGCACCCGCCCGCACCGCACCCGCTTTCCCTTCCGTAGTGTACTGTTACCACGCAGGAGTACCGTAGGAATAGGATCAGGAGCAGCAGATTCATCGACTGCGCTTGCACATCCCAGACCTTTCGAAACTCGAGGCAGCCAAGTCCAGATATAGATGTTCTTTTACCTGCTTGCCTGCCTGTCTGGAACACTGAAAAACAAACCATCTTGTTATACCCCATTCGGCCGTGCCACGAGGTTGACCTCTCCGATCCTCAGGTGGCAAGGAACAGACCACCGGCAAGAGTATCCGTATCCTGCCTCGCAACATTAGATTCCCAGAGCAGTTGCACAAGCCAAAGCCAAGCAAGCTCCTCCACCACTTGGGCCTTTCCCTTTTCATCCGTATCGACTCCTCTCCGGTTCGATCTCCTCCTATCAGTTTTGCCCTGATTTCCTACCGCTCGCCATTCTCCCTCCCCTTCGTCGTATTCTTTTGGACCCTGGCCCCTAGCGACCGCGACCTGTGCCCTGCATTTTAAGGTAAGTTTTTCCCTCTCGCTTTCGTCCTTCCCATCTTGCATGGGGTCGAATCTCGGGTCCTGATCTGAGGTGCATACTCTTTTAGGAATAGGGGGGAAAGAGAACCGCAAGCCACTTTACCTCTCACCCACGACGGCAGCGGCAGCGGCAGCGACGGCGGCAACACGAGCGCGAACGGCAGTACCAGCACCAGCACCAGCATCATACCGCCATACGGCCCCCATCATATCGGGTAGCCCTTCCGTCGCTTTTAGCAGCTACTTGCATCAGCAGCGTGCTACGCTACGCTACCTTAGCACCGCCACCACTGCCTTTTGCACGTCAACTTCCAAAGCACCGCTCCATATCGCATATCCCGCCGCGCCCGTGACCGCCGCACCTCCTCCTCCTCATCCTCCTCCATCACCACCAGAGCAGGGCAAGCAACCAAGCATATCCAATTGACCCCATTCCCTGTCGGGCCACCCAAGTCACCACACCCCCTCATCCTTGCCCCCTTCCCACCCCCCTTGCCCCCGTCCCCGTCTCCGTACCTCATTCTCCCTCGTCGGCCGGGTCCAGTCAGTACGGACCAATCCAGTCAGCAGCGAGCGACCAAAAACCAGAACCAGAAGCAGCACCAAGCAAGCACAAGCACAAGCACCAGACCTTGTTGCTCCACGCACGTCGGGCCTGCTATCCATCCATATCCATCCATCCTTCTGGTGCCCTGCGTCGGCTCCCAGTTTCTCAGATCTCGTCTTCTCGACCATCGACTCTGCGAAACCTCAACCCTTCGCCCAATTGAGCCGACAACCTCTTTTTCGCGAGAACGCCCTCCCTCGACCCTACCAAACTCTACCTACCGATCGGGGCATATTCGACGGTTCACCAACGCCTACATTTTTCTGCCACGGCCTCTGCTGTCTAAGACCCTCTACTGTCCAACTTAGCTTCCATTCCCTTAGGCGACCGCAACCGGATACGGGCACATTGCTGCGAAAGCTTCGGTGGAGATTGGCCTGTCGTCGCCTCCTGCCAGTTTCGATTCCCAAATCCCTGGACCCGTCTGGACTTCCACGAATTGTTCTGCAACAAGCTGCAAACTAAGAAGCATTCTTACCAAGCGAACCGTTGATCCATCGTGTAACTTACTTTTGGCGGCCAACTGCGGTGTTGACGAGAGCACACATTCAACGAGTCCGACACGGCTTCACATTGTCACCTACGTCGCTGGATTGACCTGGAGGGCGCGCATCATCTCTTGAGCTCATCTTTCGACCTCGGCGCTCACCATGCCCGAGCCCGACTCCGTCTCCGCCCAGGGCGGCGGCAGCAACTCCAGCGATTTTGTAAGTCCAAGATCCTCCAAAGAGCTTTGGCGCTGGTGCCATCATCTTTGCTGACTCTCTGCGCGCAGGTTCGCAAACTATACAAGTTCGAAGACCCCTCAATGCACGCCGATAATTGCTGGTGGCTAACGCTCGTGACAGGATGCTGGAGGACCCTGCCTACGCCAACATTGTCAGATGGGGAAACGAGGGCGACACCTTCGTCATTTTGGAGGTGCGTCGCAGCCACAATGCGCTGAAAATATGGCGATGGAAAACTAATGTGCCCGCAGACGGACAAATTCACTAACGACATCCTCCCGAAACATTTTAAGCACAGCAACTTCTCAAGTTTTGTCCGACAGCTGAACAAATATGACTTCCACAAATTGCGTCGCAACGACGAGAACAACGAGTCGCCATACGGCAAGCAGGTAGGAAGGAGACACCACTAACCGACACAACAAGCTAATATAGTATGCAGGCGTGGGAGTTCAAGCACTCAGCCTTCCGTGCCGACAGAAAGGACAACCTGGATAACATCAGACGAAAGGCTCCTGCGCAGAGAAAGACGCAGCAGACGGAAGATCAGTTCACCACTAACCAGTCGATCAATCTGCTCCAGGAGACCCTCTTCGCGCAACAGCAGCAGGTGCAGGCGCTGCAAGAGCAGGTTGCTGAAATGTCGCGGACTAACAAGACGCTTGTCCATGAGGTCCACACAATGCACAAGATTATCGACGCCCAAAGACAGTCGCAACACGAGTTGCTCAACTACATGTCGCACGCCGAGGACAGGATGAGAGGACCCAGGTACCACGGCCAAAACCCGCAGATGAACGGGGGCGCCATCGACGACCAACCTCCCGAGTTGCGACGGGCCAGGGAGCTCTTATCGAGCGTAACGACCAACAGCATGGTGGACCGAGAGCTGGAGAGGCTGAACGGCATGTATGCGCAAAGCTCTCCACCTGACTCTGCATCTTCCCTTATGTTCCAACCTGGAAACACCGGGATGCCGCCCATGCTTGCTGAGCATATGAATATGCGTCACCTCGTTTATCCCGTGGGCGAGAATGTAGGCATCGACCCGTTGTCCCAGGACCATTTCAACAATATCCCTTACACCCTGAACTCCTTGCCGATGAACGACTTCCAGGCCCAGCCCGTCGTCAAACCGGAACCCGGTCCAGCCACGCCCGCCCCTGCCGCTGCCGCGCCGCAACGCCCGCCTTCAAACGACAAGGGTCTCTGGGGTTCGAAAAAGCCGAGGGTGTATCTGGTTGAGGACGATAGGACATGCTCTAGAATCGGTTCCAAGTTCTTGACACAAATGGAGTGCATCGTCGAGCTGGCTGTAGGTCAACTTTCTCTCAACACCGGCCTTTGCTGGCGATGATAGCAGCTTGCTAATGGCCAACAGGAAAACGGTATCGACGCCGTCAACAGGTGTAAGGAAGTGCCGTCCGGGCACTTCGACCTCATCTTCATGGATATTGTCATGCCACAAATGGACGGTGTGTCTGCGACGCAGCTGATCCGTGAAGTCCACCCCGACGTTCCTGTCGTCGCCATGACTTCAAACATTCGACCCGAAGACATCAGCCATTACTTCAACTGGAGTAAGTACTTTTTCAATGCCTCCCAGGTTTTCAAGCAGTCATTGACGAGAGTTCGCCACAGGCCTGAACGACGTGTTGGCGAAGCCGTTCACCAAGGACGGCATGCTGCGCATTCTCCGGAAGCATGTACCGCACCTCCTCAAAAATGCGCCGCCTGATGAGCTCGCTGTGGGCCACGGAGCTGCCCAGCTTCATTCTAACAGCATGACCGTCCCCCCGATGAACCCCAAGTCAAGTTCGACTCAACGCCGGGCCAGTCACCCGCAACAACAGCTTCCTGGCACTCGCCCGGACAAATACACCAACCATCCCCTAACGTAACGAACATTGAAACTGGATATCCCATGGCGAACACGGCCCAAATGGTCATCACGCCAACGTCAGCCCAACGGCCAACGTTCCAAAATATGCCGCCTGGGATGCAGCAAATGCGTGTGCCTGACCACCTTGTTGGCGATGATCGGCCAGAGAAGCGTCAGAGGCTATACGGGCCACAGGGCGGATATGCCTAAATTAGGGTCCGCCACGACGTATCCCTTTCTACTTTGCTGTCAATGTCGACAAGCTGTACCGGCACGGCTTGGACAGACAGGTCGGCCACTCTCGTGACCCTTCGACCAGCAGATGGTCTTTGCGTACGAGGGGCCCGCGAGTTTTGGTTGTTGTTTTTTGTTTATTTTTCTTCTCGTTGAGAACGAATCGGAGAGGGTTCATCTTCGTCAGATACCGAAGGAAAAGGAGGATTGTTTGACTTGGTTAGTGCTGCATGGTTAATGTGCGTTCGCCGACAGGAGGCGACTGACGATGTCCCAAGACAGGACATGTCGCCCATCGGTTTCAGCGTGGACGACGATCGAAGAGCATGGCTCAAGAAAGCTTCTCAGCCTCGTTTTTTTTGGGGTTCGTGACCGGAGTTGGTGGAGTTTTGGGTTCGCGTCCATGAACCACGCAGGAAGGTATACGGCGAATTTGAAAAGAGATCTGCAGTCATCTATAAGAGGCATGTGTTCCTCGTCATGAATATACATTACCACATGCGCACCTGGGTCCATCGGAAGAGGAAACATCAGCAGCAACGCTGCGGGAAGCGAGACTTTTGACGGATGACGAAGGTTGCTGTCAGTACGGGACGCCCGGGCCTGCTGCATTCGCCGGTGTTCCGTGGGCTACCATCAGTGAGTGCCCTGGATAAATAGCACCCACCCGCTCCTATAGGCTTCCAGAACCCTCCATAGTGTTTGTGCCACAGAACGTCCGAGATCCGATATGTTGGAATGGCCCAGCTAGGGTCACTCACAGCCGCGAGGGTACAGGACCCTTAACCCATGCGCAGGGACGGGCAGTTGCAGGAAACAGCTGGCTCGGAGAGTTGACACCCAGTCCCCCGTTTGATGTGCTGCGGTGGGCCCCGCATGCACGAATGGTCGATGGCGGTCTGGACCCGACATAGTGGCGCCAGTGGTCTGATGTGCTAGGGGTCCCTGCCCAGCGGTCCTGAAGGGTCTGGACCGTTTCCGTTCGCAATGCTGCGCGACCACGAGGTCCCGGATAGGTGGTGGGTGTTGGGGGGATCTCATCTGAAGGGTGGTGCTGCTGCGCCGCCTGGCCCACCACGGCCGTTGGAGTTCCCTCTCTTCTCTTTTGTCTTGGGAGGAAGGGAAGTCTGGGATTCGGTCCGGGGGGTCGTTTGTAGGGCTGGCCGCTGGGCTCCACGACTAACGGGTGCAACGCTCCGTCACGGACGTGACTGTGGAGTCGTTGCATTATAGAGATGGCAAGACGGGGAACGCTGATGTGCTGGAGGATACGAGGACATGTGAGGGCGGTCGACGAGTCTGGGAGGGGAAGCCTGTATAGATATACAGAACGACTTTTTTTCCGTGGCCGAAAGTGTAGGGAAAGAGGAAGAAGGGGGAAGGTGTTCGAGTGGGATCGTCTAATGTGGGAGGCCACGAGAGTTTATGCTGCGGCATGTTTGGTCGAGACGAGATGGGGAGCATGGGCCACATTCGGTTTGAGGGAACTTCTGCTTTGACCAGCAGCGACAGCAGCCGCCGCATTAGCAAGCTTTGAGGGTCACAATGGGCCAGCCAGCCAGGCCATGACGGGCCTATGATGAGCCCAGACCGTTATGCTGATGCTCTAGCCGCTGCCGTCACCCGCGGACCGGGTCTGGCCAGACGGTCAGACGTGAGTGAAGGACGAGACCACGTCCGCCTAGGCGCAGGCAGAAGGGCGCCTGGCTTGGCATGGAAGTGTAATGAGGACAGGGGACGGCGCTGGCGTAGAAGTTTGAGTTTAGTACTGGCACGGGAGAGCTATATGTCCGTCACTGTGTTAGCGTATATGTATATATAGGAAGGGTATAAGATGAGGTACAGAGAGCTCGGCTCGGCAGGCTTGACGGGAGGGGAAGTCGAGAAAGCAATGCCTCAAAACGAGCTGGGGACGTACTCCTACGCACTGCCACGGGTATCTATACCTGTACAGATTTTACTGGAGGCCAGCAGATCTTACAGGTCTGCAGCAGCGTCTTGCATGCTACAGATCCCCCTGCGAAAGTACGGCGCTCGGGTAGGAGGGACTCGCAAGGGGGTCGTGGCCGTGTGTCGTGTGGTGGGATGTTTGATAGGTATATGCAAGGTGCGGCTAAGTGTGGGCAGGCCGAGATGCGGTCCAGTTTTTAGGGAGCGGGAGGGGGAGCATGCACGGGACGTGACACGGGGAGAAAAGGGAGGAAAGGAAATCCGCGTGTTTGCTACTTACCTAGCGGAAACAAGCTTGGCTGCTTGGGCGAGGGGTCATGGGCTGGTCTAGATTCTGGGAGACGGTCGTACGGGATTTGATGCCGGTCGAGCTGGTGCGGTATGTAGGTATTGTGGACTTCAAAAGGGCGATCCCATGGTCTCGACGGTTTGGGAGAGCATGCAAGAGCTGCTGGCCAAGTATGATGTGACTCTGTGGTAAACCGAACGACGGGGAGCCGAGGATGAAACAGGAACCTTTCTTTCTTTCGTGATGATCTTATTCTTCAGGTCTCGAGAGGGTGCAGGCGGTTATATGGCAGTGGCGGTCTCGGGCCGAGAACGTGGGCAGGCGAGGCCCGCTTCTCTCCCTCATCTCGCAGCCCAGCACCAGCCTGGCGGATTGTTCCTGGCTTTTGGGACGGAGAGTTCCAGGGCATCAGCCGCATCATCACTGGAATACCAGTCCTCGCCGTGTGTTCTTTGGGGCGATGGGCTGGTTGGGGACGCTGGATCGGCGATCAATCAGTGTCTCGACGTCCATGGCTGCTGGCTGGACCGGTCCGAGGGAACCTGATTTCGCCCCCATTCCTTTTGTTTTTCGAACCTCAACCACCGATGCGATTTCGCGGCCTGGGCATGGGATTTGAATACCCGCCCTTGGCCCCCAACAGAGTTTTTCCCCCCAAGAGACCAGGGCGTTTCGATTCCATCTTCTGAGACTGCGTTCACCAGCCAGCCACGTGAGGAAGAAGGTCTGAGGTGGGTCGGTGTGTGTCACTGGCGAGAGACATGGGAAAAAAAAAAGCAAAGGAACGATAGAATGGTCAGGGATTGCGCAGCTCGGTACGCTAGCTCGGCAGGTCTGGCCAGAGGAGAGCTTTCTGATGATCTGATCGGGTGTCATCTGGTCTGATCATGACTTCCAGAGGAGCCCCAACTGGGCGATAGGTTTGGTGGGATGTCACACATGTTCGTTAGTGACATGCCCTGAGACGAGACAAGGTTCCAATTGGACGAAACCAAGGTGACATTTCGCTAGGTACATGTCACTAACTGATTGTTGGTCTGCTTGCTTCCCGGAGGGTCTGGGTTACTCAACTGTATGTGTACGATGTTGTGCACAGGCACATTGTGTAACATTTATCAATGATCCCTATGCAGCCTGCGGCATCTCGTATGAGATGGTGGAGGCAGTCACCGGTATTGATGCCCAATAGGCTCACCATGAGTTAAAAGAAGATGCCGCGACTTGTCTTGAGGTACCCTCTGTTGCGAGCATGTTTGCTTCTGATGATACCGACCCGGCCTAAGGTCCTATTGGCGGGGAAAACCACGTTCAGTCCATATCAGATCATTCGCAGCTCACTTGTCACACGTCAACCGTTTCTGGCATTGTACAGAACTGCCTGCTGCATGCACATTCCGTTCCGGACGCTTCAGAACCTCACCGTCCCCTGGGACACGTCCTGCCCGGCCGTGGTTGGCAGTCACTTGTAGATTGGACGAGGCCAATTATTCAACCAGGGCGGCGTGGCGTCTTGGGCCCTACTTTCCGGCTGTTCAAGTCATTCTGGATGGTGTCTTGAAACGCCTTCAAGTTCCGCGGTTTTGGAAGAGTATCTCAGACCTGTCGTCATCAAATTCCTTTTCGTGCACTTCGCTTCCGGTCTGTGTCCTCCCTTTGCAGGCCACTTTCCAGAACGTGCGATTTCCGAGCCTTTTGGCGTCTTCCTCCAGCAGGCGGCGCTGCAACCTTCTGAGTTGGATCATGGGAAGAAGGGGCCTAGGGGGAGAGGAAAGAGGCACGCGGTATCATGCAGGCTTTCGGATGTGTGATTCATGATTTCAATGGCGTACGGCGGCTAATGAGATGAGCTCTCCCTTGTGTGGGTTTGGGCCAGTGTACCGGCGAGACGGACGGTTTCTGTTTGCGGCTGAGGGTAGTGTAGGGAGGATGAGTCAACGACTAGAGGAATCCCATGGCAATTTCGACAGGACGATTTACTCCGGTGCAGTGGTCCCTTGTAGGACAAGCTTTATAACATTGGGTTTTCACAGCGAAGAAGATATGGTATGGACGACTAGCCTTCATATAAATAAACGCGAGGCTGGGGGTTGACTATTGTGTTGAACAAAGTCACTTATTGAAAACTGGTACACCATGTTCTTCGACTTCCGTTTGCTGGTGTAGAAAGACCTCTGAGGGCCGTATCCAGTTATGACAGTGTATGTACTTGATGCGATATGAGAAGTGTAGATGGTGTCCAACGAGCCATGGCCTCCTTCAACAGAATTGTGCTGCGAACTGGCGAAAGACGATGAAACTCGAAGAATGATTCGGTTTCTAGATTATGGAATGCTGTTTTCCGTAAAGATGCTGGAATATTATGAGGGTTGTGTAAGTGAAGCTAGCGAAATTCTTCTTGGGACCTTGTAGTGGAAATCATGGTTTGTCATTTCTTCCAATTCACATTCGATGGACTTGTAAACTTCTGACCCCCTCTCATTCTCACGCCTCTGGGAAGAGGTCCTACACAAAGGAAAGCAATGTAGTGCTCGAGCTGACCACAGTGCTTATGATGCCATGGTAGTTCACCAACAGATCGCTGTCGGCGTGGAGGTCCTGCTGCACCCAGATGGACTGAATCAGATCTCTCAACCCCTTCAGGCTTCTCGTGCGAGCACTTCTCTCGGTCCTGTTGATCAGGTTGATGATGGCTGCTCGTCGCTCGTCCGTGCGGGCCTCGCAGGAAAGAATAAACATGGGAAAGAAGTGTCTACAGGAATAAAAGCTGGTGATTCTGTCAAATTCCTCGTCTATCACGGAATCCAGGTTGGTGGACGGGTCCCATTTGCTTTGTGAAGCCCGTGCGAGGTAGACCCGCGTCGCCATTTGCCAGATTTTCGCACCGAGTTTAATTTCAGTGTCTTCCTCGACCACGTGTTGTAGGGACAGGCTTTCGGCTCTTCTCTCGAGTGCTTTGAGGCTGTTATGGTAGTCCTCGTCGTGGGTTCTGGGATCCCAAGGATCAAGCAATGTTTCGCACACATCAGACAGCAGGTTCAAAATCGTGTGTGTAGGACTCGGAGATGGTAGTGCCTGTAAGGATGTATTAGTGCAAAGTTACGAACCTGCCTGCAAGGGTTCTTCGTAAGCTTTACTAATTTGTATGTTGCTAAAGATGGCTGATGAAGTTGGGCTCCAGGGCTAGAATACTGTGAAGCTATAGCCCTTGGAGATAAGGAGTTATGGCGCCAATGATGTATGGTGAGTTGGGAAAGCGTGTTGTGGTAGTGGACCCAATCAAGAACGTGGCGGACATCGCTCTGGTGCGAATGATCTTTGAGGCCAGTCACCTGGATAACATTCATAGCTCCCCAGATGTACCACAGCCACTCGCCTGAGCTCTCTAGGGGCAATAAGATCTATATGAGAGTGTTTGAGCATGGCGTCTAACTTTTTTAGCTGGCATCACAGTTTGCTAGTAACCCACCTCAAAAGCACCAAGAAGCATGGATGCAGCTGCGTGCTGAGCAGCTTCGGCCGGGCTTAGTAGCCCTCCTCTCGTCGAAGCACGTAGGAACTGGAGTGCCGATACCTTCAGCTGCACTGTCTGCTGATGGGGCCCGTTGCGGTGAAGCGAGGAGAAAGCAAGCATTGCGGAGAACAGAGCAAGGCCAGGGCCGTATCACAGTCCCGGGTCATATGCATGAGTATATCTCGAATCTGGGAATTTGTGGCAGTGAAAGTGACCAACGAGAGGTAGGCGGTGTTTTGGACTGGTGTAGGTGTGTGATATAAGCTAATAATCATGCCATGGATCGCATGGGCATTTCGTTGGAAACTTACAATGCTGTATCAGGTCTGCATGGCTTGTATCTGACTGCAGCTGCACCTGCAGACTTGGAGCAGGCTGGACCAGGCGAGGGGACTGTATCGAGAGTAGCATGCTACGGTATAGTTCCATATCCCGCAAGGTTGTGTTGATGAAGAGGTCGGTCCCCCGGCGGGTGCACGAAACCGCCGGCGAGAAACTCCCTGTAATGGCACGTTTCTTGTCGCCGTGCTTGGGCCAGGACAGCCGTACTTCATACCCTTGGCATTGTCGCTGAGCCTGAGCACAGTTTTGGCAGTTGGGCAAGCCACCATCACACCGGACTCTTCGAGCTGAGGGATGGCGTGATTAGGCAAGATCTGTCTAGGTTCGTGCCAGGGGCCGAATTATCTACTGACCTGTACACGTCCAGCAGCCCTTTCGAGACTTCATTCTGCTCTTTGGGGGGGGTTGCGGCGGCGACAGACGTAATGGTCTTTATCGACATGCGGCGCCAACACGCGGCCGGGATCGCCGTGTCCTTTTAAGAGGATTGCAAAGGATCCAAGCTGCTTACAAGATCTACAAAATAGGCATGGCGCCGGGCCGCGTCCGTCCTAACCCCGACCCCAACTTCTGGCGGTGGTATATCCCCATGTGTCGTAGTCCCCGCCAGCCCGCCAACAACTACAGATATATGCCCTATCTTACCCGTCTTCAATCGGACCCACATGAAGCAACTTTTATCGAGGCATCGTAGGAGTCGTACCACCCCGCATCAGCCGCTAGCTCCTATTTGGCCCCTGGTCAGCCCGTCTACCACCCGCCTTCAGCAGACCCACCTGAAGCAACTTTTATCGAGCTTGTTTGCTTGTTACCTTCCAGAACACACCTCTTACCCCTTGTTGATCACTTTCAACGTGGTATCATGATGCGTTCAGGTGAATGCGAGGCAGCCAGTCGGTGCAAGAACTTGCTCATCTTGCATCGTACATCTGGCCGGCACCGACGGAGTGGCGCATTCACGATGGATTGGAAATCAAGAAACAGATAATCAGTTTGACTCCCTGAGTGGTGGTGGAGGTCCGTAGCGGTCACTCTTTAGTCAATATAAAGTGCCCTTCTCACACTACGATGTATGGAATCTAAACTCGCAACACAGTTCTCATCTCATACACTCTTCCTCGAAAAGCATCCAAGACACCCTTCTTCTTTGACTAGACCCTTCGATATGGCTACCTACCTAGTCACCCAGGCAACCGGCCAGCAAAGCCAATCGGTTATTGCGCATCTACTTGCAGCGGGAGCCAAAGTCCATGCAGTGGTACGCAACCCTCAGAAAGTTCCGCCGGCCTTGGAGAAACAGGGCGTCACGATCTTCAAAGGCGAAAGTACAAATTATGAAGAAGTCTACCAGGCAGCACGAGGGTGCAAGGGAGCTTTCCTGAACACTTTTCCCTGGCCGGGACTGGAAACCCAGCAGGCGAAGACAATTGTCGATGCTTGCGAGAAGGCAGGTGTTGAGAGCCTTGTCGTCTGCACTACCTTCACCGTCGGCAACAGGGCCATATGGGATGATGCTGCGACGGAGGAAGTTGGGTTGCGACCGTACTTCCTATCCAAGGCGGAGGTTGAGGAGATCGTCCGCGGTGCTAAATTCAAAGCCTATACTATCCTTCGGCCGTCCGTCCTCCACACCGACTTCATGCTGCCAGGTGTCTTTGGCAACTTCCCTGGGCTTCCGCAAGGAGAGCTGGACCATGCTTGCAATGATGGTGTCCGGCTGCCTTACTCAGACACATACGACGTAGGAAAGTACGCCGCAGCGGCCCTGCAGGATCCTGTCAAGTTCGGTGGCCAGGAGATTGATCTGCCAAACGAATACCTTACCATGGAAGAGGTGCGCGACGTCCTTGTCAAGGTCAGTGGCAGAGATGTGCAAGTGAGGCAACAGGCCCCTGAGGAAGTAGAGGAGACGAAGAAAACCGCTCCCGGTATGCTGTTTCAAATCTGGGCCAACGTGAAAGATTTCACCACTTTTGTCAAAACGGCCAAGGAGGCCCAAACAAAGTTCGGCATACCATTCACCCCGTTTGAAGAGGCAATGAAGAGGGACAAGGCTCGACTTTTGGAGTGTCTGCCTGCTTAACGGCTAGTTTCATATGTTTTTGTCCATCGTTGTTAAGTTGAAATTAGTTGAGGCTTGATCTTCCAATGATTCAATTGTCACATGCTCACAGAAACGTATTTTCCCTCGGAGTTAATAATGAGTGAAATTGCTTGAAAAGAAGTTGCTCGCTCTTGTCAAGAGTTCTGAGCGGCGAACGGTATCGTCACCAGTAAGATTGTCACAGCATGTGTGCTTGCTGCGCCGTGAAGGTGATAGAGCTTGCAAGCGCTGAAATCCCAATGATACACTTCGCAAATCAGCATCTTTTGCTAAAAGCTGTGCATAAAGCACAAATTCACGGGAAAAGAAGCACTGCAAATAACAAGAAAAGCCGCGTTCCCAACTTGGTTCCGAATAAGAACGAGGCGTGGGCATACTGAGCTCCACCAACGGGTACGATTTGATTGTATCCCAAATCGAATAAAATATATTCGCTTGATGGATTCCGTAGCTCACCGCGCCTCCGAAGCTTGCTGATTATCCCCGAGTTTTATATCTTCAATTCTGTTATGTAGGGCTTCAAAGGGTCATAGAGAAGTTAATGTCACTGTAACTGGGCTTGAAGTTCGATAGTGTTTTTAAAATCAGACAATAAAGGTCTAGATCAAAACTCGACACCAAATCTTTTAGAAATTATTTTACAAAAGAATACAAAATAAAGGGTTCGTTTCTAACGATTAGTGAGGTAGCATGCTCAGCCTAAGTTCTAAGCTGAATACAGGTAGTGAGAGTGAGGTTAGAGTTGCCCCGCCAATGACTAAGCAAAACAAGGGACCATCCCGGCCCTTTACGCGAGAAAACGCATCTCAGACGCGACCTCAATTCACCTGTCCGCATTTTCGAGTTGCCCCGGTAAATTGCCCAGCGAAAGCGATCCTTGCAGATCTGAGCAAATCGCGAATTGCCCAAATCCAACCGCACTTCAACACATAGAGATGCCTCATTCTGTGTCACCAGAAGCGACCTCACCACCTAACGAAATCGCGGTTCCCGACGACGCAATGGCCGACTCCCCTGTCCACCCCACCGCCAGCCAGGCGACTGACGGCGACGTCGCGATGGCCGAGGTTGATGCGCCGGTGTCTGCCACCGAGGAGAAGAAGGACGTCAAGCTGGAGGACCTGTTCTTGGACGGAGACTCGGACGATGAGTTCCCCAGCTCAAAACCACAAGACACGCCCGCGTCGAGTTCTTCAGGGCTCGCGACACCCCTTTCGCCGACGTGGGTTCGCTGACTTCGATTGGATGGCCGCTTGCTAACACAAGTTTCAGAGACATCGCCGACTTGAAAGCTTCAGATCCTGAGGTGATGCGCAGTTTCTACCAACGCCTGTTCCCGTGGAGATATCTCTTCCAGTGGTTGAATCATAGCCCCTCCCCGACGAATGACTTCGGCCACAGAGAATTCGCCTTTACGTTGCAGAACGACGCATACTTACGATACCAATCGTTTGCGACACACGATCTGTAAGCTGCCAGATCCCGCCACTTTATCACAGATAGAGACTGACCCCTCCAGCCTCCGGAAAGACGTCCTTCGCCTGATGCCCTCCCGTTTCGAAATCGGCCCCGTCTACAGCACTAACCCGCGCGACCGCAAAACCCTCCGCAACGCCAGCGCCTTCAAGCCCCTCGCCAAGGAGCTCTGCTTCGATATCGATCTGACGGACTACGACGAGATCAGAACGTGCTGCGACAAGGCCAATATCTGCATCAAGTGCTGGCAGTTCATCACCATGGCGATCAAGGTCGTCGATGTTGCGCTGCGGGATGACTTTGGCTTCAAGCACATCATGTGGGTGTACTCCGGTCGAAGAGGTGCTCACGCGTGGGTGTGCGACAAGAAGGCGCGGACGATGGGCGACCAAATGCGCCGGTCGATTGCAGGGTACTTGGAAGTCATCAAGGGCGGCGCGCAGAGCGGGAAGAAAGTGAACCTGTGGCGGCCGCTGCACCCTCATATTGCGTAAGTCACTTCCAGTCACGACCTGAGGTTTCAAGTTACTGATAGCCATCGCAGAAGGAGTCTTGAAACCCTCAAATCCCACTTCCAAGAAGACGTCCTCGAGGCGCAAGACCCCTGGGCCTCCAGCGAGCGCGCCGAGCGCCTTCTCCAGCTCCTCCCGGACAAGAACCTCAACGAGTCGCTACGCAAGAAATGGGACGCCGCGCCGGGGCGGTCGTCCGTCTCTAAGTGGGCCGATATTGACACCGTGGCCAAGAGCGGTGCGAGCAAGAACCTCGATGCCAAGGCGCTGCTCGAGGCCAAGCAGGACATTGTGCTCGAGTACACGTACCCCCGCCTTGATATTGAGGTCAGCAAGAAGCTCAACCATTTGCTCAAGTCGCCCTTTGTTGTCCACCCTGGTACAGGCAGGGTGTGCGTGCCGATCGACACCAAGAGTCTTGAGGACTTTGACCCGTTGGGCGTTCCGACGGTGCAGAGCCTGTTGGCGGAGATTGACGTGTGGAAGGGCGACGAGGATGTCGAGGGCGGGTCGCAGCAGAAGAGCGTGCAAGATTGGGAGAAGACGAGCCTGAAGCCATACGTGGAGCAATTCCGGTCCTTCGTCATTGGGTTGATGAAGGACGAAAGGGATGCCAAGGTCAAGAGAGAGAGGGAGGAGGATGCCATGGAGTTTTGAGACAACACCAATCGACACGACTTGCATGATGGGTATATCTGGTTAATGGGTCGGTGTTTTCTGTCGAATTTTTGAACAGCAAAGGGGGTATTCTATTATTTTTAATCGCCTGCCATGCCGGGCTATGAAGCACTCGCAGCCTCCTTTGCACTTTCTTGAGGCGCAGCTGATGACTCAGGTCCTGCCACGTTTTCCGTGATGGTCTGTCTCTCGTCCACGTCCTCGTCCTCCTCATCGTCGAACCTGCTATCCTCGATCTCGCCATCGGCCCCTTCTGCAGCGGGAGTTCCGCTGGCGCTGCCGGCACCGCCCTCCTCTTTCAGCTTCGCCTCCTTGCGTTTGGGAATCACGCTTAGGAATGCCTCAGCCCAGCTGCCCGTCTCGAGCCACTTGAGCATGATCTCGACTACGTGGTTTGTTGCGAGCACCCTCCGGCTTGACAGATTCATGTATTCCCCAATGGGTAGCTTCGCCGTCCTGATGCCCATCTCTCTCGCACGGCGATGACACAACCCTTTTTCACGGTTGCGGTCAACGAGACCACCAATGACGTAGCTCATGTTGGGCTCGAGACGGTCAAGAGTGTTGACCGAGTCGGAGGAGAGGTAAACAATATTCTTAAGCTCGTCAGCGGGTTCGGGTTCGGGATCTGGGCTGGGCGCCGCGTCGAGGACGTCCTTGAAGACCGCGAGCTTCTTGGCTGCGCCGTCCTCCTCGGTGGGCTTTAGCAGGTTAATGACCTGCCCACCGCGGGGTCCCTTCATCAGCTCATCCGCATCTTTGGACGCCTCGACAAAATCCCCCTCGATAAGCTTCACGCCCTTCCAGTGCACGTGCTGGCTTCCTAGCGTCGTCTCGAAGCGTTCCTTCAACTGGCCGCCGTACGAGCTGACGTACAGATGCGCACGGTATCTTGCGGCGCGGTTATCCGAGTAGGAGCGGGTGATCTGGCTCGCGAGCGAGACGAGCTCCTTCTCGAGCATGTACTTTTCAAAGTCGCAGTCAAGGATCAGGGTGACGGGAACCTGGGTCGAGGGCTGCTTGGGAGTCTTGCGCTTCGGGGGGATGACAACGGAGGCCGGGTCGATTCCCTTGGCCTCGGCCTCGGCGAGGGCCGCGGCGATCTCCTCGCGCCGGGCGGCCTGGCGGTCGTGGCGCTTTTCCTTGCGCTTGCGCTTGCGGTCCTCGCGGCCGTCCTCCCACGCCGCCTTGCGCTTCATCTTGCGGAGCTGGTTCTTGGAGAGTTTGGGTTCACCCTCGGCGGCAGCGGAGCCGGGGCCGGCGGTGGACGATTCGACATCGGCTTCTTCGCCGTCCTGTTCCTCGGAGGCTTCAGGGACATCCGTTTGGTTAACACCGCTACTACTTGTTCCTGTTGTCGTCGTCATAGGGTTCGGTGCTGGGGCTGGCGCTGGGGCTGCGCCGTCGCCATTGGTGGCCGTCGTCGGGACGGCGACCTCCTCTGGTTTTACGTCGGACATCTCGAGGTCCTTGGCTGGCTGATTGACGGGTTCCGACGTGGGGTTCTCCATCGGTGCGGTCGTGGTGCTGGATGTGCGTGCAGAGTTTGGAGAGGGAAGTGGGGGACTTTTGCGAAATTTCGGCGATGGTCTGCGATAGTTGTCTAGGTGCGGTTGCGTAGCGGGCGAGCTGCGGAAGCGCACTAAGCCTTTTGGGGCGTAATGCGGGGCAAGTGTAGGTGCAGTTAAGGCGCCGCGACAGAGGACTCGCGCTCTGAGTTGCAGTGGTCTGAGCAACATGAACACGGTTGCCCAGCCGTAGTTTGCAGATGAGTAATAGTCAGATTGTGCACTAGAAATTGTATCAGATCATAATTGGAGAAAAACGAAAGAGACCTTGCGAACTAGGCCTACAAAGGGGCATTACACGCCACTGGAGATGACTCTGAGGGGCGGATGAAAAAGAACCGCAAATTTGGGGATGAGCGAGTTGGCAAAGGAATGAATGTCTGTCTGCCTTGAGCTGGAAAAGCTCAGACCACACGATAAGAGCTTTGATGAGATCTGCCCAGCCATCGTTGAACACTGGTAAGACTTCTGGGTGGTCAAGAAGAAACCAGCTAATTTGGATTAGCGCCATCGCGTCGCGTCACCCCACTGAACGTCCATTTCCAGACGCGCCTCCCGGGAAACCACTTTAACCACCGCGCATTTTGGAGAAGCACAACGCGGAAGCGTGCTACATCTACTCGCCAATTACACCTACGCAACTTAACACAGTTGGTTCTGTTTTTTGTGTTGTAATCATTCGGTTGTTCTCGGTACCACACTCACAATGTCTTCAAGGCCCGAATTGAAGGTTTGTTTCCCAAGCAATAGCTTGTCCAACCAGTGGCTAAAATGTCCTAGGTCGACGATGAACACGGCTTCATCCGCTTCTTCAAGTCTCTCCCGGCCGTACACGAAGACACAGTCCGCATATTCGACCGAGGCGATTGGTACACATCACACGGTGAAGATGCCAACTTCATTGCCCGCACAGTACGATCTACACAACCTTATCGCCCCCTCCAGCCATCAACTGACCGTGACCTAGGTATACAAGACGACGTCTGTCGTGAGGACACTCGGCCGAGATGAAAAGACGGGTCTCCCCTCCGTGACAATGACTGTTACGGTCTTCCGACAATTCCTTCGAGAAGCACTGTTCAAGCTAGGCAAGAGGATAGAGATATGGGAGAGCACGGGCGGCCGCATGAATTGGAAGGTTGTTAAGCAGGCGTCTCCAGGCAACCTGCAGGATGTGGAGGAGGACTTGGGTGGCCAGATCGATGCCGCGCCGATGATCCTCGCCGTCAAGATCTCCACCAAGGCCTCCGAGGCCAGAAGCGTTGGCGTCTGTTTCGCGGACGCCAGCGTACGGGAGTTGGGCGTCAGCGAGTTCCTTGACAATGACCTGTTCTCCAACTTCGAGGCCCTGCTTATCCAGCTGGGTGTCAGGGAGTGTCTCGTTCAGACGGACAAGGCCGACAAGAACAAGGATCCGGACCTGGCGAAGCTGAAGCAGATCATCACCAACTGCGGCGTTGCCGTCTCGGAGCGGTCAGCTGGCGAGTTCGGCACCAAGGATATCGAGCAGGACCTTGCACGTCTTCTTAAGGATGAGCGGGCAACAACTCTCCTGCCCCAGACCGACCTCAAGTTAGCCATGGGCTCAGCCGCGGCGCTTATCAAGTATCTCGGCGTGCTCCACGACTCATCCAACTTCGGACAGTACCAATTGTACCAGCATGACCTCTCCCAGTTTATGAAGCTGGACGCGGCGGCGCTGAAGGCGCTAAACCTGATGCCTGGCGCCCGAGATGGCGCCAAGTCTATGAGCTTGTATGGTCTGCTCAACCACTGCAAGACTCCAGTCGGAAGCCGGTTGCTGTCGCAGTGGCTCAAACAGCCGCTCATGAACAAGGAGGAGATTGAGAAACGTCAGCAGCTCGTCGAGGCCTTTGTCAACGACACCGAGTTGAGACAGACGATGCAGGAGGAACACCTTCGCTCGGTGCCGGATCTCTACCGTCTCGCCAAGCGGTTCCAGAGGGGCAAGGCTAACCTCGAGGACGTCGTGCGTGCGTACCAAGTCATTATTCGGCTGCCTGGCTTCCTAGGAACTTTGGAAGGTGTCATGGACGAAGCATACAGGGACCCTCTTGACGAAGCCTACACAACCCCTCTCCGCGGACTCTCTGATAGTCTCGCAAAGCTCTCGGAGATGGTCGAGACCACTGTCGACCTGGACGCCCTTGACAACCATGAGTACATCATCAAACCCGAGTTCGATGACAGTCTGAGGATCATCAGGAAGAAGCTCGACAAGCTCAAGAGAGACATCGACCAAGAGTTTTCAGATGCAGCTCGCGATCTGAGGCAGGAGGTTGGCAAAAAGATCTTCCTTGAGAATCACAAGGTTCACGGGTACTGCATGAGACTCACGAGACAGGAAGCCGGCGCCATCCGGAACAAGTCGGGCTACCAAGAATGCTCAACACAAAAGAACGGAGTCTACTTCACGACTAAGACGATGCAGAGCCTCCGTCGCGAGTTCGACCAGCTCTCGCAGAACTACAACAGGACACAGAGCAGCCTGGTGAACGAGGTCGTCGGCGTGGCGGCGTCCTATTGCCCCGTCCTCGAGAGACTTGCGGGCGTCCTAGCTCATCTGGATGTTATTGTCTCCTTGGCCCACTGCTCCGTCCATGCGCCCTCCGAGTACGTGCGCCCCAAGATCCACAAGCGAGGTGAAGGTCAGACTATTCTCAAGGAGGCCCGCCACCCGTGTTTGGAGATGCAGGACGACGTTCAGTTCATCACGAACGACGTCGCCCTGACCCGGGACAAGTCTTCCTTCCTAATCATCACGGGCCCCAACATGGGCGGAAAGTCGACCTACATCCGCCAGATCGGCGTCATTGCCCTCATGGCGCAGATCGGCTGCTTCGTGCCTTGTACGGAGGCAGAGCTAACCATCTTCGACTCGATCCTCGCCCGTGTTGGCGCCAGCGACTCCCAGCTCAAGGGCGTGTCGACTTTCATGGCCGAGATGCTTGAGACGGCCAACATTCTTAAGTCGGCGACGGCCGAGTCGCTCATCATCATTGACGAGTTGGGCCGCGGTACCTCGACTTACGACGGCTTCGGTCTCGCGTGGGCCATCTCGGAGCATATCGTCAAGGAGATTGGCTGTTTCGCCATGTTTGCGACGCACTTCCACGAGTTGACAGCTCTGGCAGACGAGCACCCGCAGGTCCACAACCTGCATGTCACGGCGCACATTAGCGGTGGCGGCGGCGAGAACAGCAAGCGCGAGGTGACGCTGCTGTACAAGGTGGACGACGGTGTGTGCGACCAGAGTTTTGGTATCCATGTGGCGGAGCTGGTTCGGTTCCCGGATAAGGTGGTGCGGATGGCGAAGCGAAAGGCTGACGAGCTTGAGGATTTTACGTCCAAGCATGAGGACCTGGGGCTCAAGTACAGCAAGTCAGACATCGAAGAGGGCAGCGCGCTGCTCAAGGATGTGCTGCTGCGATGGAAGGGAGAGGTTGCCGCAGGGCAGATGAGCAAGCAGGAGATGGTCTCCAAGCTGAAGGGCTTGGTCATGGCGGACGAGAAATTGCTGGCGAACCCTTTCTTCCAGTCTGTCAAGACGTTGTGAGGACTTGTTTATGGGGTTGACAATGGTTGTCCTTGGTTTTGCGCATGGCGTTTTGGGGGTCGGGATTACGGGACTGTGAGTGTACAATAACAATGATCAAATGGCAGGCTTTTGTATCGAGATGGCTTTTATTCTAGGAGACTGAGCTACATGGGAACTTTGTAGAAGAAAAGCAACTGATATCAAACATAAGATCACATCGATGCTCGGTGACATTGGAAAAAGCCTAGACTTCAAGACGTCAGTATACATATGCATCGTGGTCCAAGTATGAATAGCAAGAAAGTTTTGAGTGAACAAATCAGACAATTGATAGAACGGTGTAATTTCGAATCATTAACATTCATAAACAGCCTCTGAAGCTGAGTATCATCATTGAAAGGGGTAGGAGTGATGTGTAAGAGGGAGAACTTGAACATACCGTGATCAATGAGGCAAGCCTCGCCCAACGGGACAGCATGAAGTGCGAACGGAAGGGTCATCATGGGTAATCAACTTGTCAACTGATATAGGAAGAACAGTTACTGGGTTGTACGTTAGCAATCTCCTCAAAGCCCGGCGATTTGTTGTAGAAAATGAGCGATGAATTGCAAGGGATCAGATAATTGATAGAACGGTGATGTTTCGAATCATGTTTGATGGAAATCATAAACAGCCTCTGAAGCTGAGTCTCATCATGTCGTGCTGGTTTGGGTGTTCTTTGGATGGAGTCTAGACTTACCATTCGTGAGAACCAGACGGATTTGGCCAAGTTAGCCGTTGGGGCACGTGAAGCTGGAAAACCAAGTCAGTCATCAATGAATGGTCATAGTTTTGCCCGAGAAAACGCAGTTTAAAAGGTGTTGGATCAGAAATAAAGATAGAACGGTGTAAGTTTGAATCATGTTTTGTTCATAAACAGCCTCTGAAGCTGAGTCTCATCATCGAATGGGGGGGGGGGTTGCGTGGTTGAGGCTGGGCTGAGTACTTACCAAAGGTCTACGCCAGAAGTACGCAGAAAGGGCAGAGAGTTTCAAGCTGGCTCACGATTCGCCGCAATTTTAAACTGTCCTAAAACTAATGGATAACCGTCAGCCGCTGCCTATGCTCGGTGTCCAAAATTTGAGAGATTATGATCGAGATCAGAAAATGATAGAACGGTGATGGGTCGAATCATAAAATAATTCATAAACAGCCTCTGAAGCTAGTGATTCATCATCTCGAGGGGGCAGTAAGGATATGAGGTCGAACGTACCATTTCATCAAGGTGAAGTGAAGTATCGCGTATTCCATCCCAAGAGGCAATGACGCCAATCCTCGGGTATACGACCAATCGAACCGCACTGGCTAGGCCGCACCTGCCTCATCAACACGGTGAGTGACCTTTTTTATACAGATCTAGCGTCGAATCTGCCAACCAAGCCCAATGAAGGGCCCTTTGGCCCAGAGGTATAACGCCCTGGATCGTTAGTGTGAACTTGGTGATGAAATCCAAAGAAGTTTGCTGATGGAGGATTTCGTAGGGTGCGGGTTCAATCCCGCACCTGAGCTTTTGTTTTTGGGCTTTCGTAACATTTTTACATCCTTTCTGGCCAGCATTGTCATTTCCTAGAAGTCTACGTCAGTTTATCTGAAGACGTACGGAGATTACGACACGGATGAAGAATGTAGTGCATAGTCAGACAAATGATAGAACGGTAAAGGTCTAATCATGGAGATCATAAACAGCCTCTGAAGCTAGTGTATCATCATACAGGAGAAGGGGAAAAAACGGGAGTGGATGGACAACTCACTCTGACGATATACGCATTGACTAAGCCTTGACACGCGGCAGCCACAGTGATCTGGAACAGATGTCAGCACCCATATCAAGCAGGAGAACGCAAAGAATTGAGGTAGTGAATGGGATATCAGACAGAAAGATAGAACGGTGATGTGTTGAATCATGTAGATCATAAACAGCCTCTGAAGCTAGTATATCATCATGGAAAGGAAGGGAACTGGGACACGTAGAAATACTTACTCCTTGTCGAGATCGGTTGCATTAGCTAGAACGAGGTTTGATTTACCGACTACCCTGAGTCCGACGTTAGTGTGTGCTACGAACAGCAAGACGCAAGCAAGACGGAGTTGTTAAAGCAAAGTCAGACAAAAGATAGAACGGTAAATGTTGAATCATGAAGATCATAAACAGCCTCTGAAGCTATTATATCATCATTCGAAAATGGCAAAAAATCAACTGCATGCAAAAGAACGTACCGTTGTTGTGACGCAGTAGGCGGGTGCGTCGATAGAGACAGGCACACATCACGCGGAAGCTCGGAGAGCATGGGAACAAATAGTACAATTCTCCATTTCCTCTAGCCGATGAGACTCCTCTCCTCTGCCCACGTGTTCCGTAGGCTGTGTATGTACAAGCAACGGGAAATAAAAGAGCATGCCTCGCTAGGCCGAATGGTGGATGGGGTAAGGTGGTAGTGGTGGTGTTTTTCGTTTGGAAAGGGGTTCTTCCTTTACTCGACAGTCGCCTTGACGGGGTTGATCTCAACTCCGTACTTCTCCTTGAGCCGCTCGCGTCTCCGCTCCTCGTAGCCCGGTGGCCGGATGCCTGTAAAAACGTCAGCCTCGCGTGGGATAATGGCCCCCGATCATCCCAGAGAGAATGATACATACCACGGCCCTCGCCAATCTCTGCAATTGTCTCCTCAATCGGGCGTCTCTTGGCCTGACGCTGGGCAATCTTGTTGTCAAACTCGGCCTCGTCCAGCCTGCCTTCCGTCCATCCTCTCAGACGACCGCCAGTGACCTGGAAGATTCCCTGCCATGCGCCGAAGGCGGCGCCCAGACCGAGCACAACAGGCATTTTCCTGGCTATTCAAGTCGCAACCCGTAAGCATCCTATCTCGCAAAACTTCAGCATCAGGGAGGGGGTGCCCATACTCGTCATTCCCAGGATGGAACCGGCAACAAAACCGGCAGTCGCAGTGTTCCACGCATCGTCCTTTTGTCTGAGGTTGGCCATTGCGGATTGGGTAAAGCCGTACGCGCCGCCACCAATCGCTGTGGAAGTGCGTCAGTATGAAGTGGTCTCCAATCGAAGTTGGCAACAGGACTGAGGCGACGTACCCATGACGGCGATGATGCCGCCGCTGCGGGTGAAAACGGACATGGCGCCAACGTTCTGCTTCTGGAGGGCATTGTGGACAGCGGCCATGAAGAAACCGGCACCACCAAGGGCCGCGGAGGCCGTGATGCTGGCCTTGATGGCGTCCTTGGGGTGGTACGTGTCGTCGTCGCCGGCCATGGTTGCGGGGGTGGTTCGGAGTCGCGGGCCAGACACTCAATTGGAAAAGAAGTTGATGTGGGATCTGGCGGAAGTTTGAGGTCGGGTTGAAGCTCCACGAATGGGTGCTCCACCTCCGAGCTGGTCACGTGGCTTGCACCGGTGTGGAGCCAATCAGGTGGCATGCAAAGGTCAACCGTTCAACGTCAGCTGTCGACGGCCAAAGCTGACTCGGGAGGTTCTTAAGCATGAAGCCATTTCAGGCCTATGGCAACATTTGAATCTTGTGATTAGAAGAGAATTATGTCTCCGCGAAGAGGCTACGTAATGCCGTTGCGTTTGGGTCATTGGATATCGTTTGGTCTTCACTTAGAGATGGAATTGGACGTTACCATTGGCTGCCTAGTATGACTAAGCTTCAGCTGGTCGCGGGCTCTTGGACCAGTACGGTCACGCACCAAGTCACCTGACGCTTGTTAGTCCGCTCGACAACAGCCAGAAGCCGTGGAAGCCACATCCCTGTGTTCCATGTGATTCTAGCTATGAGCGGACCGTACGCCGCACCTTACCGCGCAGCCCGTTTGCCCCATTCCGAGCTGCGGGCGATCTGAAGCAACTCGGCACGGCGGACATTGACGGTCGGTTGCGCTTTCCACGCTTTCCAGATTACCTCATGCATACCGACGCCTCCCGCCACTGCGTACTGTCCGCTTCACCGAGGAAGCTTTGTAGCACCTGAGGTATGTGTCCAATTGCCTAGCTACCTTACTGTACGTGCCTGTTAGTGCAAGGCTACCAGCTGCGTCAGCCTGTCCACGTTTCTACCCCCGCCACACGACACCCTACCCACCACCGAGCTCCATAGATCGTGCCCGCCATTCCCTGTCCTTGATGCATTAAAGCTGGCGTAATTGTTTCCAGTTTCTCGCCTTAGGACAGCTATCTTACTTTTTGCCTTCCTCTAGGGTTTTCGTTCGGTCTGCATCTAGATACCCTCCGAGCTTTCCAGCTTGCATTCCTCTCGACGTTATTACCGCCGCCTTTTGCAGTTTGCATCTACACGCACGATTCGGACGGAGACTCCGTTTGATCTCGGTCCAGCCTCCACGACGCCAAACCTCTACAGCTCCGAGACAAGACAACGTTCAACTTGTTGGTAATATCCCTCCTCCTATAGCCTTTCATCTTGGTCCTAAGCTAAACCGTCTTTCTCAGTGTCGCGCACTTAGTGATCCCTCCTCCGCGAGCCTTTCCGAGCGATCTTCAATACAGAGTACCGATTGACACCTATCTCGACGCGAAACCGAACTTCACTGCTTCCCGACGTCGTCTAGGCTAAAGAGTTCGCCTTCGTTCTAGTTCGACAGTTACGGTGTATCTCCGTGGCGCATACGAAGCTCGTACATACATCGGATTATAACCGCTCGTCACAGCACTTACGTCGTGCCCGTCCGCCTTGACGCATGTCACCTTAGTCTGACGTGCACAAGGCTTTGCGAGGCAAGCTTCTTGACAGGTGATCTTGTCTCTAGGATATTATCCTTGGCATGCTGCTGACCCTAATGCCAAGGTTACTTCGCCCGACGAGCCACGAAGCCAACCTCTACGTCGAGCCTGTCGCATCACTATGGCCATCTCAGACCAGTACTCAATCATGTCACCAAGCGACTCACCAACTACTCAACACTGGGAAGGAAGGCCTGCGCCCGTCAAGGAAAACATGCGGGGAAAGACCGGTATGCCAATTCAGGCTCACCCCTCTATTTTGTGAACCTTGTGACCATGGGGAACGCCTTGGTCTTGGCGTAGAAACAGTCGCGGCTGACAGATGTTGACTGCTAAACAGGTCGTCTAGCACCAAGATGGGTACAGGACTTACTCAATTCTGATCTTGATTCCGGCTCGTTCGCAAGGATCGAGTGGGATCGCGAAGCACGCTGCAGCAACACTGGCGTCCCCATCGTCTTGTCCTTGTGGGCAACCAGAGCACAGCAGAAGGTCGCAATCCTGGCGTTCTCTCGTGCGTCTGCTGCAACTGCGACTTCCATTTTATCCTTAGGACATCTTGGGATCCGGATCAAATGGTTTGTCTCTGTCGTCCTCAAAGTCTTCACTTTCCCCGAAGGAAACAGATTTTTACCTCCATCATCTGGTCAACGTCAAAGAACCGATCCGGCCCGCTACGTCCGTATCGGATTATCATCCTATGATCAGAGAGGCACTACTTGCGGTCGAACATTTTGCCTGCTCTGCACCCCGCTGCACGTTCCAAGTATCTGTTGAGATCTCACGACCTCGACTGAAGCGTGAATGGGTGCGTCTACTTCTCGATAAGCAGCGCATTCTCGACAACCTGGCCCGAGCCAGAAAGCTCTCGCCGGAGCGTTTTGCGGACGCCAGGGACGATTGGTCCACCAGCGCCCCGTCCACCTTGAACACGTACCTCAGAGATTTGCTGGATAAGCCTAACCCACGCAACATTTCCCGACGTAACAAGCGTTTTCAGGTTGTGTTCGGCGATGAATGCTACGCCATCTTCAGAGCGATTCAGTTTACGGAGGAGAATCTCGATAAGGACGGCGTCTTCGAACCGTACTTCATTCCTCCGATGCTGGAGCCTGGCACCCCGGGCATACCGACAAAGCTTAGCACGCTGCGCGCCTTCATCGAGGATCTCCAAGCTGAGGCGGAGAGTCTCATCATCCGAAGTGGGAAGCCTGGCGAGAATCGGCCTTATGTCGGCAACAGACTGTTCAAAGAGCTGCAGTGCTTCGAGTATCCGCAGAACAATGTTCCACAATCAGCGATTGAGGCGCATCGAGTTCTTGGCGTTCTCCCCGATTTCGACAAGGCCCTGGTCTTCTTCGCCTACAACCGACAGTCAGCCCTTTGCGAGAAGCGTCGTCAAACCTACGTTGAAGCACTTCGCGAAATTGCACTTCTTACTGCGGATGAAGACTTTCAGACCCGTGCGATACAAGAGCTTACCATCGTGGAGGGAATGGACCCTTCGAGCACACATGGCGCTGGGGACGAGTTGGAAACCCAAGCCTATTCCTTCTTCAGTCTTAAGTACACTGCCAGCGACGATAACGTCATCTCAGCTTACAACACCAAGCTTGAGCACTCTCCTGCTCAAGCGGATTTTGCACGAGAGATGCTTCAGATCATTGGGCGCCATAGGGGCAGTGACAGAATCCTCACGCATGCGAACGGTCCTATGGACGTCGCCTCAGCTTATCGCATTCTTGAAGCGGACCCACAGTGGCCTGACAATACCATCGTCATGCTGTGTAGTGTTAAGGTACGTTTCGAAGTTGATATCGAGACGGTGATGTTTCGCTGACCTAGGTACTTCTTCCGTTGTAGCTTAATAAGGACCCGAAAAGCAAAGCCACCGCGGAAGTCGCTATCAAAGCTATGGAAGCGATCGCCTCCGATAGGAACAGCGACGAAATACGCCAAGCAGTCAAAGCCCTTGAACAAGAGTCGGGCCGCCCGTCTCAGCAAGAGAAAATCGAATCATTGCCCTTAACTAACACGAGCAATCTCCCCGTCGGTCTGGAAAATATCGGTAACACCTGTTACTTGAATAGCATTCTTCAATACCTGAACACTGTCGTTCCCATCAAAGACTTGCTTGCTCACTACCCTATGCATGAGCTTGGCCTGGATGACTCGGATATTCAGCGTCGACTCATTGGCGGAAACAAGCTAAAAATCGACCGCGCTGAGGCAGTTGTTGCTCGTGTTTGTAAGTGTTTGGCAATCATTTGACGCCGTTTTAATGCTGATTCTTTTCAGTCGTTGAAGAGCTTGAGCGACTTTTGAACGACCTCGGCGGCTCGCAGGCGCCCGCTATCCGTCCCTCTCAACGTCTCGCCAATGCTGTCCTGCTACCTACCTCGAATCTCACTGAAGAGCCCATCCCACAACAAAAGACCAAGGATGCTGCGGAGCTGAGGACACTAGAGGTTATGGGCGCTCAATTCCCTGCCCCTCCGCCTTTACCTGCGAGGCCTCCCCCGGGGCCTCCTGCGCAAAAGACGGAGCAAATAGAGGATGTTGACATGGTCAATGTCACCGTTGATCCGGTCTCGGAATCCGCTAGCAGCGTAAGCTCACAGACCCTGGTCAATATGTCTGACGTTGACCATGAAAAGAGGGAGTACGTGCCCGAGGACAAGACGGACATCAGAATTGTCTCCCAGCCGGTTGAGGCATCAGCGTCAGAACCAGTCACCGACAGCGATGTCAAAATGACCGGAGTTGAGACCCCATCGCTCAACGTCGAGCAACGGGTACTCAAGGCCTTGGAGACCCAGACCAGGACTTCAGGCACGGAACAACAGGACGTCGAGGAGGTGATGGGCAGCATCATAAACCGTCTTCAGGCGGCAATCAGACCCACAAGGACAGATGCCGCGGACGGAATCCAGTGGGAGCCGATCATGGAGACGTTCTACGTCGAGTTGACAAACCATACAAAATTTCCCAACCAGGACAAGTACAAATTGGACTCGACGCTGGAGCGTGCAATTACAGCATACCCTGCCGAAGCTGGTCCGACTAACATTCATGACGGCTTGAGTCGCAACTTCGACCTACAGAGAGTCGTTGCCGGTAAGGAGGACATCATGCGCTTTACATCGATCAAGAGGCTTCCTCCTATTCTTCATGTTCTCATTCAAAGGACCCAGAACAACGGCAATAAGAACATGAATCCTGTTGAGGTCTTTGAGACATTATATCTCGATAGATACATGGATACTCCAGATGATCCACAGTTCTTTAAGCTGAGGCAGAAAGGATGGGCTCTCCAACAGCGCTTGGAACAGCTTAACAACATACCCAAAACCGCAGCTGATGATGCAGAGATTATCGACAGTTTCGTCAACGACTTCGTCCATGTCAATAAGGCGGAGATCCCGGAGCCCGACTCGCTACTTGGAGGCCTGCCAACTTCTTCTCTTGACTTTGCTGGGGAGGATTCGTCATTCCCAACTTACAACCCGTCTGATATGTCATTCAACAAGAGTGATCCGCCCGACACGGCGGGTTTTACTGCAGAGGGACGCCAGCAGATCAACAACATGCGCGTTGAAGAGGTAAAGACATACAAAGCTGAGCTTGATCAACTTTTCTCTCACCACAGGAAGCATGCATATCGTCTGCATGCAGTAATTTGCCACAGCGGTCAGCTGAGGGCAGGTCACTATTGGGTGTGGATTCACGACTTCGAAGCCGGTGTATGGCGCAAGTACAACGACAGGACCGTGACAGAAACTCCGGATACCGACGAGGTGCTAAAGACACTCAATAGCAACGGCGACCCATACTACCTCTGCTACGTTAAGGAGGGAAGGGAACACGAGCTAGTCAAGGTGCCCAAGCGCAGCTTGCCGCACTCATCGACCCCAGGTCAAGGGAATTCAACTGGGGACGCTATCAAAGGTGGAGCTGAGGATGCAGACGGGGATATCGACCTGATTGACATGGGTGGCCCGACCGCGGATACGCAATCAGCCTCAAAAACCTCGCCGGCAACAGACGGGCCATCGACTGACACCGTGGAGCGTAACCAGACATAGAAAGATGGTGGCACGACGGATGACTCGCTTAGGGGCCGCACTCTGAAGAGGCGAGGAATAGGTAAGCGAGAACTCAACCTTAGTTGCTATCGGCCTGGCGCTGACACTCACTAGTTCTTGATAACTCTCCATATCTACGCCGCTCGCCGCGGAAGAAAGGATCAGTTCGCTTCATAATCGACTGATGAACCGAGCCACGCAAATGAGGCGCGCGAGGGGCCATGGCAGCCTTACAGGTTAGCCACACGGCAACATATCCAAAGCGTCGCAGTGACAAAGACTGCATTTTACGGCTCAGTTCACTTTTGGGAATTTCTCCCGGATTGGTCGTCGACCGTTGCCGGTAGTGACACACACCTTTATTGTGCGAACCGACACCATCACCCTGTACTCAAGTTGCATAGACTCGGAGCTTATGCGAAAGAATTATATGACAGGCGCCGTCTGTGTTACGCAACTCATGATTAAGGACCCAAAACGACTTGCGTTATCTTTTCATACTGAGCATAAGCGGTGAAAGATTTGGGTTGCTTATTATCAGCATGATTACTTCTACAGCATGATAAGGACCCCCAAATACCCCAGTTTACGATATGAATAGATATGAATTGAACGTTACTTTTTTACTATGTATCTGTCTCTTTTAATTTTGCAGTTTCTTTTCATTCTTCCAAGATTCTGTTTTTTGCCTTGATCTATCGGGAACACTTTCCATGTTGGTTAAACTGCTGGTTTGCGGTAATAATTTCGAACATCGCGAGGTTGCCGGTGTGGAGATGTCTTGGTCGCCGATCCAACCAGGTCGCCGACAACCGCCCCGCCCCTTTGGCTCAGTGGTAGAGCGTCGCACTCGTACTCTCGTCATGCGAAGGTCCACGGTTCAATCCCGTGAGGGGGCATTTACTTTTGCTCCAGCGGTCAACTGATGGAATACTTGTTCCGACAAGGTACCGGGGAGACGTTGGGCTTGGGTTTCCATGGTGTCTTGTATGAGGGGACTGCAGAACTGTCATTCATGACTACGAAGAGCGACTGATTTGACATTGTCGTGGATGGGGGGTTAGGTGAAAGATGTTGAACGATAGGCCTCCGAATGCTAGGAACGGGTTTTGGGAGCCTGGGAGACGAATGAAAACCAAATCCCTCCCTCCCTTTCTCGAGGATGGGTCGTGAGACGTTGAGAGTTTGAATCGCAGTGCTAGTGTCGGACTTGTGCGACAACGGAGATGGAGATAGTTGCCAACGGGAGATGTTGGAGTCTTAGCACGAAGATCGCGGCATTGGATCCTTCTATGTTGCGACCAAGCGGCGAAATGTGGCCGATGCGGATGACGTCTGCGAGAGGATTAAATAAAACGGAGAGACAAAGGCATGTCGCTTGCACTTGTCGACCACCGTCGGTGCTCGGGCTACTCGATGCGATGTAGATCGCTCCCCGGCCGCCGAAGCTCTTATCGTCAGAGAGCAATGAAGGGCATCAGCCGGTATCTGAGTTGAAGACCGCAGCGATAGCTCAGGACCAAAAGAAGAGGAGTCCTAGAAACACATCATGTACACAACGAGATAGCACGGGAAAACAACCCCCCGCGCACTCGAAAGCGACGGCGCAACCAATGTTCCTGTTCAAGAAGTGACTGTTCAAGAGCAATGCCGAGATGGTTCGCTGGCAAACGGTTCAACATGTCGAAATATCACAAATCACCTCACCAGACGACCAGCGTCCTAACCTGGTTTAATGCACGCCACGAGGCCATAGAGCAGGAGCGAGACACCTGCGAGATCGAGAGCATGCACGCCCTCCTGCGAGATGAATGTAACACGACAACCTGCGTGTTGAGGACAGCCTCGCTTCCTGCGAGATCCATTTCAGGGACAAATATACACACTGCGAGGTCCAGGTGAGCCGAGTATGCAGGCATGATCGAGGGAACGCGGAACGCAGGTCAAAGAAAGCAGGCTAGCCGTGACCTCGCCCTGTAGTCATCATCACGTCAAAGCACCGAAACATGTTCCTTGGTTCCCCCTGGGTAGATACGAGTTGTGGCCTGATTCCGTAGGAACACGGCGGAGGTCTCGTCCGGGAACTTGGGACGGGCGACGGGGTAGGTACGACGGATATGCGGGGTTTCGGGCTGGCGCCGACGTGACACAAGTTATCGCTAGGGAATCTGTGGAGCATGGGAAAGATTTTCTGAGGTCAACTTGATCTGAAGAAATAGTATTGCGATAGTTGATATGGAAAGATGAACAACACAATTCGGATGTCATTTGATTGCATGTGCTCGTACATGTATCCAGTCTTTGTAGTATGTGACCCGGATATACCTCGTGACTCGCGGATGTAGAAGGGCGTCATGCCCGTGCTAACAGTCTCGAAAGAATGCCTTTAATGGTGCAATCTCGAAGTTGTCTGGTGTCTCTTTGGCTTTTCTCCTTAGTAATCTCTCGTCACGTCGCCCTGCCCGTCGTCCCCGTCGTTGATGGGGATGGGCGCAGGAGGTTGCGGGGTCTGGGGCTTGTGACTCGGATAGGAGGCCATTGTATCGTTTTCCGCCGATGTGACTTGCCCAGCCAGCGGTGTCAGCTTTCAATATTCTCCCCTGAATCAAAGCGATACTGAGCGATGTGAGGTGTGATACCTGAATGGAATGTCAGGAGTTGCAAGTCAAGTTGGGCAGTTTCAGCGGCTGATGGCGGGCGAATACGTGGGAAAAGGTTCCGTCATCCGTCGTTCGTCCAGGGGGAAATAAGAAAGAACAATCCGAGATGAGGGGGTGGTGAAAGTATATATGCTTCTTGACCTCCCCTTTGATACTCGGAAGCGGTTGATCGGCGGGGGCGCGTGACGTCAGGCCACCATGATACGGGAGTGGTGTCGGCTTACCTTGTAGACGATGGAATTCGACTGGAGAACTGCGCGGTTTGCTGGGTTGTACCTCGTGATCGTGAGCGAATTCTGATGTGAGGCGATCTGCGTGTTAATCCCAAAGCTCGGGTAGGTGAAGTGGTTAGTTGATAGGGTGAGAGTTCGTCAGTGCGGGATCCAGAGAAAAAGGTGTCTTTGGATGCGGTCCAATGACTCGTCTAATTTGGAAAGTTTCAGGGTCGCAATCTCACATAGGAGGAAGCTTTTGACCTGTCACTTCGAAATCAGACCAGAGAGGTTTCACGATGCTAAAGATGGTCGGCTGTCAAGCATTCCCGGTCTAGCGCATACGGCAAAAGCAGCTCTGCGCTATGTGCGGCTAATGCTGAAATGGTGATGGTGACGCGGAGCAGGTGTGGTTGTTGATAGTGTCGTTCAACAAGCGACTCTTCTCTGCCGTCGATGCGCTACCTACTGTAGAGAAAGGACCGGACATGCTTGGCTGCTGATCTTCCATTCAAACTTCTTCATGAGCCCGACCCCCTGACAGTTACCTGCAGTGGAGAGGCACTAACTCGGCCCAGCAAGGCGAAGAGTTCTAGGCATTGGTGACAAGACCTCCACAAGGTGTTCAACCCCCTGGACCGCTGTTGGTGATTTGTTTAGCTCCCGCGTGTGTCGGTGGCTGATCCCCCGCCGACCCGCTATGGGCGCTGGAACAGCCCCGGCCGGCGCGGGGGGACCGTCATTGGTGACCCACATACAAGGTGCATGCGGCACAGCTGTCAGAATCCTCCCATTATCAGAACATCAGATCATAAAACCCCACCGCCCAAACAGCCCTCTTGCGAAGATCCTTTCCTACAGAACCGAAAAGTGTCTGGGTCCGAGAGTGCGGTGAAGGAACGGCGTAATCTTCTGAATTGGATCTGGCTAACATCTTCCTTGTAGTTGTTGTCGGTGGTAGTCGCCGAAGCGATGAGTCGACGAGACGGCACAAAGTCATGCAGCAGTGTCGCAGTGAGTCAGATGATCAGTGAGAATACAACTTCTTGGTCCAAAGAGATAGCGTTTGCGGACTGGCGAACTTGCCATAGGTTGATGGCGCGGAGGCTGGTCGTGCCCTCGAAAGATGCAAAGAGTATGCCTATCTCTCTGCGTCTCCTACCATACTTTCACCAGACCATCAGATCTGCCCTTTGATCTGAAATCATCTTGACTGGCAACAACGTCCGAGCCAGCCTGCTTGCTCTTACAATCTGCCATTCTGCCTTCCATCTGTATTTTGTCATATTGTTGATTTGCACGTCGATTCATGTTGCCATGCCGTCGTTTCGAGCCATTGTGCTGGCGTCGTCAGCTGGCACCGGTTCCATACTCATGCAGGACGTCGGGCGACTCGAAACGAAACGGTGTTCCACGAGCAGCTCTCTCGCACACGACCTTGAGGCTTCCCCTCGTTTAGCAGGGTTTGGCCAAGGCTTTACCCCTCCGTTGTTGGGGTTTGGCCGGGTAATTTGCTGGTGGCTGCCGTCATTGATTTGCGTCCATCGTGGAACATTGCACAAAGATTTCGACATGGTCCTGCCGATGCACCGTCCTTCAAGAAGAGCAAGAAAAGAAAAGAAGAAGAAAAGCAGATTCCATAGGCGGAGTTACGAAAATGCTGAAGGAAACGGCTCTCGAGCAAACTTTCCGTATAAGATGATATAAGAACCTCGAATCAGGCCACGACCCTGCATCGACGAAACCGGTCCCAAGCTCCAAAGCTTGAGCTCCCCGCCCTGCTCGTCTCGTTGGGACTGGGGCCCAAGCTCCCACCGCAAAAAAAAAAATGGTGGGGTGATGTCTGCAGGATTGACACTTGGCGGGGTTAGCAGGCCGCAAGGGGGGTACGCCGGGCCCCGGGAGTGCCAGGTTTAGAGCAGGCAAGGAATGGAATGTATGGGGGAACTCGGTGCGTGCCACGACCCGCGTGCACATATCACGATCCAGGCTCGCCATGAATCAGCTGCTTTTCGATTTTGGACGAGGAGGCGGCCGGCTTCCGCTCTGCACCGTAAGCCCAGGGCATGCATGTATATGCATACAAGGTTGCCCGATGCACTCTGGCGTGGGTGGGTTCAAATCGCCAGATACGACTTCCCTCTTGGCGGAAGGCATTCTACTTGGTTCGGTTCCGGTGCCGACATGCCACTGATCCGCTCTGCTATTGTCGCAGACGTCCCTTGCCGATCCCTGATGCTGGTTCAGTGGTCTGCTCGTCTGGGGTGAGCGGAGCCAGGGAAGTGGTCGGCCATGCCCAGCAAATGCTATCAGACGGCGTTGGTCGCGAGGTTGCTTCCATCGGATTTACAGTGGCCTCATTGAGGGGTGGCGCCTTCCATCCGATAGAATGCCCGCCCAATAGGCCGTGGTCCTTCCGCACCCATCTCAACCGACGCAACTTCCCTCGGCGTTGGGATTCGTCAATCATCCTCACCTTCTTGGTCACCGTCTTTTTTTCTGAACACACACACCGAGATGGCTGACGGCGGCCGACGGTGGAAGGTACGTACTGGACGTCGGCACGACAGAGACGGACATTCAGCCCGGGCCGTACCCCAGCCTCCACTTCCTTCTCGTACTCCCGCTTACTGAGACCAGAACCACAAAGATGCAAGCAAACACCAAGAAGCCGCGACTCCTCGTTCCTCCATGTACTGAAAACGGACCAGCAAGCCAGTCGAATACAAAGACGGGGTCAGGATTATGACCGATGCCGACATGGGGCACAAGGTGACGTCGGCTGCATATCAGTTGGTGCCATAGCCGCAGTTGAGTCGCGCTCAGAAAATCAGACCACCTCTTCTCCCCACGCACAAACACTACAGATCTGCCTCCCATCACCACGAACCTACAAGGAATACGCGCATGTTCCTCAGCTCACCTGCAGCTGCCTCCTTCATTTTCGTCCTAGACATCTGTCACCCTGTCATCAACTGCTCCCGGCTCGCCCTATGGATGCTACCACGAGACAAGCCCACCCAAGCCCAGGCAGCAAGGATGGCAATCGTTCTTCCCCCACGTTGTACCCATCCGCCATGAAATGGCTTGGGTTCCGTAACTAAGGCTGCCATTCTCCATGAAGAGGGCCTAACAAGACTTGTACCGAGGCGTTACGAGGAGCGTATACGTGCCACAAAGTTCCCCATCTTTGTAACACCCCTGCTAGCATATCCTTCTTTTCCCAACGTCCACAAGCTTCCCCTCCTATCCCAGTCGGGGCCGTCAACATCGGCTGATGGAACCCAGGCCTGCGTCTTTGTTGCGCTTTCGCTGCTGTCTGCTGTCCACTTGGGATCAGCACCAAGAGTGAGCATCAGTCCCAAGCCAGGACTGCGCTACCACCCGCCACCCGGTCTCTGGGCAGAACGGCCGCATCTCATTTCTGGTCATGTCTATCCTCTTGTCTCCAGTGACCAAGCAGATAGCTATAAAGGCCATGCCCTCTCTGCCTCCGTCCAGTTTCTCATGTTCTCATAGAGCCACCACTCCAAAGGCATCTTGGCCTACACACAACAACACACAACTCATCCATCACTTACACACCTCCCTCCATAATGACTGACAAGGAGGTCGAGTCCATCAGCCCCTATGGCCCAGCCCGGTCAACAGTCAAGGGCGAGCCGCTCTCGAAAGCAGACATCGACAAGTACAATGACTTCTTCAAGGCGAGCTTATACCTATCTCTGGGTATGATCTTCCTCAAGGAGAACCCCCTCCTCCGGGAGCCTCTCAAGAAGGAGCACATGAAGCTGAGGTTACTCGGCCACTTCGGATCTGCTCCGGGTCAAATCTTCACCTGGATGCACTTCAACCGCCTCATCAAGAAGTACGACCTCGACTCCATTTTCATCTCCGGCCCTGGCCACGGTGCGCCAGCCGTACTCTCCCAGTCATACCTCGAGGGTGTCTACTCCGAGGTTTATCACGACAAGTCCGAGGACATTGAGGGCATGCAAAAGTTCTTCAAGTCCTTCTCCTTCCCCGGCGGCATCGGCTCCCATGCCACCCCCGAGACTCCGGGCTCCATCCACGAGGGCGGAGAGCTCGGCTACTCTGTCTCTCACGCCTTCGGTGCTGTCTACGACCACCCCAACCTCATTGCGCTGACCATGGTCGGTGACGGAGAAGCCGAGACTGGTCCGTTGGCGACCGCATGGCACAGCACGAAATTCCTTAACCCCATTGTTGACGGCGCCGTCCTGCCTGTCCTGCACCTGAACGGCTACAAGATCAACAACCCTACCATCTTGGCCAGAATCTCCCACAAGGAGCTTGAGAACTTGTTTCTCGGCTACGGCTGGCAACCGTACTTCGTCGAGGGCGACGATGTCGACACCATGCACCAAGCCATGGCCGCCACTTTGGAGCACTGCGTTCTCGAGATCCGCAAGTTTCAGAAGCAGGCCCGCGATTCCGGCAAGGCCTTCCGCCCCATCTGGCCTCTGATCGTGCTCCGCAGCCCCAAGGGCTGGACTGGCCCCCGCAAGATTGACGACAACTACTTAGAGGGCTATTGGAGAGCTCACCAGGTTCCCGTCCCCAATGCAGCCACCAACCCTGAACACCTGAAGATCCTGGAGAAGTGGATGCGTAGCTACGAGCCCGAGCGAATCTTCAAGGATGGCCGCATCTCCGACGAGCTCAAGGCGCTTTGCCCCACTGGCAATCGCCGCATGAGCGCCAACCCAGTTGCCAACGGCGGCATCCTCAAGAAGCCCTCAAGCTTCCCGACTTCAAGAACTACGCCATCAAGGTCGACAAGTCTGGCGGCACCCATGCTGCTAGCATGAACAACATGGCTACCTACTTGCGGGATGTCATTGCCCTGAACCCGAACAGCTTCCGCCTGTTCGGACCCGACGAGACCGAGTCCAACAAACTCGGTGCCGTCTACGAAGCCGGCAAGAAGGTCTGGATGGGCGAGTACTTTGAGGAGGACGCCAACGGCGGCAACCTGGCCCCCGAAGGCCGCGTCATGGAGATGCTTTCCGAGCATACCTGCGAGGGTTGGCTCGAGGGCTACATTCTGACCGGACGTCACGGCCTGCTCAACAGCTACGAGCCGTTCAGTAAGTTCCCAACCAAACATAGACATGCACGGTTCTGCTGCTGACCAGGTCTAGTCCATGTCATCGACTCCATGGTCAACCAACACTGCAAGTGGATCGAGAAGGCTCTCGAGGTCGAGTGGCGCAACAAGATCGCCTCTCTCAACATCCTCCTGACGGCCGTCGTCTGGCGGCAGGACCACAACGGCTTCACGCACCAAGACCCCGGCTTCCTCGACGTCGTCGCCAACAAGAGCCCCGAGGTCGTGCGCATCTACCTCCCGCCCGACGGCAACTGCCTGCTCTCGACGATGGACCACTGCTTCGCGTCGTCCAACTACGTCAATGTCATCGTCGCCGACAAACAGGAGCATCTGCAGTACCTCTCGATGGACAAGGCGGTCGAGCACTGCACCAAGGGCATCGGCATCTGGCCCCAGTTCAGCACCGACCAGGGCGAGGAGCCCGACCTCGTCATGGCCTCGTGCGGCGACATCTCGACGCACGAGTCGCTGGCCGCCATCGACCTGCTGCTCCAGCACTTCCCCGAGCTCAAGATCCGCTGCGTCAACTGCGTCGACCTCTTCAAGCTCATCTCGCACGAGGACCACCCGCATGGCCTCACCAACGCCGAGTGGGTCGCCCTCTTCACCGACGACAAGCCTGTCATCTTCAACTTCCACTCGTACCCCTGGCTCGTCCACCGCCTCGCGTACAAGCGCCCCGGCAACATGAACCTCCACGTCCGCGGCTACAAGGAGAAGGGCAACATCGACACGCCGCTCGAGCTCGCCATCCGCAACCAGACGGACCGCTTCAGCCTCGCCATGGACGCCATCGACCGCATGCCCCAGCTGCACAACCGCGGCGCCGCCGCCCGCGAGGCCCTGCGCAACCAGCAGATCGCTGCGCGCATCGAGGCCTTTGAGACGGGCATGGACCCGCCCTTCCTCAAGGACTGGACCTGGTCCCACAACGGCCTGTGGAAGCAGACCGTGTCCAAGCTGACCATCTAGACTCGGGTGCTTAGGTTAGATGGGGAAGAGGGTGAGAGGGATGGTGAGAAGATGTCTCGGTGGCAGACAGTTTCCGTTTTTTTTTTGGATGAAATGGCGTTGCTAGGAAACACTGGGAAACGCGTCAGTTTGGATGGATTTTGCCGTCAAGGACGGTATGCGGTGGTGGTATACGTGTTTACAAGAGAGAAAGAACAAAGGACGTGACGATTTCCCTTCCGTTAGATGGTACACATTCTCCTCAACAAGACACATACATACCAAATGGGCAAACGGCATTCACAGTGCCACGGCACCCAAGCGACCGACCCTCTCGGCACCATGAAAGAAGTGTGTGTCAACATTCCCGCGCGTCGTGGTGGTATCTAATAACTACATTGTATGCTCTCTCGCAGGAAACAAAGCCGCACGAAAGCCCCTCCCCCTCTGGACCGCCCTCGGCCAGGGGGTAAAAAGCAGACATGCGAGCGGTAACGACTGCGCCCCCCCCCCCCCCCCCCCCCCTTTTCCCCGTACTCGAACCCCGTACAACAGGTGCCAAGGGAGGGGTGAGAGAGGAGGGAGAGATGCGCGCTCGAGACTCCCGAAACGCCCCATTTTGATGCCCCTTTGTACAGCGAACCCAACCCGCTCAAATTGTGCGCGGACGAGTCCACCCCCAGATCCTCCATTCCCAGCGGAATCTAACAAAGAAAAAAGACAACAAGACGAAAGCACAACACTCGCAAGAAAAAACCAATTACAAAAATAATAGACCGTCTTTGCCGCCCTCCAATGTTTTCTTTTTGCTTTCATACAACGTGGCGCGTTACACCGTCATGACGTTTCGTTTAGCTTCTCCGTGTCGGTCTCATCCTCTCTCCCTCCCCCCCCCTCTCTCTTTCTCTCGTGCGGTGCCTCGTCTGCGTGCCGCCTGAGTGCCGCCTCGGACCGAGAGGCACGTTGGTACTCTGGCGCACCCGAGACCGCACTCTTGACCCCGTAAGCCCCCCACCGGCGAGTCCGAGCTCACCAGCACCGAAGCTTCTTCCATATGGACCCTTTGCCGCTCTTGCCGTCGGCGTTCGGACCCCGCATACCCGAACCGCTCTTCTCGTTTTCGCTACCCGCCGGCAGGGGGCTTAGGGGCTTCGTCATGCCCCGGCGGTCCATCTCCATGTTCTCGTTGACGCCCAGTTCCGCCATCCGCCTGGCCTCGACCACGCGCCGGATAATAAGCGCGAACGTCTCTTCAATGTTGACCTCGAGCCGCGCGCTCGTCTCCATGAAGCCGCATCCGCGGCGGCGCGCCCAGTCCAGACCCATGGCGGCAGGCACGGCGCGGGACTCCTGCAGATCGCACTTGTTGCCGGCGACAATCTTGACGGGCGGGACGGTCTTAGCGCCGGGCGTCGCCGAGACGGTGTCGCGGTACGAGGAGGGGGAGAGACCCGCGCGTTTGGCGCGGTCGGCGTTGTCGAGACGGGTTTCGGCCTCCATGTCGATCAGGTCGTTGAAGTATTGGAGGGCGTCGAGGGAGTCGCACGAGGTGATGTCGTATACGAGCAGGAAGGCGTCGGCGCCGAGGTTGGACGAGGCCCACATGCCACGGTACTCCTCCTGGCCGGCCGTGTCCGTCAGCGACAGGTGGTAGTTCTGGCCGTCAATCTTGCGGGTGATGGAGTACGAGTCCTCGATGGTGGGGTCGTACTCGGAGGTCCACTGCGAGCGGACAAGCCGGAGAGTTATCGAGGACTTTCCGCACCCACCATCGCCGCAGATGGTAATGGAGATCGGCACTGGGGGTTGCTGAGAGATTGACATTGTGTATTAGGGGTGTTTTTTTTGCTCCTCTTCCGCCGGAGTGCCGGACACAAGCTTGGTTGAGAGTGTTAGTGTTTTGCGTAGGTGCAGGTCCTCCTTCGTTGCGGGGACAGCTCTGAGGCTGCGTCGTCTTCACGCGTCGCGTGCTTCGTATTGTGACTTGTGAACGTCGAACTTCAGTTCACGTCAGTTGGTGGCGCCAGCTTCGCAATGTCGTTGCGCAGGTCAAGATCAAGGTCAAGAGTGGCGGACTTAGACCAGAGCCCCCCAAGATGTTCCCAAAAGGAAGAAGAAGAAAAAAAGGAAAAGGGAAAAACAGGCTTTTCGGACGAGTCAATCGAGAGAAAGTTGGGGGAACAAGAGCCGGTCAGGCAACAAAGTGGTGGGTGAGGTCAGATAAGAGACGGGCTCGACTTTTTTTTTTAGTGGTGGTGGGCTGGTGGTAGATCGAACGGCAATGCAGCAGGTGTTCCTTAGCTCCGTTTTTTTGGCTCTCAGACCGCGCGCGCGGTTCGACCGTCTTGCTTCTTCGAGCTAGGGTCGAGCCAAAAAGAGAAGGCTGTGGCGTGGGCGATGGCGACGGCGGGAGCGGCCTCCGAAAAAGGGTTCGTTCGTTTGGGACAGTGTGTTATGGCAGGGTGCGGGGGGGAACGAAATGAGACGAAGTAACGCGGATCGTGTGCGTCGGCCGTCTGTGTGGTGCCGTCTGATTGCTTCTCTAGCGTCGTGTGCCTCGTGGTGAGGTGCTACTCGCGACGGTGACGATGTGTGTATTTCTTTCGGGACTAGTAGGTAATCGGTGCCCGGCGGAGGATGGAGATGTCGTTGGGGATAGTCCGTCCGTTGCGTGCGGGAGAGATGCGGTGGGAGACAGAATCCGCCGTTTGCTAGCCGCAACTAGACAATCTTTTTTGTATATGAGGTACGAGTGAAACAAGCTGCTTGCTTTTTTGTCTCGGTGGAAGGCTTGCGCAAAGGGGGAAGGGGGGACGGAGGAGAGAGGTCTTCGTTGGTCAACTGTATGCAGTGCAGATGCAGGCGACAGTTGAAGTGAAGGTGAGGTGGATGGACGGAGGAACGAGATGTTGTTGGTTGAGGTAGCCTGAGGTGTGTGATGGCGGTGGTAGTGTTTTGGGGGTGAATCGGCGACAAGGGGACGGAAGGACGCTCTGGGTGAATGGGGGATGCGGCTGCCTTTTTGATACCGTCTCTAACCAGGTATTGGGTAACTAGGTCGCGATTGCGCCCCCAAAGAGAAATGCCCCGGCGGCAGTGAGGTGAGTCGATGGATGGGGGAAGGATTGATCGAGGTGCAACCCCCTTTTAGGAGCGGCAAGGCAATGAAATCCCCCGAAACAGCAAACAAGCTGGGCAATGATATCAGGAAAATGATTCAAACACTTTACTTGCTTTCTGCCAGGACAAGGTGCAGAGTCAGTCAGCCAGTCCAGTTAGGCAGAGCTCGAGGAAGGAGGCGAGACGCTGGGGGGGGGGGGGGGAAAAGGCAAAAAAAAAGCAACGTCGGATCAAGATGCGGCTGCTGCTTTTCCCCCCCTTCTGTTTCTTGTTGCTCCGCCCTCCTTGTCGTGTTGTTTTTAATTATGTTTGATTTTTAATTTGGTGCTGTTTGTATTGGGCGAGTGGGTGGATGTTGCTGGCGTTGCTGGCCCCCCCAAAAAGAGATGGGATGCTCGAGCGTCGTGGCCCGTCCGAGGAATGACGGGAGGCGCTGGAGGGATGAAGCTTGTATGGCAGACCGAGAGAGAGCTTTGATGGAGATCTCCAGTTCCGTGCGTGGGCTGCGTAACAACCTCGTTTCCCGGTCCTCCTTCTTACTTTCCCGGACGCTGTTTGGCTGGCGCGCGCCGGACGGGTTGAGACTGCGCGGCTCTGTCTCGGTGATTGTGGGATCGGGGGAAGGGGGAAGGGGGGCAAGCTTCAGGAGGGGAGCTCCCTGCAGCCGGCGACGTTTCTCGTGCAGCGCCGATGGACCTGGGCCCCGTAGTCGGGGGAGCTTGGTGGGTTTCTTGGGTGCTGTGCTGTTGTGGCTGTCGTGACGGGCAGCGTTGGCCGTTGGGCGTGGATGATGAGAATGTCTTGACAATCGGGGGAGGGCCGGCTTTGGATGGGCTGGTTTTGTGTTTGCGATACCGAGTCCCGTGTACAAGCAAGTGCAAGAGCTTGCATATGAGTAAGTGGGAGAGAGTGTGTGTGAGAGACCTTGATCCCAGATGCGACGTTGAAGGAGCATTCATTCGCATGGCAAATACTGCTGATCTAAGGCCGGCGATACGAATCCCGCCCATCTTCTCTCTCCCCTTTTTCCTTCCCGTCTCTATGGCATAAGGATTGACTGGCCAGAGGAATAAAATAAGATTAAATTCCCTTCCTCTTTGCTTTCTTCTTCCTCCTGCCCTCCGAGCCGAGCCGGAGCCTCAATCGCACGAGGGAAGGAACTGCCTTCTGCTTCTGGATATGTTCCGTCGGCCACGACCTGAAGAAGCTCAGTGTGCCGCCGCCGCCGCCGCTGTCTGCAAGTGCCAGAGATGCTGGCTGGGAGAGTCCGGGATCTTGTCGGTGCAGAGACCGGGGTGGCGCTTCCATGGGATTGCGCGCGACTGATACCATTTCGGTTCATTATTCCAGATACATATGAGAGAGATCGGTTGGAGAGATGCCCGTGTTTGCTGTTGAGAGGTGGGAGAGGGATCTGAGCGCCAGAGCCACACCCGATTGGACCGAACCGTTCTGCTGGCCTGCTACCACATTGCCTCGCAATGATGACCGTGGGGGCCAAGGATCCCATCCCTGGCGATATCGCTGAGAGTCCCGTCCCCTGGTCGTGGTCCTGGCCTCCTTTTTGCTCGGGCGCGCGTTCGTTCGTTTCCTTGCCTCGATTAAGCCACCACTCCGTATAAGTCACCTACCAAGATTGTGCACTCCGTACAGAGAAGCCGACTGGTGGACGGCCTCCCAAGGTAACAGTCGCCGCCACCTATTTCTGCTCATCGGCCTAAAGCCCGCCACGCGCCATGCGCCTAACCTTCCCGCCCTCGGGGATTATTGGCATGTCACCCCATTCTAAGAGTCGGCGGCTGATTCTACATGCTTCGTCTTCCCGTGAAATCCAAAAAGAAGTCTTCGTGTTGGGTGGTTGGGCGCTGGTGGTTGAGGGTAACCTTCGCCTCTGCTCTGTCTGGATGAGGCAGATGATCGTCCACATTCGACCAAGCGGCCCCAGGAACCAGGCACAGGAAACAGGAACGCCTGCCGACGATTTTCCCCAACCCCCGTTCCCCATTCCGCCTAACCCGCTGAAACTCGCAGGCCCCCTTCTTGGGCATGGCGGCGTTGATGCCCTACCATGACGAGTTTTCTCTGTTGTTCCAGCCCATTTCGCTTGGGAAAACTTCGCGTGACAGAAAGCCCGCGCTCGTGGGTGGGTGTCTTCGGTGCGGACGCTATGATTGCCCAGGCTTGGCCGTTTGTCCAGGATATGATGTGTCATTCGACTAAAGACAAGCATATCTCGATCTTGGCCGACGTATTTCTCCATGGTTGCCAAAAGGTGCAGCAACCTCTGAGCCGCTTCAATGTCGCGTTTTGCTCCTAACCCTCGTTGGTGGGTGCTGTGCTGTGCATGAGGACCTGGAGTTCACCAAGTCCAGTCGCCTCGATGACGCTCTTCCCGTTGCACCGTCCTCGGCCCTGACTCCCAGCTCCATGGAGGATGCGCAGACACTCTTCCCTCTTTGAGGCGTTTCCTCCTTCCTCGTTTGGGCACGTTGTCTTTGTCTCTTCCTGGATCTCATACCACGTGTCTCCGGATATCGGCTCCTTGTCCTACGCGGATGCTGGTCTGCAGCAATCTGATTCTGGGAAACCTCGTGTCGTCGCCCCTGTAAGCCGCAGCGTCAATGTGCTTCCCGCGCGCACGCGCGTGCGTGCCGTCTGACAAGTAGCAGAGGCCCGCTGCGCTGTGTCGCCTCGCAGCGGCAACCGGGCATATGCATCCGCGGGACAACAGCTGCATCCACGTTGTCGGTGGACACCATCAGATGCAACCCAATTGCACCTGCAAACCCCCCCCCCCTTTTTTTTTGGGTATCATCTTGCTTTCTATCACGACGAAGCGCTATCCCGAAGGAAAAGATCCATTCGTGTGATCGCAGCTTGTCGCACAAGCAAGCGTCACTGGCGATACTGTCTGTTTCAACACAACGTCAGATCCTGCGTACCCGCATTGATCACACCTGCGTCCGACACTTGGCCTTTCCAGAAGCCGGAAAGGAAGCAGTTCATGGAGGAAGCCGTGAAACTTTCCCGTGGCCTTCTCAAACAAATATCGTCTGTTGACTCTCGCGTTTCTGCCCTGTTCCCGGCTTCCCCATAGGTAGGCAGGCGTATGCTGGGCACGTCGTAGTATAGTGACGCCCATGGCTTTTGTTTATCTGGCCGAGCCATCCACAAATCAACCAGTGCTGGCCGCGAAGTGGCAGCTCCATCGACGCCAAACCCCTAGCTAGTCGCGCACGGATGGTGCTTGAAGCCTGAACGCTGCTTTGGGTGCCTTTGGCGAGTACGATTTGCGGTGCGCTGTGACTTTACTGGCTACATTCGCTCGTTAAACCTGTCGCCAGCTGATGACAAGGGAGTTTGCACCGTCCCATGTAGGTGGAGGATCACACTTTGATTGCTCAGCGCGTTGCATGCGGGCACAGAGAGGCACCTCGATCGAAGCTGCAGGGAGACTGCTACGAGTCGGCGAACGGTCCCAGCAGAAAGGCATACCGACTTTCAAAACACGCTCGATGCATAGACATCTAACCAGTATGGTCTTTGCTGCTGTGCGTTGATCTGTAGTGTCACCGGTGGGTTGTCGGTACGATGCTCCCGCACGTCGGCTTGCGGCAAACATGACCTGATCATGGGTGAACAATGGCTCTCTCCTTGGATTTTAGAGGTACGATATAATTTCTCGCAATCACGGCAAACGCAGCTCAAGACTTCTGCAACAGGCCCCGCTGGACTCCCGGTGGGCTTCGGCAAGGGGCAACGGCCATCCCGGTGAGACATTGCTGACCCGACGGCTTGGAACGGCACGGGCGGAGAGGGCAAATGGGTCGGTAAGTTTAAATGACTGAGCCGCGCTCCGGCCCATTCCCGTGATACTTTTTGCGCGGCTCTCGGGCCCGGGTCGCGCTGACGACCATGGGGAAACGTTGGCTCCTGGACGGCTTCTTCAACCCTCTCGGCCGGTGCATGAAACCTGAATAGACAAGCCCTCTGGGCGATGGCGTTTCTGCAGTGCAGTTGGACAACATCCTTGACGGCCAACCAGATGGCTGTGCTGCAGCGCAACGATGATGGAAAAAGTGCCACTGATTATGAAATCTGTCGGCCCCGGCAGAGAGGGCGGCTAATCCCAGCCGGGGTTCGCGCCACTTTGCTCCGACGTGCCGTCATCGAAGTCCCATGGCCGGCCGTTGAAGAATTTCTTTACCATTCATTGCCTGACTCATTACGGAAAGAACCCCAGCGGTAGACCGGGGAATCCTGAGGCTTTGAATATCGAACTCGCCGAGAACCGTCTGTGTTACGGTAGTTTAGAAAAAATTTCCACAAAAGTTTATTCTGTCGGAGTTTGCTTCTATTGAGAGAATTTTTATCCGCTTGGTGGGAACCATCTCGTCCAGTTCTGCAAACCATCATGAACGGCACGAATGGCACAAACGGGCACCACGCTGCCCCGCCAACTCTCAAAAGAGCCGAAGAAGTTGAGGATGTAAGTATCTTGGTGGTGTAAAGTGGGTGGTGCAACTTGCCGGTTCGGATTATTTGACTGACACGGGCCCCTGCTTGCAGCTACTCGATGCTGTGAAGGGTCTCATTGTCCCCTACATCAGGGTGGCCGACGAGGCTGCTGGCCAGAAAGCTGGCGGGAACACTTCAGTCAACATCGACGGAGTACCACGTAATGTCTTGGTCGATACACACAAGCCTGCGGCGCTGGTTGAGAAGCTGAAGCTGTCCCTCCCCGAGGGTGATGGCCTCGGCAAGGAAGGTCTGCTTGATGTTGTGCAGAAGATTCTAAGTTACAGCGTCAACACCTGGGACCAGGGTTTCATGGACAAGTTATATGCGAGCAACACTCCGGTATGTAGCTCCATCCAAACCGCCGAGTGCCGGACTGACATGCCCAGGTTGGTGTTGTCGCCGATCTCCTTTTGTCTGTCCTAAACACGAATGCAAGTCGTCCCTCCATCTTCATCTTTTCAAGGCGGTTGTTAAACCTCGGTAGCTCCACGTGTATCAAGTCTCGCCGGCCTTGAGTATCACTGAGAAGATCACAGCTAGAAAGTTTGCCAATCTTTTCGGTTTCAACGGGCCTCGGGCGGGAGGAGTCACCTGCCAAGGCGGAAGCTCGTCCAACTTGACTTCTCTGGTTGTTGCCCGCAGTGCTCTCTACCCGGAAACAAAGACTTCAGGAAACGGCTCGTATGACTTCGTTGTGTTCACCAGCGCACACGGCCACTATTCCGTTGAGAAAAGCGCCCTCACCTGTGGACTCGGCGCGTCGAGCGTCTGGGCGGTACCGATCGATTCTGCTGGACGCATGATTCCCGAAGCCCTTCGTGAGCTTGTTCTCCGCGCCAAAGCGGAAGGCAAGACACCTCTGTATGTCAACTCTACAGCCGGAACAACGGTAATGGGCTCGTACGATCCATTTGAGGAGATCTCGAGTATCTGTAAGGAGTTTGGCATGTGGTTCCACATCGACGCAAGCTGGGGAGGGCCAGCAATCTTCTCGGAGAAGCAAAAGTCGAAACTGAGGGGTTCCCATCTGGCCGATTCGCTGACGGTCAACCCGCACAAGATGATGAACGTGCCGGTGACGTGCTCGTTTCTTCTCACACCGGACGAGAAGGTATTCCACAAAGCCAATACTCTGCCAGCGGGGTACTTGTTCCACAACGTGGACGAGACCGAAGATGTGTGGGATCTGGCAGACCTGACCCTCCAATGTGGTCGTAGGGGCGACAGTCTCAAGTTGGCCTTGGCGTGGATCTATTACGGTGCTGCTGGATTCGAACGACAGATTGACCACGCCTTCTCGCTGGCTGAACATCTCACAACGCTGGTCGAACAGAGCAGTAACTTCGTCTTGGTTTCGTCGAACCCACCACCATGCTTGCAGGTCTGCTTCTATTACGCACCGGATGGCCAGCTTGCGAAGGATGCAGAGACAAACACCAGACGTACCAGCCAGATGGTATCAAAGCTCATTGAGCGTGGTTTCATGGTCGACTATGCTCCGGGCGAAAGAGGCAGCTTCTTCCGAGTGGTTGTCAATTGCCAGACCCTCAAGGGAACCGTTGATGGGCTGGTCAAGGCGTTGGAGGAGGTTGGCAAGGAGGTCGTAGTGTAGAATGCTGGAGATCTTGGGGATTCACATCGCAGAAATGGTGGGAACAATATATGCTGGATACAAACATAAAGATCAATAAAAATACACTGTCCGCCATTAGTTTAGAACTTAACAAGATCGAGCTGGGAACACTTACACAGAAAACCTTGGGCTGTTTGGTTATCCCCTTGACAGTGTGACGTCAGAAGTAAAGTGAGCCTGCGGAATCCATTGATCTAATAGAACCAGAGAATTGGAATGTAAGAGACAAACAGATTGTAGCACAGAACTGCCAAGCTGGAAGATAGGCTGGCTCTTTAAATCAAATGGACGAGATAAGAAGGAGGAACGGCGCGGCGAGGGAGACTCCATCAGCAAGGGTCACGGGTCTGACGGTAGGACAAGGGTCTGCGCAGTGGGGGAGGGGCGATAAGATAAGAGATAAGATAAGCAAAAGTTTTTTCGGCTCGAGAGTTCAACGCCTTCAATGCGACGAGTCCACCGTATCGTTCCTCAGTAACCCAACTTTGTACCCTGCACCCATTTAAATTTCAGTCACGATGCCGAAGCCGAGAACGAAACGACAAGCCATCCGCGACGAGCGGAAAAAGAAGAGAAGGGAAACTCACGAGGAGAACCACGAGGAAAACCACGATGAACGTCAATCCAAACGGAGAAGGTTCGAGGATGGAGACCAAGACACTGAACAACAGACATTCGACGATGCGGGCGACTTCCAGCAGTCGTTCCACGCCAATGGCCCCGAAAAGGAGTTCTTTGGAATGCTCGCGGACGAAGAGCAGGAATATTTCCGCCGCGCCGACGAATTGCTCGAGCTCAACCAGTTCCCTTCCCCCGAGGAGCGCGACGTCTTTCTGCAAAACGTGTATAAGGAAGCGCAGGGCAAGGAATTGAAGTTGGCCAGCAGTCAATCGCTGTCACGTTTGATGGAGCGTCTGATTCTTCTTTCAAACACGAGACAGAAGAAGCAGATCTTCAACGCCTTCGCCGGCCACTTCCTGTCGCTCGTCCAGCACCGATTTGCCAGCCATTGCTGCGAAAAGTTGTTCCTTGAATCAGCACCGATCGTGACGCAAGAGCTGGGCGGGATCGTGCCGGAGCCCAAGGCTTACGATGCGATGGAAGTCGAGGAGGGTGCCGAACCAGAAAATACCATGGAGAACCTCTTCCTAATGACCCTAGACGAATTCGAGCAGCACATGGGCTTTCTCCTCACAGACCGATTTGGATCACACACCCTGCGTGTGCTCCTGGTCGTTCTCTCGGGCCGCCCATTGGACGACTCGGCCACCAAGTCACTTCTGAAGAGCAAAAAGAAGGAGTACATTTCCGTCCAGGGAGCCACTGGTGCCTCGGATGAGCTCACCCATCAGCTGAGAGCTGTCCCCGAGTCCTTCACCCTGGCTACCAAGAAGATCATTCAGGATGCCGTGGCCGGCATGGACTTTACCGCTCTGCGCGTCCTCGCCAAGCACCCTACCGGCAACCCTCTCTTGCAACTTTTGTTGGAGCTCGATATCTCCCTGAACCATAAGAGCGACAAGACGTCGGCGGCGGCGAGCAAGGACACCTTGCTGTACCGACTGCTGCCCGACGCTCCCTCGTCTCTTAGCGACGACACCTCGCAAGCGGCGGACTTTGTCAACAGCATGGTCTACGACCAGATTGGATCCCGTCTTCTCGAGACCCTCATCACGAACTGCCCCGGCAAGATCTTCAAAGCACTCTCTCATAACTTCTTCGGCGAGCGCATCGCGACGTACGTTCGCAATGACATCGCCTCATACCCCGCTCTCCGCGTTCTGAACCGTGTCAGCAAGGACGACCTTGTGGAAGCTGTCAAGAAAATCATCCCCGCGGTGCCCCTTTTGGTGACCAAGGCACGCTACAATGTACTCAAAACTCTGTTCGAGCGATGCGAAGCGCGTGGTGCCTACGAAGAGAAGAGTGCCCTCACCAGGGCGCTTACCGATGCACTGGGCTCTAACCCGAAGGACCTGGTCCCGAAGTTGTGTCATCTGGTCGAGGACGAGTCTGCTGAGAAGGAGGAGTTCCAGCAGTCACCCCAGAACAAGACTGCCGTTGCTGCCCATGGTTGTCACCTTGTGTCGACCATGCTGAAGACTCCCGGCAATCCCTCCAAGGTTGCCCAGAAGTCTCTTGTCGCTATGCCTTCTGAGCTTCTTGTCAAGCTTGCGACCACGGCGATGGCGTCAATGACAGTCCTGACGACAGCTCTCGCTAGCCCTGCAGCACCCCAAAACGAATTCTTCCACAAGGCTCTTGTCGGCGCTCTCGCGCCACACGTCGCAGAGCTAGCGCAGTCTCAGTTCGGCCACAACGTCGTCAACGCCATCATCGAGGTTCCCTCGCGTGGCAAGGACCGCTCCATACCCTTTCATGTCAAGCAGACCATCATCTCCTCGCTCGCAGAGCACGAGAGGACGTTGCGCGACTCTTGGATAGGACGTAGCGTGTGGAGGACGTGGAAGGGAGATATGTGGAAGACGAGGCGGTCGGACTGGGTCAAGTGGGCCAAGGAAGTGGACGGACCGGCCGAGGAGACCAGACTGAAGCCGTGGGAGAGGAGGAAGCTGGAGCAGCAGAGAGGTCCGCAACCGAGGCAGCTGCCTAAGGAGATGGTGAAGGAGGATGAGGAGTGAATGTAGCATGTGTATGATACCCGCCATCAAAACCCAACGAGTCTATCCTTCAAAATCATGCAAAAGCGATCCGCAATGCCAGATAACAAGCACCACGTTGGCCCATTAGCAGTTGAATGCCCGGGCGGAAGCAGAAGAGTGGTCAGTGTGGCATCAAGACGGCCGTCGGGTCCATTGTTGCAAGGAGGAGAACTGGGGCCTTGGCATACCAAGGCTCGGAGAGAGCGGGGCACTAAGCCCGAGGGATTCCGGACCTTTGGTCTGTCGCTCCGGACTAAGTAACCCGGCTTGGCTCGTCGTCAATTGCAACTTCGTTCTATTTTCTTTGAGGCTACCTGCCAATGACTTTGGGGAAGCTATTGAAACAAGACCATCAACGGGATAGGGAACGGACTAGCCCCTTTCCTTTTAATACTGTATCCTAATCTTGGCCACCGGGGTGGACAAGTTCTACGCCTGACATCTTGTAGCTTAAACAGCACTTAAAGTGGCCCCTTGATTTACAAATTGAGGAGTCTGAGGATGGAAGCTTCACCGGAAATGAGACTCCGAATGGCACTGGACCTAGCTGAGCGAAGTCGAGCCTGTATGGCTTGCGTCACTTGATGAAGTATCATCGTAAAGAGGGTGTATCGAGCGACGCGATTGGCAAGCTTCTAAGATGCTCGAGCCATCCTAATTCAATGCTCCATGACTAGAATGCATGCTATTGTTCTTTGGAAGGAAGTCTACCTTCTCTGGTATAGCTAAAGTGCTTTAAGATGAGCCGCAAGGTATGGTGCCGGTTATCCGGCCCTGGTCCTAGCGAAACGCAAAAAGCCCGCGAGCGGGGCGAACTCAAGGCGGTGGCAGATCTCTCAACCCGGAGAACTATGAACGGGGAATTGTTTTCCATCCAATCACTCCCTGAGCTTCGCCAGATGTCGTTTTCGCTTTCCTTTTCTCGGGTTCCGTTTCTCCACAATCGAGGCTCTTCCAGGCCCAAGTTCGACCCCTCCCCTCTCACTCCTAATGCAATACTAGCCTCATTTCCGCAACCCATACCATCCTAGACAACTCCATCACTCATCAACATGGGCAATTTGAATACAACCGCCCTAGGGGCTAATGCTGTCCTTACAGCCCCTCGAAATGTGTCACGACTTGGGCGATGCTTTTTTGCGTTCATAAACCCCTGCTTGGCGCCGACAGCTCCAAATAGGTCCCCCCTCTTGCCAACATCAACGTTCATCTCTCCTCCGTCCTCATCCGATCACCAGCCGTTGCCATGATGTACCCTAGCCTGTTGCCACTGGCGTTCTGCTTCGCAGCCTCTGGGGCCGCATGCGCCCAGAGATGCGTCGTCTCCCCGTCCGGCAACTCAACCTCGGACTCGGCCGCCATTGCCGATGCGTTCACCAAGTGCGCCAGCAATGCCGAGATCGTCTTCCTCGAGGGCGTCGAATACAAAGTGTACGAGCCCGTCGTTGCGACCAAGCTGAGCAACGTCGTCATCACAGTCAACGGAAACCTGAGCCTGCCGCAGGACATCCCCGCCGTGCAGAAGCTCGTCGAGGTCAAGGGCGGCTCACTCACCTGGTTCCAAGTGGGCGGCACGAACGTGCAGTGGATCGGCTCGTCTGATGTATGTTCCTCACCTCTCGATCGCACTTGACCTGGTGCTCACGCAGTCGCACAGCCCGACGCCGGTTGGATAAAGTCGCACGGACAGGCGTGGTGGGATCTCAACAAACCTGGCGAAGCCGGCACGCCCAACCGCCCTCATCTGATGCAGTTCAGCGTCACAAACGGCGTGATGAAGAACATGAAGTCCCTGAAGCCCATTGGCTGGAACTTTTCGATCAAGGGCAAGAACATCACTATATCCGACACAGTCATCGACGCTCGGTCCGAGAGCAGCAACTTCCCCTTCAACACTGACGGTTTTGACGTCGGCGCAACTGACGTTACCATCACGAACAGCAACATCTTCAACGGTGACGATGCAATTGCGATCAACGACGGCGCGAAAAATGTGCTGTTCAAGCATGCAACCATTGGGTTTGAGACGCACGGTATGAGCGTCGGCTCGCTGGGCTCAAAGGTTGCGTCTCCTGCCGATGTACAGAACATCCGTTTCGAGGATGTTGATGTTCAAGGTGGGCTGTATGCTTCTCGTTTCAAGAGCTGGATTGGAGGACAGGTAAGGACTCCTATCTGTCAACCTGAACGGTGCTAACCCGTGGTAGGGCCTGGCGAGAAACATTACGTGGAGCAATATCCGCGTCAACAACGTCACCTTTCCCATCTTCGTCACTCAGACCTACTATAACCAGGCTAGTGCTGGCGGTGACAGGCCGAATAACTCGTCCGTCATGATGGAGGACTTCACCTGGGAGCACTTTTCTGGTAACATCAACACCTACAAGCCCGGTGATGGATCCTGCACCACCAACGTAAGTCATTTGTCAATATAGTCTCCATTGCAAGTGAAGTTATGCTAATATTGACTCATAGCCTTGCTGGTACAACTCTGGCCTTGTGAACCTCACACACACAGAGGCTGTCATCATTGAGTGCAACACGGAGAAGTCTTGCAAGGGCTTCCAGACAAGGGACATCAAAATTGAGCCTCAGAGTAAGACGGTACCAAAGGTTATCTGCATGAATGCGATGCCTGATCTGAACCCAAAGTTGGGATTTGAGTGCGCCAACGGCACGTTTGTCGCTTCAAACTAATGCCCATCTGGTAGTTGCGGGGCATCTCATTCCAATAATGCAATACTACTACAGCCAATGGCATCCAAACTGATGCGTATATGCTTTGATGAGAATAACAAGCTTAGCATGCACTTGAAACCCCAGTTCTTGACCGGTCTGTTTGGACACTACCAACTTCTCATGCTTTTTGGGTTCTTCGCCTCAAGTGACAGATTACACCCTTCGTCCGGTGGAACCACCGCGAACTCGTCCACCACTCCTCGTTGGGGTCCACCAACTGGATCTCGAACTTGGAAATGAGAGACGGCACGACCTTGTAGATTTCTATCAAACTCAGATTTCGGCCAAGACAAATGCGCGAGCCGCCACCAAAGACGATATCGGCCGCGTTCCACTGCCGCATGCGAAGTTTGTACGCCTCGTCATCTTCATCCTCTTGCTGCAGCCATCGCTCCGGGCGGTATTCATCGGCATCTGCCCCGTAGATGCTTTTGTTGCGTCCCACTATGTAGGGGTTCATTCCGACGAGGGAGCCGCCCGGAACTACGGATCCGTCAGGAAGGGCGAGACCGCCAGCAGGGACGATGCGCTCCATTGTCATGGCGATGGATGGGTGATATCGTAAGGTCTCTCGGCAAACGGCTTCAAGGTAGGGCAGCGCACGAGCAGCCGAGTACGATGCAGGCTTATCACTGGGAATATTGGTGACGATGTCGGATTCCAATCGTTTCCAGATGCGAGGGTTCTTAAGGCAGTAGTAGAAGAGTGCGCGCAGGGTAATGGCAGTCGTGTCTGCCCCAGCGATCACTGCTGCAGTATAAGCCTTTATTTACCCTACGCACTTTGTGACGGAGCAGCTCGCAGCTAAGCATAGGGGAACTCGAATATGACTTACAGTTGAGAAGTAGATATCCGATTATGGTGCCCTCATCCACGATATCGGGATGCGTTCCCTTAGAATTGACAAAGTACTGTAGGAAATCTGGCTTCTCTGGGTTGAAGTTCCTGTCTTCGCCCTTCAGCCGCGCAGTGAGATTTTCAAATCCGATGCGGGTTACGTTGGAGAGATTGGGAGGCCCGAGAGGGTAGATAGGGTTCTTATCCAACACGAAGTCCATCCATGGCATCTGTCCACAGATGCCGAGGTAGTCGATTGCCTGGTCTCCAATAGCCAGGGTGCCGTCAAAGTCTCGGCCCTCGTCCATGTAGCCGAATTTCCTACTGAACGTAACAAAGCCAAGGAGATCCCATGCGACTGCACAGGATTGGTCAGCTACATAGACATTTATTGACACCTGCTTCCCATTGACTCACAGTAAGCCAGCCAGTCCCCAAACTCGCAGGACTTGCCATTGTCAACAAAACGACGCTCGAGATGGTCGCATAGCTCAACAATAGTCTTATCCATGTGCGGTTCCATTGCAAGGACGCTAGGCACTGAGTAGTGACGCACAACAGGTCTTTTCAGCCGGGCGTGTTCGGTGTTGTTTGTTTCGCTAAACATGTGATACGTGATTTTGCCGTCAATGATAGTGCTGCTGTTCTTATACATGTCGGACTGGAAAAAGCGTGCCGTCAGCAAGGGTTAGTGTTTTTGTCTCCTGCAATGACCCACCTTTTTCCATTTGCTGTCGGTACCATATATGACTTTTACCAACTCTGGGAAATCAATGTCCAGAAGGTTGGGTCCGAGACGCACGACTGGGCCATGCCTGTCGTGGAGTTTCTTAATTCGCGGGGCGTAGTCGGCAGAAATAACTAGCCACAAGCGCCATAGGTTTGTCCATCCTAGTGTGCACCGTGAGGTCAGAAAAGCTCCAAAAGAATTCAAAGTTCGATCAAGTTACAAGTAAGAGGAACTAAGCGAATCATGAAGGACTCGAAGCTCACCTGCTAGAAATGGTCCCGGAAACTTCTTCAATGAGGAGGCCTGCCAGGAAACGAAATACCAGAGAAAACAGCTGATGGTAGGCGCCAAGAGGAAGACGCTGATTTTGTGCGATTGGGCATTAACAAAAACAGAGTTCCAAGAGGGCGACGTCTCGTTATAGGTGGAATTCTGTGAATCCATTGTTTTAGACATGTTTTCGAAGTACGCTCAATTCAGCACGACTTGCAGTCAATTGTAGAGACAACCATCAAACCAGGACTTATGAGACGAAAATAGCCATCATCCTAATATACATGCGGCACAAAAAGTACGCCGAGTATTCATGACGCTGGACAAAGCGGGGTCATGCATACTGAATTGCCATGATAGGTCGGGAGGCAGTGATACGGTACCTGATATGTAGCTGGGCGGCTACGTAAGCACCCGAGCTCTGCGAAAGTCGGCAACTAGCTCAAAGAGATGGCATTATGAGTTCGTATCTTCGGAATACTGGGAAATATTTCGTCTTTATAAACATAGAGGAAGGGCTTGAATCCTTTCAATATAGATCCGCCAAATGCCTTTATGTCACAGTGAGAAGTGGTCCATAACAAGTAACAAGGCATCAATTTGACTAAGATCTGACCCGAACAGCTAGCGGCTTGCTTCGCGACGATCTCTACTCTATCTAGAATCCGAACATAAGCGGAGCATATGAAAGAACTCGGTGAACATAGGTAGCGTTAGTAGGAGCCTGATTCAATGACGGATATTGAAACGATGCTTGTTCTCGGGGAGGAACTAGCGAGTTCCGGTCCACTGTGATAGCCTATTGGTTGCTCAACAGCCATGGCCTGAGTCTAAACAGCGAATCAACCGGTGGGGGATAAATGCGTTGTTGTAAAGACCATCGCCCCGCTAGACACTGTCAAATAAGAAAGTATCTGGTAATCGAAGTGTTTCTTATCTGCAGGGTTCTTGAGGAGGTCTTGCTGCAGCCTGATGCTTCGTTGGCAGAGTAATATGCATCACATGAGTCCACCCTTATCTACAGAACAACCGCGAAACTAAGCTAGGAGAGAGAAACCAAACCCGGAGCACCAAACAGTAGCAGCTTACAAACATGGATTGTCGAAAGTTAAGCGTCAGGTGACCCATGATCGACATAAGCAATACTATGTTTTGCGTGCTGCTGAACCTCAACAAATGGCTTCTCTTTTGCCCAACATCATGTTGGAAGAAGGGCAGGTATGTAGCGCCATGGCCACGGACTCTTCGATTTTTTTTTCCAAGCGCTCCTATGGTATCTATATTCGTAATGCATGATCCTGCTGGGCCTATTCTTGATATTTGGCTGCTATTCATCCTTTGCGGCATTCTCTAGCTGTTGAATCACCCTTGTAGTAACTTCAGACGGATCCTTGATATTACTAACAGCCACCGTCTTGTCTCTAGATTTCAATCCTTGAATGATGGCAAAATCAGACTTGGGAAGTCTTAGAACCTGGTTCTAGTTTCAGCATTGATTAACCACGATATATGTTATATTCCAGGATGGTCAGGGGTGTATTTCCGTCGGAAGCAAAATTACCTCGCTTAGCAGTTTGATAACGGCTCTGTTTGCCTCGCCTTCTCGCGCCTGAGCCGCAACGCACAACTCCACGGTTCTCTCGGTCACAGTCATGACCCCCTCACGGACTCGGGATGCACCAGGCTTAACGTGACATTGAAGGTACAGAGTTCCCAAGGGGGATTTCTTGGTGCCCGAGACGAATCGCACCGCTGCTGATGCCATGGTAATTGAGCAATTCACGGATGGTCGTGCTATGGCGGGAAGAATTGAGGTTTAGGTCGATGGTCAGGTGGGTAAATATGTGGAGTGATTCAAAGCCTATCCACGACTTCGAACGACGCTATTGGATGTGGTTTAACACTAACCTAAAGCTGGCCTTTACTGCCGAATAAGTGCTTTTCTGCTAAATTCTCCGGTCTAGACATAGAACTCGGGCGATACAAGGCCTAATAGCCTCCAGTCTGATTAGATAAGGGTAAGAAAAAGACTGTTGAACTCTAGTCCTAACACAGCACATCCACAGAGTAGTTGGCTTATCACGAGTTGAGGGATGTGAAGAGGAGACTCAAAGAGCACCGAGGCATCTCAGAAAGCTAATAGTAGGATTTTAATAAACAGTGTTTCGATATAGCTCATCTATGAATCACACTCTTCTGGTGTAGTCAATCTGATAATTCCGTCGCTTTTAGTCCGTTTGCTCAATTTCACTTTTTCCATCCTGGCTTGTATTGCTCAAAAAACCACCTCGTTTACAGGAAAGCGTGCTGAGTCTGTTGTCCAGCGTTTGGTGTGACTCTGTTCACACTAGAGGGTTTGGAGCCCATGGTTCGGAGCTCATCCTTCTGCAAGAGAGTAAGACGATTCTCGGCATGCATCCTCTTGGTAGTGATCCTATTGGGGTAGTTTCTCATAAACATGTTTGTGAAATGCGTGCCGTAGTGAATACCCTCTTGTGGAGACTGTCCAACATCGTAGCCTGGCAGAGGTTTGGTAACGGCCTGGAAGCTGGGCTCGTGGAAATAGGCAAAGGCAAAGCGATCGCGGGTGTTTAGGCCGACCTTGTGAGGGGTGGAGGGCAGGTAGGAGTTGGTGATATACTGCATGATATCGCCAGGGAAGACAGTGAAGACGTTGGGAACGGGGGGCACGTAATGCCAGCCCTCCTCATCCTCCTTCAAGCCAGCCGAGCTCTTCTCCCAGTTGGCGTAATGCTCTCCATCATAGGGGGGGCGAATGAAGAGCCCTGTTCATGCATGTCAGGCAACGTGATATCGAGAGGAACCAGGGGCGAACTTACCACCAACGTCGTCCTGGGCAGCAATGACCAACAAGCCGTAGTCAGTGTGGGAGCCAATACCACGTCCATCCTTGCCCTTGCCGTTGGTGTTGTGCGTAGGGGGGAATCTGTTTCTGTGTCAATATGAAACTCTTCGACCAAAACGCGCTCAGTAGCACGGGGACAAGACTCACCTGAGGATGCGCATATGGTGCCAGCCGTCATCAGTCAGGTTTGTGAGAGAACCGGCAGGAACCCCGAGACCCAGTTCTGCGAGTTGGAGTAATATCTCTCCGCTCTCGCCGAGATAATCCATGTACGTAGTCATAGGTTGCTTCATCTCGTAGTCAGGCCAGGGGGAAGGGCCATGGCAAGGCCACTTCGCACGAACGCGCGGCTCGGCCATATCCAAATCTTTAGTGACAGTAAATATTTCTGAGTAATCGGCGATTCCATCAGTAATCTCCTCGCCGGAAGCGATGTAGCCAGAGTAACTTTGTGAATCTACGCACGCAGCCTTTTCTTCATGAGGCTTGGCGAAAAAAGCCTTGCTGGCCGCTGTTGCTTCGTTGAAGATAGCTTGCTGCTTATCGTTCATAGAGACTTGAAGAATACCATCACGACGCCAGGCGTCAACTAGAGCCTTGCCCATAGCGCGGTCACCCTTGCTGCCAGTGACACGTGCTGGCAATGTGAAAGTCTCAAGCTGGGCAACCTTGGCCTTGTAGCCTGGGGGCATCGTGGCGGCCATCTTGGCGAAATTGTAGTCTGCCACTGTTGCTAGACGACGAGCTTGACTCACAGCAGGCTTCCGCGCTCCCCGGCGGCCTAATGTGTTCAAGGATTTCGTGATGACTGACATGTTTGTGCTAGTGCCCCACAGTGGTCCGTTGTATTTTGTGTATGTGGATGTAGGGAAGATGTATTAAGGGAAGAGAATGTTGGTTGTGTTGTTGTCCTGGGGCTTCCACTGCCCACCATCTCCTCTCTGGACTACTCTCTTTATAGTCGTTAAACAAGAGCACCAAGTCTTATCGCCATGGACGCCAAGCAGCCATGGGCTGCAATCCACATGTCCCCGATGCATGATTGTTGTCTAAGGGTTTTCTTGTTCAACTTTAGGTTTCCTCGGACTTGATGAGGCATTGTACTGTCTTATACGTAAACTCAAAATTGGGACAACTCTCTTAAAAGTTCGACGATATTATGGGTCTCAACTGGTTTCGAGACATTCCTGGCCTGAAGGTGGTCTCGTTTCCGCTTAGGCGTCCCTGGTTCCACTACAATGGCTACGCAGGATGTCTGGCATTGTCAAGGGCCAGGGCTCAACGTGTTGTTATATGTGAAAGTAGGAATGATTGTGAAGATGAAGAAGACCCCCTCCCCCTTGTTGCGCCAAAAAAGGTCCACTTAGTCAGGAGAATAATCTTTCGCAGTCCCTATACTATGTCTCAGCAAAGTTCACTCAAGATGATAAAGTTCAAAGAGTCAAGGGGGTATACTGTCATTTGATGAATATGGACGTGGCATCTGTAATGGAGAGTTGTCACTCAAGAGAAAAGAGATTAAAAGAAACCGAATGCTGATTCCAAGATCATTTAGAGACCGTCAACTGAACCAAGAGCCAATCAAGGGCATGAAAGGTCTGAACAAAACATGATTGGGTATACCGCTTCCAAAGCAACGATTCTGTGGCACGACTCGCGCAGCGGCTAGCTACCCAGATCATAAAACTAGTTTCTTTTAGGGTTCACTACTGTTTGGCTGAGATTGCCCGAGACCGCATCAGTCAATTACGATCCCACGATGTTTCGCAGATCAATTCAATGGCAAACTGCGGCCCAAACGTTCTTTGATTGAAAGTTATGAGTCATGGGCATGATTCTATTCCGCGGATCGGCAGCTTATCGAGCATGCACTTTGTGTCCGCGATATCCGGACGTATTCCCCGGACACGGGACTTGAGTCATTCCGAGCAAGGGCTTTCGGAATGGGAGCCGGTTACAGAATGGCGATTCATGGATCCCGCAGAATCACTAGTCCACTGTATTCCTCCTAACTTGGGAACGCGAAGCTGCTGTGCAAGATGGCAATTTCCGTACCATCCGGTTATATTTGGTAACGGCTTATTCGGCCTGTCAGAGAACCGTTTGCTCTGGAAGTTCGAAGTCTATTACTCTTTAAATAGGCCTATGCCACGTTTCTCAACTTAGTGATGCATCAGTGGAAGAATTTTAAGGAAGCTCAAAGGCTCTAGAACGTTGTCGGAAGTCTTTATTGCCAAGAGGGGCTGATGGTGTCAGGGAATATGCTAGGGTGGGTTGGAGAGAAACTTCCCAGGGACCAGCGAAGACTAACATTCTTGTTGCACCCGTAATGAGATGATATATGCGTTCTTTAGAAGGGCTTGCAGTTTCAGATCTGCATGTTTCAATACTAAGACTCGCATGGTCCTTTCACTTCTGCTCCCCGAAATCTCCCATACTGACTGAATGCAGCTCTCTTTACCTCAGCTATTTGCGCCTTTTAGCAGTTAACTGCCTTGTCTTGGGCAACCTATAAAGATTCAATTTCACACATAAACCACATTCTTGTTGCAGATAATCCTCTGTATTTTAGGCCTTTTCGCTGAAACTCACCGGTAGACTCCTGATGTGAAAACCTACTAATACGTAGCCAGCGCGTCGCATGTCAAACGTCTGTCTGTTTATGATTAGAAAGGATGCGCTGTACTCGCGGATATACATTTGAGATGATGCTGTTAGCCTACGCCTTCAAATATCATACTCGCCTTCTCCGTCATTTGAATACAATGTCTCAAAGCTGAAGTAGCATTGCAGTTCCAGAGACTTAGTTTTACCTGCCGAAAGTTTCCTATGTCCAAATTTTCTAGTAGTTTTCACAGGAAGTCGAGTTCAAGACTTCAAATATTGGTAGGTCAAACTTGAATTTTGAATCGTTGTCAAAAGTACTGTGGCTTCGATGGGAACAACCCCCTCAAATTATTCTTTGCCCCCAATTCGCTTGATAGTGGCTTGGCAGGTGAAGCTCTCAAATGGGTGGGTTTCGTTCCCACAGATACCCAAAATGGTGGAAAGTTCGGTTTCCGTCTCCGTTTGGATATGTTATGTAAGAACATTGTGTTTGTTGTATATGGGTCACTCCGGGAAAGCCGGCTAGGTGGTTCCTTGCCTAAACACAAGACCCGATACATAGATGCCCTACGCCGGTTAGTAAAGACAAACCGAATGTATATCCTTCTTAAAGTGATGAGGGCTATTCTCAGTGTACAACCCTTGCAGCACGGTGTCTGAGTCGGTCCTCTACTACGCTGTGAAAAGACAACATTTCCTCTACGTACTGGGCACTGTATCTCCCGAGTTAAACACATGTTGGAAGGTGTAGCACTAAAGCTGCATCCTTGTCAAAACCTGCCAGTGTTTTTTTCAGCGTCATGCTCAGGGAACCCCCTAACTATAAGGTTTTTTGCCTTCTCTGGGATTTGTGATGTAGCTAGAATTCCTGATCCTCACTTGAGTCGTGAATCAGGCAGCCACTATGCAGCTTATATACATAGCCAGAAATTGTGGAGAAGCGCCAAAGTCAAAAATTCAGCACTTGAAGCTTGAGATCAGAAGCAAACTGGTGACATTCCGACCAAACATTGTCAGTATATTGGTCCACTATTAACCCCCAGCTGCGTACCGCGGATCTCACGGAAGTTATGACAGATGGAGCGGAACACAATAGCAGAGCGCTGAATGGCTAGAAATGAGTTTTGATATACCTCTCGTAATTCAAATTAAGATTCAGAAGTGTTTTGAAACCGTCTTTTAGATTTTGTCGTTGAGCCGCCAGAGAATCTATGGAAATTTCAAATGCATTAACTTGACCAGTTCCGTTAATGTTATCAGACTCGTGACTAAACAGTATAGTGCTTGCCACCTGGCACCCATTCACTTTCCTCTCAGGCGTGATACGTAACTAACATATAAGCCAAGTCTTGCGTTTCGTACGTCCTATAATGGCTTTCGTATATTTCGAGTTAGGTTTACCGCATCGATGGATACATAACATTAGAGCGCAGTGCATCCTGACGAAAAGATCAAATTGTCCTAAGAAGGGAACCCTCCACGATGAACTTCGCCATATCCTTCGGTCGCCGAAAGCCGTAGTGGAAACTATACTGACATAATACAAGGTGTCCAGTTCGGCAGCCATTCAGTGCTGAATTGTAAAAAGAACCATCTGGGTCAATTCGATCACTTATACGTGAAGCAGAGAAAAAAAGGAATATCTGCAAAACTAGATTTGTGAGCTATCTTTTGCTGATAATATTGCTCTAGCATCAAAGTTACTTCACAGTGTAAGTCAACCAAATACAAAAAAATAGGGAGGTATGGGCTAAAAACATGTGTCTTAGATTGCCATATGATCAACGTGTTCTTATCAGACAGTCGTTTTTTATGCTGGTAATTTGGGGAAGGATAAAGAGTCTTTGGATAACTCCTGTCCTGTAGTCCACTCGCGCTCATTCGGAGAACGCAAAGGTTATCTTGGTGAGCAGCGCTAGACCCTGAAAAGAAAGACTCCTGAATATGATGTACAACGACATCGAGGTGTGGGGACCCTTACACCTTAAGGTCTGTGCTATCTGAAACTTCACCACGGGGAACCCAAGTTCATCCGCAGCTACTAATTTGACCCCCTTCTGCCGTAAGCAATCCGCGCATAGCACAACAAACTTAGAAATAAGCTAAAGAAGAAATAAGCTAAAGAAGTTCGAAAATGTTTGCAAAAGCCAACAAGGTTCGAGCGGCCTACAAAGTTTAATGTATGCTGTGCTCTTTCGCTGTCCCGACTGAATTTGTGGTCGAATTCGGAACTTGGAGATCGTCTTTACGCGGAAGGCACCGGGTTCGACCCAGCAGAGAATCACCCGTTGCTTTCAATGGGCGAGAATGCGTTCCGCTATTGGAATAGAGTCATGTCTTGTGTCGAACCCATCGATACTGCATGTGCAGAGCCGTTATCCATTTAGGGCCTGATCGGCAACTTCACAACAAGCCGCCAACTAGACTTCAACAAGGCCCAAATATCAAATAAGCACCGCGAAAGTACCGAAAACTTAAAAAGTGTCGCACCAGACTGAATTTGGCTAGGTACAACACAAATACTGTCATGACTTGTATAGCTTTCGTGTTATCTAACATCTGCTTTGTACCTCATTAGTCACCCTCACCATACCGTCCATAAGGGGATGGTTATCTAAGATCCTTACCCAAGATCTTATTTTCCTGTACAAATTGTTGTCGGGTACCCAAGGGACCCTATGACTCGCCAAAAAGCTGTTTGGGATTCGCAGAAACCTCGGCAACGATCCAGCAATAAACCGCAAGGCTAAGCAGCTGTTAATGATAGCAGCCGCCGCCTGCTGCCTAAGCAACGACGTATTGTTAGTACAGCTACGGGCAATTAGCAGTCGACAAGTTAGTCGATAATGAAGATAGCTTATTAGCAGCAAGGCAGGTTTTCTGCCAGCTCATCCGCGGGCCAAGTCGCCGTGTCGTTGACCTCTTTCGGATAGGGAAAAGGCAGTTCCGTACACTAAAGGTAGCTGATGAAAATTACTGCTCTTCTTCTTTCCAATTCGCTTTGCAAATCTTTATTTAACAAGAACAGCATTAACGACGATACCAACAAAAAGCAACAATAACAACGTTAACAGTGAAGGGCAACCAAAGCCCATTGCCTACAGGCCGCCACAATAGCAACAGGAAGGCAGTGAAACTACGCTTAGGCACAGGGACAACAACAGTACATTGCCGTAACTACCTCCAACTTTGGGTTATTTCCATTAATTATCTAATCAAAATGTCAATCACAGATAACTTCATGCTTTCTTGGCGGCTTGTTGAAGTTGCCGATCAAGCCCTTAGACGCGTTCCAGAGTATGGACAATCCAACTTACGGAGCTTGTTCGGGATTTTGCAATCTGCCGGATTATCCTTCTTACATTGTTACATCCTTGTGAAGCCATCGAGTTGGGATTGCATAGCAACCCAGAAAAAGAGTATCACGAAATGAAACTGAACGAAAAGAAGTTTGTGTGTTCTACCGGATATGAATATGGATTCTCGCGGCCGGCAACTGGAGTAAGCTATGTAATACTGTTGTTTGAACTGGCTGCTTGAAACGATAGTATCGTGCCAGACATGTATTGCTGCCAATCAAAAAGGTAATTGTTTCAATGATATCTGTCACTCCTTGAGTAGCACGTTTTCATATGGCAACCTGCTTGTTCTTTGGCGCTCGAGCTACCCAACCACCATAAAGATCATCGTTGAAGGTAACAGAGCCTCGGTAATGCCCGCAGTTTAATAAATGTCATGGCTTAGTCAATCTTTTTTGGAACATTGGATTGTTACCCAACAATCAAACTTCCGCTGTAGTTAAGATATTTTTTCCTGAGAGGATTGCACCCACTCGAATACCTTGTACTTTAAGCACATCTCTTTCTGCGGAGACAAGTGGCGTAGCAAGGTTTGGCAACATGGCGCCCTGCAATGGATATACGACTTTTTTGAACCTTTTGATATATAGATCACTTCTCTACGAGTCCATTTTCCTAAATTCTGCTGAGTGTGAACCTGTTCTCTGGGTAATCCTAATATCCTATTCAACCTATCCTTTCCATCGAATAAGTAATCTTTCAGAGAACTACATCCTCAGTCGAAATTCCTTGGCCAATTTTAAAGCGATAGATCCCCCCTATACCAATGATGACACGGAAACAACCACATCATAGTCAACCGACTAGCAAACGCTATCCTTATATTGAGGAGAAACGTGTACCAGCATTGTATGTAAAGTAAGTTGGGTGTCTTGTACTGTCGACGTATACCTGGGCCGGACCGAATACTCAATATTCTGATGTTGAAAGAAGAAAGACATTCGCATTGAGCCTGGTTTAAGGCTACGTCAAAGGGCTAGCGAAACCAACTGCTAGCATGATCAATGCCCATCGGCGTAATCCAGCAGCGATCAGGTTCAAATTTTGACAGGTAGCTGTATCTATCACAAGTGCATGATTTGTTTGAGTTTGGGAGCCAACACAACGGTGTCATGATTTGCTGAAGAGACCATGAAATTTACGTTCGTACCACTGAAACGCCAGATTCTGTCTGTTATGGTTATCTCATCTCTCAACCTGACACATCTCGAAATCGTAACGCCACATTACCTGGCAACTTAATAAACTGACACTCATGCGTTTTGGATTAGACGTAGGTATTGCCGCACTCATGAATATTCTCCTTCTAGCTAACAAACGAGGTTTCTGATCAAGGAAATTAAGAGCTGCCGAAGGAGTCCGAGGTTGACGCCACACCCCAAGAAACTATCGGCTGTCTTCTCTCCAGGTGCCCATAGCTTCAGCCATTCTCAGCTAGCCTCGTTCTGCCGACCGACTTTAAGGGTTGACTGTCGTAATCTGCCGCGATCTGCCGCCTAGGTTACTACAAATCATGACAAACAGGCTTATCTGCAAGGTTCCTACGGTATTCGTGTGGGGAAATGCCCAGGGCCACTCTACGTTAGCTTTCATTCATACAACTTTCACAAGGTCGCTAGTTACAGCAGCTGGAAGCCTCGGGAGAGACCAAGGCTAATGTTTAATAGATTTGCAGTTATGAATGGTCCTCATGAGGGCTAAGTGAGCCCGACGACCATACAGGGCATTCCATATCGAGCATCACCGGCAGTCGGAAGGGACCACCCGATACCAGTGACTAAAACCTCCAATGGCTTTTTAAAAGAGTTAGACCTCACGGTGTCACAATCAGGTATGCCTAGTCTACTTTAAATGAAGACCGTGATGCTCTCTTGGATCACAACGAGACCACCTAATTCGCAATATTGAACTGACATCGATCCACTTGGGCCCAGATGCACTACTGCTGGATGGAACATTGGTACTACGAAGACATAGCTAGCGGCTGCGAAATGATCTGGCCATCAACTTCCATCGAGACTAAATGAAAACATTAACAGCCAGCCCATGAATTTGAAGTCGATCCATACCTGCTACACAAAACATGTTGTCTGCTTATTAAGAAGCTTACAGCCGCACTAAGGCCTTGGTAACGTTGCAATCAAGGTAAGCCATTTAGTGTAAGTTGTTGTACTAGCCCCCCATAAGTGGTCTAGTATAGTTCGCCCTGTACAGAAAAAAAGTCACAGTACGTATAACCCAATACAGTAGCACCTCTGGCCTGTGCTACATCTCGATATATCAATACGGTACGAATATCGAATAGCATGGAACGACTGCTGGTCCAGACCTCACTTCAACTGTGGCAAGCAGAAGCATCAGTCACAACCCTGACAGTGATGACTTCATTCAAACTACTCCAAGGTTGTGAAAACTCAAGGTAAGCCATACTGATTCAATGATATAAGGTAAGGAAGCACATCGGCCGACGCTCTTTTGAATGAGCTACACGGGAGCGTGTGTTCAATCAAAACATCGTAAAATGTCCCCGAGAACCATCAATAGGCCGCTTCCGAACTCAAGCGGGGTGTACCAAAGCATATGCACATGTATATGTATATTTGTGTTCTCGGATGTAAAACCTACTTTGATGGAATGAGATCTTTTTTTTCTGTTCTACGGCAGGAAATCAACATGGAGAAGCTTAGCCTGCAACCTGTTTCGTAAATGCAGGCGAATGTCGACTCTGTTTGGTATCGAGCTTTATGTATTGGAGTCGCACCTGTAACTGTCGAAAAGTAGTTCTTGCTCAATGACCCTGTCGTAAATGGCATCCCAGCAAGTATAAGCCTTCAGCTACTATAACTACATGATGATACGTTGGTTTGTGGATTTGTTCGTCAAAACATTAAATCGCTAGCCGTCAGCAAGGATCTACTAGCAGTACTTCCTTAGTCTAAAACTAAACAAGTTGCGAGTCGCCTGCGCGTATCGACGAAAAGGCATGGATGATCAAAAACAACTACCGTTGAAGATGAAGATGTGTTACACTGACATTGGCGTACTCATATCGGTACGTCCGGATGACTCTGCTGAAATGCTCCGACTTTGGCCACGAACACAGTGGAGTGGTTGGCTGAGGGCAAAAGTGGATGATATCCCCACAGGATCTAGCGAGTGGTTGAATATACTTACCATAGTAATCCGTCCTGAGCAGATGTGACCTGACAACGAATGCGGACGCGTTGTTGTATTAGTTTGATTTGGCCATAACCAACGGAAAGGCCGGGCACTGAAAAGCAGGGCAGTCAAAGTTCAAAATTTCCAGAGGCAAACGTAAAATGGTACAAGTCAAGGGTGCTGTGGCCCGTAGCGGTGCAAATGGGCCTATGTTATTTATTAGTCTCTACGAAGCTGGCTGATTTTCCGGAGTTTATGGTCCAGCCTAGATCACTTAAAGGTCCGTGCTCATATCAAGCTTTTACATACGGCAAATCGTCTTGGCCGTTGCCGCTGCGCATATATCCCCAAAGACATGATTCATTTCAGAGTTTTTTGACAGGTCCATCCTAGCCAGTGAGCGTATCCCAGGGCGAGCAGAGTCCACGCCAATTTCCGACTTACTCAAACCCAGCATTTTATACTTTCAAAGATATTAAGCCCCCTATCGATAACCCATGCACAGACAATCAAATTCTCTCTGATTGAGGGCGATCCCGTCTTGTCTGTTTACTTGGCACCGCGAGATGCCGCACTACCGTATGTCGGCTTGCGATGAACCCCCTCTCATGATCCACCTGGCAGCTTCTCGTCCAATCTCCTTCTGTACCTGTGATGACTGCGATGGATTGAGAGGAAGCTCAGCTTAACAGCCTCAAACAATGCAACCGGGCAGTCGAGCTACCAGTAGGTGCACGCGGCCACTACCCACAATCCCGAACTGTTCGGTAGTTAGGTTCGTCAAGACAAAAATAGATGCTTAATTACCGGAACTTTCAATGAGTATATGAAATGGGCGGCCATCCCGTTCCAACGCTTCTCGAATGTATTTTCCATTGATCCTCAGCGCTTCCAACGCTTTAATAGTCACTCTTTTGTTCGCTACAGTATCTGACCGTCTCAAACCCTCTTGAGCAACCACACTCGTTTGATAATACCCTAGTAATAATGCTGTTCCGATCTCTTGGTCTGGCGGCTGTGGCCGCTCTGGCCGTTGAGTCTACCTCGGACGTCTCTTGCAGCGATGATGTGTCTATTTCATTGGTACCAGTTGCCTCAGGATCGCCTCCCTCGGCTTCTCCCTCGGCTTCTCCCTCCGGCTCGCTTTCATCCGGCTCTTCTCCTTCGAGTTTGCCTTCTTCAGTACCCGCTCCAGTTTCGGCCCCTCGCTATGTCATGTACTTCGACCAGTATGCAAGCCCTGAGAACCTCAATTGTCTTGAAATTCAGTTTCTGATTGTGTTTTAGGTATCATACGACTGGAATCCCCGACAAGTCCATTACCAACGGCATCACCCACGTCATCACTGCCTTCGCCAACTCATCCCTGTTTGCTTCCGACCCGGCTGGCGAATACAAACCATTCAAGCCTTTGGATGAGGTCAGGGCTCTATTCAACAACGGCACCAAGGTCTGCATGGCCATTGGTGGCTGGGGTGATACTGATGGCTTGAGCCATGGCGCTTCGACGAATGCGAGCCGCCAAAAGTTTGCCAAAAATGTCGTCGACACCGCGGTTAAACTTGGATACGACTGTGTTGGTGAGTGAGCGAAGCTTGCTGTGAGAACATCTAAGATGACTGCTAATTAAAATGAAAATAGACGTTGATTGGGAATACCCTGCTGGCAACGGTGCCGACTACAAGCAGATTCCCAACGCAAACAAGACCCAGGAGATCAACACTTTCCCCCTGCTCCTCTCAGCCATCAAGACCCAGTTGAAGCACCACAAGATGGAGCTCTCCGTTACCGCCCCAGGTCTCAAGCGCGACATGATCGCTTTTACCAAAAAACAGACTCCCAAGATCAACGCAGCCGTTGACCACTTCACTGTTAGCCTCAATTCCGATCGGCAATTTCAAATAAACTTAGCTAACTTGGCACGCAGGTTATGACCTATGATCTTATGAACCGCCGCGATAACAAGACTGCTCATCATACCGACGTTAAGGGGTCCCTTGAAGCCATCGACACCTATATCGCTCTTGGCGTTGCACCTGCCAAGATCAATCTAGGCTTCGCCTTGTACGCCAAATGGTTCACCACGGCCGCTGGCTATAACTGCACTGAGGGTCTTGGCTGTCCCACCGAGCTGCTTGAGGCTGCTGATGGCAGTGATACTGGAAAGTCGGGAGCTGTCACCTTCGAGGCTAGCAACTTCCAGGCCACTCCTACCAACCTGACCACTTCTCCGGATTCTTCCTGCGGCGCCGGAACTTTCTACAAATGCCCCACTGGCAACTGCTGCAGTCAATATGGCTACTGGTAAGTGAATTTTACATGAAACTGGGCAACGGCCACAGCTAATGCTGTTTCAGCGGTGCTACTGCGGCCCACTGCGGCAATGGATGCCAGTCCGACTACGGTATTTGCAACGGCACCTCCACCACTACGTCTTTCAAGACTGCCCTTGCAAACGGCAAGATCGATGAGGTCAGAGGTGGTCAGTGGTACTGGGATCCCGCTGGTCCTTTCTTCTGGACCTGGGAGACCCCGGCCCTTGTAACCCGCAAGTTCAACGATATTGTCAAGGCTCGAGGTATCGGCGGTGTTGCCGTATGGAGTTTGGGCGAGGACTCATACGACTTCGGCCTTCTGAAGGCCATCCAGGCTGGTGTCAAAGCTTGGCCCAAGAAGTAGTAGTGGATCCACTGTATAGCAAGACCGGCACATTCTTGACTTTCACAATTCCTTCACAGAGACACTCGCCTGTGCGAAGTGTGGCAGACCTTTTTGCAAACGCTATAACGAAGTTCATAAGTAGCTAAGCGTACACGATATGAACAATCCATGAAAGCACGTGATTTTGGCCTTCACAAGCAGACGATCCAAAATAATTTCACATCTGCGAAGCATTCGAGCATCTTGAGCCTAGCAGGTGTTCGGCACGCTTCTTCAGACCAGTGACGATTTGCGACAGGCAGTTGAATCCAAACGGCGCTTCAGTCAGGAGTAGAGTAGACAATGTGTACAGCATAACAAAGACGCCAAATCTTACTGTTGTTATCACTTGTTCCACATAAAATAGTTGTATGTGATCGGGCAGTGTTAAAATTACCAAAACTATGACATATATCACTCAAAATTCAGAGTCGACAAATTTTTCTCCTCCAAGAGGGTTTTGCGTTGCCTTTGGAGGAACTGACTTGAGTTCAAGCCACCCTTAGTACATGCTTAAGGGCTACTGGCGCCACTGCTGGTATACAAGCGGACTTGCAGCGGCTTGGCCCCTTCCGGGGCTAGTTGAAGGAAATGGCGGCACTAGCCTGCGTATCAATTGCAGTATGCGTCAGGACGAAGCATATCCTTACGCCTTGTTGTCAGCTCGCAAGTGGGAAGACATCCTGCTTGGTAAGGCTGAAAACACTGATTAGTGTACATCAGGTATACCAAACTTGTTCTTGTACTTGCATAGTTGGAGTCGCAAATTTGATTTGGCATATTGAGTTGTAAACCGGATGGCTTGTTCCGGGTTTGCAGAAGGCAGCTTTTCCATCAGCTCCATCAGCTTCTTGTGATCATAGGAGAACGCCTTTCCGTCAAGCAACGTCGGATCGGCTCCCCTCTCTAGAAGCCATTCCACATATCCCCAATCCCGCATGGAACATGCATACGTCAGAGTTGTCTCTTGTTCCCCTCGCTCCATGAGCTTCACTTTGTTGATGTCCACATCATCAAAGTCCAGCATGTGCTCAGCGATGGCGCGACGTCCGACGAACGGCAATAGCTTATACGCGACTGTTACGCTATGCTCATTCTCTCCATGATCTTTCTCCGCAGGTTGTGCAATGATGAATAACGGACTCAACTCGGCGATGTTGATGGGAAAGCTACTACTGGCTCGAAGCATCTCAAACGATGCAGAGTCGCAACCTTTTATCGCAAGCTCCAGGGTTGAGGTACTCTGACGATGGAGTGGAATTTCCACGGAGAAGTCAAGTCTACCATCGAGTCCGTGCATAGCTCGGAGATCGGGCCAGCAGGGCCCGATATTGGGGTCTGCGCCATGCGAAAGGAGAAATTTCACCAGGGGGGGTTCCATACACAACAAAGGTAGTAGAATGGCCAAACGGGCCAGGTGTCTTTCGTAGGCTCCCAAGCTCTGTTTGGGTGCCAGCCAAAGTCGATAAAGGTCTGCATCAATGGTATCAAATCGTCGTCTTCCGGGTACATCTGGAAGATAGAGGCGCCCTTAGGAGTCAATTTACGTTGTGACCCTGGTTCCGTGCCTTCAAAGACATAGCCATGCAGAGACGTTCCAATCGAAAGCAAATAGCGGGCAATTGCAGGTTGATTACCGAAGGAAGCCATTTGGAGGCCGAACTGACGGACGGCGTGGCTTGGTTTCGCCTCCCGGACAAATGCCTCGACATCTTCCTGGTAACCCATTCTGCAGGCGCAGTAGAAGTTAAGCTCAGTCGAATCTTCAGGATGTAATAAACCATCCTTCATCGCATAGTCTGGCCGAGGTAGCCTTGGAGGTAATGGCAAAAAGTCAGCAAAACAAGCCTTGAGTTCGCAGATACCGCTGAACATCGCTTGCGGCATTTGGCTAATACTGCACTGTTTGGATTTCCTCTCTTCATTTGTGGCTCGGATTTGAAAGAAATGCCACTTTAGCCGCTTATGCATTTGATGGCGAATGTGTGGTTGTGTTGTTTTCATCTTGATGTCCTACGATCCTTGCTTGATTTCGTATCCATTAAGACAGGAGCAGGTCAGTCATTATATCAGTTTTACTGATATTAAGTAAAAGTCTTTCTGATCTGCAACTACAACCTCTTTGTACCACGGAGGATTCATGAACAATCTCCAGAACTTAATGCCTATGTTTCGTTGTAGGCGAACAGTGCAGGAAAGACTCAGACTGCCAGGCTGCAGCCGGCACAAAGTTTTAACAAACAAACACAGGGCCTAGTCACCCAATCGACCTAACTTGTCTGCATTCTCAATTGCGTTAAAGCTTCTAGGCAACTCTGTTTGTTAACCTTTTCTTTGTTACTCTTCCCTTGTTGCTAATTGAGCCCCTTAATAGCAGACCTCTTCAGACAGTTTTGCTGGAGGCTTTACTGCCTGTCGAAACCCATCTTCGAATTAGTAGCCATCAGACACTACAAAAAGTATACAAGTGCCTGCTACATCCGTTTACACAGTCAACAAATCACTGCTGGATATTAACATGCCCCTTTTCTATCATCAATTAGACAAAGCCAAATGTTATCTCCTTGAAGCAGCATGAATGGGTGGTTCAATAATACCCCTGTTGTGTAACGCCCCTACATCAAGGACAAGTTTGTGTTTATATTTGTTTTCCCCTAAAGTGTCCAATTTGGATCTCGTCTCTCCCAATTTCAATGTTCAATATTGTGCGACTTTGGGTCGTACGCCGGTATAACTGTTCAAACATGTCGTTGCAAAATGCTCATCAGCCAATACGTAAAACTAAGCGATGTAATATAGATTAAGATCTAAATCGATGAGCTCAGAAGAATAGGAATAGGGTTTAAACAGCTTGTATCTTAGACTGTATTTTCGAGGACCGCATCTCATCGGCTGCGGCCAGGTGTCCCTGACGCAATCCAAGCTGGTTTTCTGTCCATCATTTCTTGGTTGATTTTCGCATCTGCCAGCCGCATGTCGCAATCGGGTTGACGTAAACCTTCGAGTTCAATTCCAGGAACAGGAAGGGTTATAAAGTAAAATTCTGTCACCCATTCGGGAATAACAAGAAGGCCGACGGAGAGAAAGTCATTACAGTTAGCCGCCTGCTGAGAAGTGGAAGAGTTATGAGCCAACCGTTTCCTTCAATCTATCGGTACCTGGGTCCCTCACACTCAATAATTTTCGCCACTCCATCTTGAGAAAATCTCCCCAAGCTAACGTGTTACAGTTGTTGCTGTCAACAAAGGTGAGGGGGGTATAGAGACATGGGTTGCTTGCGGTGCGTAACAGAACAGGCACAAAGTTCAGCAAAGTAAAGGGTGGGTTACTATCAAGCAGCTAGGGAATGGAAGCTTCAAGGAGTTGCTCAATGCGACCTATTGGAAGTCGAGATTTAGTGGCAAACGGCTTTTAGGCAACTCTGAGCATGTAGATCATGATTGGTTTCTCTTTCTAGGTACGTACACAGCCTCGATGGTCTTCAGTTCTACCGGCATAGATTGTCAAACATTATCTGTGCTAACTACATCGAGTCAGTCTAGGACTTACTAGGTATACAAAGTTTTTGTCTGTACGTGGCACAGCTCGCTCCTCATCCAACATATGCTCACGGTTAGGATTCGAGATGGAACACGCAATATGTAATTTCAGACACTCTTCTCGATATCCCTTGGCTCGGTCTGCTCCTCGTTCGCCAGTACGCCAGTCGACTTCTCACCAGTACCGGCAGCAGCCGCGGCAGCGGCTTCTCTGTCCTTTTTCCTTTCCATACGTGCCTGCTGTTTGGCACGTTTGGTCTCGTTCTTCTCCTGGTCTTCCCTCATCTGCCTGATGACGGGGCTCTTGGCACGAATTCGCTCGCCGTACCGCCAGAAGATAAGGGGGATGGGGATGAGTGCGAGCTCGAGTAGCCCGCACAGCGTGCCAGCCCACTGGGGCGTCAAGGCTTTGTACATGGATGGCCCCGCGAGGGGCAACGTGCCTCCAAACATAGATCGCATAACAGCGTTTCCTGCCAAAGCGGAGGCAGCGTAGATCCCGTAGGCTCCTGCGAGGTAGTTCGAGCCATAGATGAATGATATTGTATTACCGGCGCCAAAGGGAATTCCGAAAGCAATGGGGATCGCCCAGTGGATAGTAGCCGGCAGACATGTCCAGGAGAAGACAAGTTGGCCAACGGGGGTGAGGACGGCGCCTATAGTCATGACCCGGGCAGTGGCCTCGGGAGGGACGCGACCGGTCACAGGGTCCTTTGGATGGGCGTTAATGATGCGACGGAAGATGGGCTCGCAGCAGATGGCCAGGATAGTGCCGATGCCGATGCCGATGAAAGCAAGGCCTGAGACGCCTGGTCCCCAGCCGCGGTACTGTGAGAAAACAATCGGGTATGCGACGAAGCATAGATAGAGAATGCCGTAGATGAGGGAGATCCTAGTCGTAGTTAGTTTCTGAGTGTTGTATGATGCAAACTGGGAAATCCTACCATAGATTGAAGAACCACAGAATGGGTTCTGTGAAACTTAAAACGAAGGGTCGACTTAGATTCAGCTTGATAAGATGGATCTTAGAAACTTTCTCGTCGTAGCGGCACCACCAACGCGGGTCGTCTGTCTCCTTACGCATCCGTGCTGCCTTGCGCTGGAGGATAGTCGGTGCGTACGTTTCGCGAAGGGTGAACATAAGGGCGATGCCAACACCGGCAAGGATGAGAACAATCCAATTAGTCCATCTCCAGCCCATGTACTGAAAGACGAAGCCACCGATGAGGGGTCCTGTTACGGGACCATTCAGGGGTGCAATACTGTAAAAAGACATGGCTAGTGCACGATATTCCTCGGTTGATATATCAACTACTGTTCCTGGGCTGTTGGCAATCAAGGCAGCTCCGAACAATGCGCTGAAACACCGAGTTAGGTCAGAGGAAGACGTGAGTGTGTAAAAAGAAGGCTTACCCGAAGAAGCGGACGACGATTAGGGTGGTCAGGGACTTCGCCAGACCGCAAGGGATAATCAAGAGTGATGATACGGTGAAGCAACCAATATAGACATAATGGCGGCCGTACAGCTCACTCATCGGTGCCACAATCAAGCTGCCAGCTGCAAGACCGAGGAGGTATGTCGTAACACCAAGCGTCGCAATGACCTGCGTCGAGTGGTACTCCTCAACGAGACCCGGAATGGAGGCGGTATAGCTCGTGCTATACAGTACGATGATCCAAGTAGATAGTGACACGACAAAGATAGTCCAGCCACGGTACCACAACGGCCAGTTCTTGGGGTTCTCGGGATCGTCCGGCTCAAAGACAACTTCAAAATCCGGGGGCCGCGATGCGGTGCTGCCGATACTCGTGCCGGTGCGCATGTACGTGATGGGCTCTCTGGCAACATGCTCAGCCTCCGTCTCGAGGTCAGGCGTCAGGGCTTGCTCGAGGGGCTCAAGCGGGTCGGTACCGGTGGACGAGTGGGACGAGGCTCGGCTGCGGTGGCTATGCCGAGACTCGACACCCTTCAACGGACGCAGTGGCGGCGAGTCTTGGCCAGAACTGGTTGACGTTGCCGTCGCGGTCTCGGCGGCCGCAATGGGTCCTGTTTCCGGATCGGGCGCGGCGCTCATGGTCGATTGATGCGCCGGGAGAAGTCTATACGTCCGTCTCTTCGCGGCAAATTGATAGTTAAGATTGGAGAAGGAGTAGAAAATACCCGTGGCTGCGCTTCTGAGGGATGCGATGAGAGTAGACCAGAAGTAGCACGACGAGCCTGGAGACAAGATATTCTTAACTGTCGCAGCGTCTTACAGCATTGGCTTAGGGTTTAATGGATCGCTTTTCCCAGCTGCTACCGAATGGCGCAGTTGAAGAGCGGTTAGAGATGAGTCAACAAAGAGCTCAGAGTGGGATCTCCGACAACTTTACTATACACAAGGTAAGCGAGTGTCAGAAATTTACAACCAACGTTTTTTTTTTCCGTCTCTCTTCCTCAGGAAACGCGGTCAGTCCTCGAAGGGGGGCGAGAGGGAAGGGCACCAGGAAGGGGTGGTGGGTAAGCCGCATCCGATCCACCAACGCAAAAGGGCGTTGGTGGGTGCGGTGGGCAAATTAAGGCACGCAATCGGAGCAGGATGTTGGAAAACCCGGGTGATCAACCTCGCCCGGGGATAATGGCGGAACTAGGGTCGCATCGCTTCGGGCTAGAATAGCCGTTCTATCTTAACAGACAGGAAGGGCCGGCATGCCATTGTCGGACGCGATGACTTTTTGGCTTCGTCGCGAGTTGGTAAATGACTGTTCCAATACTGTGACATATAGGTCTCTAAATATGGAGTCTGGAGTTCTTCCCCAGCCTCTTAGTGCAAACTCCATCTCTCCGCAAACCAAACCGCGTACTTGAAACGGGAACAACTGCTAGATCCTTTGTTGCCTCATCAAAAAAGGGGCCACAGTAGTCTCCGTTGGGCGAGATGTACAAGAGAAAGTGGACCTTAGCCGAGGTTCGCTTCGGGCCACCCTCCGATCCATGGAAATAAGCACTTGAAGCAGTAAGCCGGCGTGACAACTCAAACAAGTCATGTCAATAGCGCCGTGGCATGCAAAGCCAGAAGGTTGGCGCTGCTGCTAGTAGCTTTGGACGCGATGAATTCCTAGGTTAACTTGGCCAACTCCAACAATGAGTTTTCTCATGAGATTCCAGAAAGTCGTTGGAATTAAACATACCATATCGAAAGTTTTTCCCATTACCATAGCTTCCCAGTGTGGTGGGGCCCTGTCACGCCGATTGTCAAAAGCCTGTGTCGCAAGCTATTCCCGGCGCTTGTTCATTGTAGGCTGCTAGCCATCATCCGAGACGTCGGCGGGGCGCTGGCCGCAAAGCAGAATGTGAGTGTCTCTCTTATGTTGACAAACCCACGGCTGGAGGGCCCGGTTTTCGAGAATTGGGAGATTAGTGAGCGAGCATGCTTGTGTGTCCCGATGCCCTTGGTCAGTTGCATGGTGTGATTGATGACCGCTATCTTACAGCCGGCATCTCTTGTGTTGAGTCACGAGTGAGCAAAAACGAACATCCAGAGGACAAGAAGGATAAGCCATATCGGCACCGATGATCCGAGCTTCGACCACCACAATTCCTAATCCGGTTCTAGCTCGACGCTGTTTCCTCAAAAGTGGGGCTTCGGATATCTGCACTCCGCTTTCGGCTCCGGTTTACGGAGCAGGAACGACGGCCCTTTCTGGCCGTCTAACGTCAGATTTTATATTTTGGCCGGTCTGAGAGCCGGAACTTAAGAGGATGTGTTTCGTCCGCTTCTCTTGATCATCACCAAAATCTTTGTGTCTTAATCTAGTAAATGTTTCAAATTTTGAGAAGCAAAGCCGGGGCTGTGAGTGCCATTAGCAGTTCCCCAGGAATGGACTTGATGTGGAGCGCAACAAGCTCTGCCATGTATTCGAGCGTATGCAGGACCCAAAGGTCACTTTCTCGGATGGCAGCAAACAATTTGCACAAACGGTCTCGGATCTGGAGTGAAGGTCACCCTTTCAAGTGAATGCAAATGCAGGCGTAAACCAGGCCTGTGGATATTGGACGTCGAAGGAAGCTGCGGTGAACCTGTTCTCTCGTAGCGATGCTGAAGCTCGAAAGCGGACGGACATACCCAAACCGATTCCTCAAAACCCTTTTCTAGTGTTTAGAATCGAAGGATTGATTGACGATCACAATTTGATCGTCTTTGTTAAATTCGTTTTTGCAGCCCAGTACCAGCAGCTATGACAAGGATGCTGGACACAACAACCACGATAATCTTATTATACATTGGGTCCTGGAGGCAGTTTGGCCCATTGGATAGCTGTTGCTAAAACATCCGCATCAAATGAACATAACTCGTCTCAAGAGTTGGGTAAGAGAAGAAGACACAGCACGGCCAGGGAGTAGATGCAATATGTAGAGGCGACAGAAGAATACATGTCTCCTTTCGTTTCCGCCTTGTCTTTTCTTTATAGAGCTTGAAGCTTTTGTAATATGTATCATCGCTACAACGATGAGATGCCGCTGGAGCCTTATTCATTCCACAGTTTTGCCGATGCGATTCAGGCTTTCGACTCGCTTGAATATGAAACTGAACACAAGGGGTTTGAGACTAAAGATTAAGGGTGCTTTGTTGCTTTCCGCGGCTAATATGACAGTTGCTGATCGAAACTATGACCTGCCGCTTGCTCATTCGGTATTTCCTGCGAAAGCCGCCGTTCGAAGCTGCATCCCAAATTCAACACACTTCACCTTTCAGCCCGCATTCTATGTAATCTCTTGACTATGAGTATTTGCTCATTTCTGTGCCTGGAATTTACCTTCTGATATGGGATGACAGTCTTCCTGTAGTAAGTAGTCGACGAAGCGATCAGTTCACGCAGAGCCTTCAAATCCACAGAAGCTCGACCAAACAATCACGCACAGTCTTATAGTGTCTATGCCACAGTTCCCATGCTTTCAAGCATGGGTTACCGACCAAGTGAACCCTCTGGTGCTTTGCTCTCTCAATCTCAACTAACCTGCGTTCAGGTGATCTTAAAGTGCCAGTGTTTCTCCCCATCCTAGTGAAACGACGACAAACAAGCACAGCACCATGCCCCATCAGTTTTAACAGCTGGAAATCAGCCATCATATATAGTCACTATGTGGCCGGGCTTGTGTGCGAGCTCCTAGTAGGATCATGTGGCCTGAAGATACACAGGAAGGACGGGCAACTCCACGCGAGAGTCATTGTGAACATAGCACAGAGAGCGGTGAGAACTTCTATGTATCCAATCAAGCTGAGCCACAATTACGCGGAAAATCATGGGCTAATATCTCAATTTTTATAGTAACCTGGACCACCAGTAGCACAGTATAGCCCATTAGTTTGTGCTGGATTATTCGCGAATAACTACCTTAACTCTTTATACGAAGTTTTGCTAGCTTCTAATTCTCGAATTGAGAAGTCCACATGTCTTTTCTATCATTTCCTGGAGAAAGTCAAGAATATCTCTACAACGATATAGTAGCACAATTAAAGAGGCCTTCTATATATCCACCATGTTCCTTATCTCATTGACATGTGATTCAACAGCTTGGCGTGATTGAAATCAGCAAAAGCTATAGTATAGACTCCAAACGGAACCCAAAAGATGTTGCCATCAGCTTGGTATCCCGATGTGGTTGCTGTTTCCTCATCAATTACCCAGAGCGCAGCCCCCGCCCCCCCCTTCTATCTGTCCTGATTGTATGCACTGGCTTATGTTATCAAGTATTGTGTTCGCTTGTTTTGAATTGAAACATGGGGCTGAAACGAAACGCATTAGGCCGTTCCGAGGTCGTTTTGTGGGAGACATGACCTAGCTTTGCAGTGATTGGTATGTCTCAATGCTGTTGCCCAAGTGTCAACAACTGTGGGGGTGGGGAAAGGCAACACTGTTTGATAAACGCGATGTCTATATGGCGGAACCAGGCGCCCAACCACTCAAAGTATTCTTCTCTTTGGTCCCCACCGACTACTCCTAAAGTGATAGATCTGCTTTGCAATATTGTGATGTCGTCCATGTATATATAGAAAATGCGGTTATTTCAGGCCCCTATTTTCAGGGGCTCGGGCAAGGGAGAGACAATACATTCAACGGGGCGTGCTTGTCAACGGCTCTGAACTCAATGAGTTGTGGAATGACACACTAGCCACAATGGTCACCAAAGGGCAGCGTCGAACCCCTTGATCAAAGCTCAATTCTCTTAATACTTGAAGAGGCGCTGCTCTGGAAGTTGAACCCTAGCCCACTCTCCATCTGTTATTCTCACCAACAAAAATGGGCGTCCTGGTGCGTTATTCTTGGCGGCGCTCCAGCCGGCTTTTTGCTACGACTGGCGCTGTTATATTTTTAATCACGTGGGCTTGCCAGGTCAGAGTCAAACAGGTTGGTCCCCACCTGCAAGTACAAGTCAATCCCTGGATACCAAGTGCCCATGTAAACGACTATTTCGACCACCCGCCCCTTGAATCCGAGGCAGTAAGATCGGTCTGCGAAGAACAGCAATGGGATACAAATACGGATACAGAGGTGGTTTTTACCTGTGACAACTCGCTCGGTGGAATTGGGGACATCCGGAACTCGATCCTCAACTGTGTACGGTATGCGATGTTGGCAGGAGGGTCTCTAGTCATTCCTAAGATCGTTGTCCTAAAAGACTCAGACAAAGGTCCCAAGCGAACAGGTAAGTCAACACACGTGTAATTGTTTCCTAACAGATCGAAACTCAAATTTACAGGTGAAAGAAAGGAAATGCAATACATGTTCGACACAAACCACTTTGTCGAGTCCCTTCGTCTCTCGTGTCCACAACTGCGCTTGTACAATAACATAGAAGAAGTCTACGAAGCGCTCGGGCCGTCGCGGACATGGTCTCTGGGTCTCTTCCCTGAATCACTGATAGAAGAGGAGAAAATACCAAGCACAGGGATTCAGCATCCTGAGAGATGGAGGGGCCAGCTGTATAGCTGGCTCGAGCAAATCGACACTGATATCTCACCGACTGGTATACACAGCGAGGGGCCATTCATCGTTGACTTTGGGCGGTCGTATCTGACTTTTCCGATATACA